AAGGCAAGGCAAGGCAAGGCAAGGCAAGGCAAGGCAAGGCAAGGCAAGGCAAGGCAAGGCACGGCAAGGCAAGGCAAGGCAATTCCTTTACTGATTTATGCCTTACTTCTACCTCTATCCTCCACACATCTTTAAATCACCACCCGTCTCCCCCTCCCCCCTTCTCCTCCCTCTTTTCACTTAAAACCTCTTTTTCACCGAATCCCCTTCCCCCAATTAACCGGATTTCACACGCCCCACCAACCCTTTAGTCATCAGCGGCCCAACCGAATCTTAAGCCCTCGAATTCAAAGTCATCATCCTACCGTAATCCGCTGTTTATGTCTCTGAACTTGTTTTTGTCCTCAATTGTCGCGGCGCCAACAAAGTGTGGCCAAATACGGTCCAATGGAGTCGGGAGGCCACGCCCCGCCCCGTTTGCATAAAAAATGTCTCGGTTTTGGAGACAGTTGGCCGTCGGCTCACGTGTTGGCCATTTGGCTTGGCTCGATTCTTCAAACTGGTACCTTGACTTTATCAATTGAACTTTTGGACACAAACAAGCAATTTTTTGTGATTTGGAAGTGATTTTTGAGATTTTTTCATTACGAACTTTTTGAACTTTGGGAAGGAGGGGTAAGGGGGAGGAGGGAAGCGTTTTACGGGATTAAAAAATATTTTTTGGGGCTTCAAATTAAATTTTAGTTTTTATTTAATTTTGTGGTTTTAGTTTTTTTAGTACATACATAATTTGAAGCCTGGGGTGGAATTTTTAATTTTTTTCAAAACAATTTTAAAATTAAAAAAAATTTTTGAATTTTTTTGCTTTTTCTAAGAAGATCTAGGCTTCGGTTTTGTCCTGTCTTTGTCCTGCCTTTGCCCCGCCTTTGCCCTGCTTTTGCCCTGCCTTTGCCCTGCCTTTGCCCTGCCTTTGCCCTGCCTTTTGCCCTGCCTTTGCTCTGCCTTTGCCCAGCTTTTTCTTTGCCTTGTCTCACCTATGGTTTTTTCTAACACGAGTTTCCGCCCATATTTTAGACCTTTTTTTTACACTCTCCCCCCTTCCCCCCCCTTCTTCAATTTATTTTTAGTCCCCACCATACCCTACCTTTACTCCTTCTTTCATGTAATAGTATCATACTACCCTTACTTTCTCCTATGCCTTTGTACGTTTCGTATCTGCATCTTGTTCAAAAAATACGCTTTTATTACTGATCTGCCAACTGTTACAAATCTAGGCTTCTTAACAGTCCCCTCCCCCTCTAGAAAAGAATGGCTACTTCAATTACTGGCCATTTTTTGCAGCGAAAAAAAGTCTCTTGATCCGACAACTGTTTAATGTCAAATGGGGCGTCGTAGGGCATGGAAATGACCGGTGATGATCACCTGCCTTTTCGTATTTCCTAGACTTTTTTTGGGGCCAGGTTTTTATGGCCGCTGCCACCCACATTTTTGGCTGATGGATCTTAAAGGAGTGGGGTAAAAAATATTTTTATATTGTATAGGTTACTGTAGTTTTATTTGTTTGTTTTGTATACAAGAAAGGAGGGGGGGGGGGAATATTTTTACCTTACCCACCTTGGATGGGTCTTAAAATTCTGCTTTCTGTAACCACCCCCCCCGACCACTTGACATTCACCAAGCCCATTACCTTTTGTCTGACCATTTTGCAATACACCCTTAAGCCGTTAAAATTCAAATAAAAATCCCGTTTTGGGCCCTGCAGGTAGCCCTCTTCTCCCCGCTTACTTTTTTTTTATCACCCCCACTCGACATTCAACAAGCCCATTTACTTTCGTTTTACTATCATCTCGCAATGCGCTCTTAAGGGCTTGAACTTTTAATTAAAATCCCGTTTTGTGCCCTGCAGGTCACTTTACCGTAATCTACCGTACCCTACCCTACCCTACCCTACCCTACCCTACCCTACCCTACCCTACCCTACCCTACCCTACCCTACCCTACCCTACCCTACCCTACCCTACCCTACCCTACCCTACCCTACCCTACCCTACTCCTACTTCATCCTACTCTGTCTTACTCTACCGTACTTTGTCCTGCTTTACGCTGGCCTATCCTAGTGTACGTTACCTTACTCTGCCTTCTTTTTACTCATCTTTCTCTTCTTCTTTCACTTCTTTTTTGTCTTCTTATCTTTTTATTCTTTATTTTGTTTTTTTTTCTTTTGTTTCTTTCTTTTATTCTTGTTTTTCTTTTATTTCTACTTCCTACACTTACTGTATTTTGCTCCCTTTACCCCTGCTCTCAGTCTCCTTCTCTCCTCACCTCTTCGCTTTTACTCCCCCCCCCCTAAATTGAACAACAAAAAGTGCAATGGTCAGTGGAAGATGGGCAGAACTGGATCCAGAATAGGCGCAAGTTCAGTCGTATCCAGATAAAAAAGAGACATTCGGAACGGGTTCTTCGCCGCCGGCTTCCCAGAGGGCAAATCGAGCCGAGGGATGAGCGCGCAATCAACAAAAACCGACGGCGCTTCTTCGCCCAAATTTCAAACTGATTTCGCAAAGTTTTGCTCCACCGAACTCGACCGCCGCGGAGGGCATTCGTCTCGATGATGCGTTCTTTCGTGCCGTGATTATGCACTTTCACCGTCGTTTGGATTGGGAGTGGTTTTGGGGAAATGGTATTGAAAGGGTAAGGAGACAGAAAGGGAGGGGGGAGGGGGAGAGAGGAAAGAGGGGTGTTTTTTTACAGTAAGACAAAGTACTGTATTTTTAATTTAGTAGGGCTCAAAATTTATGTCTTTGTATTAAGAAGGGTAGATCTTCTTTTTGAAGGTAGAGCATGTTTTTTTCAATTTTTTATACTGAATACTGTATTTTAAAGTAGAGAAGGGCATGATAAGGTCGGGTACTGTATTTTAAGGTAGAATAAGGTAGGGTAGAGCAAAGTAATGTAAAGTAAGGCAAGTTAGAGTAAGGCAGGGAAGAGTAAAGTAGTACAGAGTAAGGTAGAGTAGAGTAAAGTACAGTAGGGTACGGTAGGGTACGGTAGGTTAAGATAAGTATAGTAAAGTACAGTAAGGTAGATTAAGGTAGGATATAGCAAGATAAATATTTTTTAATATTTTTTACTTAAAAACAGGACTTTAATTTGCAATTTTTAAAATTTAAAAATTTTTAAAAATTTTTTTTAATTTTAAAAAAAAATATTTAATTTTAAAAATCTAAAATTAAAATTTTATTTTATTTTCACCTTTTTTTATTTACCCACACGTTCGGGCGTGATACCGTCGGGAGCGGCGGCGTTAACTGTTGATTGCCTGCGGCTGCGTGGCTCTTATTAGGTCAGGGCTATTTTTGCATAAACGCGCCCCGATCAAAAGGTGCGGAGAAAACAAAATTAATGAGATTTCAAGGTTTCTGGATGCAAATTTTTAAAATTTTAAAAGATATTACGTTTTGATTATGGAATTTTGGGTAGGAGGGGTTTGTGAGGTTATAGGTAAAAAAATTAAAATTTGTGAAACGGTCCTAGTGATGCATGATTTTTATGCTTATTATTGTTATTTGGTGCTTATTAACTTAAGAAGTCTTGGTTTTCAATTTTTTTTGTTTGGCGGGGTAAAAAAATTTTTTTTGAGGGGGTGGATAATTCATTTTTTTTGTGTTTTTTGTCTTTTTTTTTATTCACCATTTAAAAAAAGGTATTTTGTTTACGTTAACTTTTTTAAGCTTCCAAAAAAAAGTCTTGTCGTCTTCAACCACTGTTTATTACTGTAAAAAACGACAAAACTTTTGTGCTATCCTCAAAACTGCTTTAAATGACAAGTAGTGCATGATTTTTGAAAAAAGCAGCCATAAAGTTAACTTTTCGTAAATTCACCTCCATTTCGAAGTAAATGTTTGAAATGGGGATAGACTTAATTCGAATACTTTGTAATTGCCGGATCTTTGAACAAGTTATTCCGTCGGCCGAGAAAGTGTCACTTTCGTTTACTTCGAAGCTTTGTAGTGTTGCTGTTTAGATTTTTTGCTTTACCCTGCCCTAACTTATCCTTCTCTGCCCTAATGTACCCTGCCCTATTTCACCTTACCCTACCCTATCGCACCTTACTGTACTCAATATTGTCTTACCCTCATTTTAATATAGCCAGTTATTGTTTCAAACCGGTCATTTTGTAACGTTTAATTCTTGTTTTTCGTTTTGTTCTTTTTGTTTTTTTTTATGTTTTATATCTCTCTCGCTTACAAGAGAAGTCGACACCTCACAGATGTTGGCTTTGGGTTTTGTAAACAAAGTTCTTGATATTTTTTTCATGTTTGCTTTTGTAAAGAAGGTTCTTGCCATTTTTTGTTTTGTAAAGAAAGTTCTGGTCATTTTTGGCTTTGTAAAGAAAGTTCTTGCCATTTTTTTCGTAAAGAAGGTTCTTGCCATTTTTTGTTTTGTAAAGAAAGTTCTTGGAATTTTTTTTTGTAAAGAAAGTTCTTGCCATTTTTTGTTTTGTAAAGAAAGTTTTGGTCATTTTTGGCTTTGCAATGAAAGTTCTTGTAATTTTCAAGTTTGGTCTTTTTTTACCCTACCCTGGCCTTTTTCCTTTTACTTCTGCCCTCTCCTACCCTTACCCTTCTTTTTCTTCTTCCTCTACCCTTACCCTTCTTTTTCTTCTTCCTCTACCCTTACCCTTCTTTTTTTTATTCTCCCTCTCTTATAACCTTACCTTCCCCCCCCTTCTCCTCTCTTCTTTACCCATCTACTTTTGCCTTACCCTCTGTTTAACCTACCCACTTATTTCTATCCTACCCTCCTACCACTCCCTCCCCTCCCCCCCCTCCCATTCTCAGTTTCTTCAATTTCTTACCTTCTTTTCCCCCGAACTCTTTCTCGTCCCACCCCATGACGACATTCGAATGTTAGTCTTGGTCCATAACCTTTCGGGTATGATCGTTCCCATTCAAGGTCATTGTGCCATTCCGAAGACCTTGTCATGCCTTGATTGGAACAAAAAAAAAACAAAAAAAGCGAATAGCAAAAAACGGCGCTTCTGAACCGGAATTTTTGGCATGCGTCATTGGAAGTGGGCGAGTTTTGGCACTTTATGACATTTCGGGATTAGGGGAGGAGGGTTGAAAGAGAGTACAATTTTTTGAATTAGAATTACTGTATTCCTTTTGTAAGTTTTTGTCATTTTTGGTTTTGGAATGAAAGTTTTTGCAAGTTTATGCCCTGTAAAGAACGTTATTGTCATGTTCTGTTTTGTAAAGAAAGTTCTTGTCATTTCTTATTTTGTAAAGAAAGTTCTTGCCATTTCTTATTTTGTAAAGAAAGTTCTTGCCATTTCTTATTTTGTAAAGAAAGTTCTTACAATTTTTTATTCTTTAAAGAAAATTCTTACTATTTCTTGTTTTTTGAAGAAAGCTTTTGCTATTTTTTATTCTGTAAAAAAAGTTTTTGCAGTTTTTTATTCTGTAAAGACAGTTATTGCCATTTTATGTTTTGTAAAGAAAGTTCTCTTCATTTTTCATTCTGTAAAGAAAGTTCTTGCCATTTTCCGCTTTGTAAACAAAGTTCTTGCCATGTTCTCTTTTGTAAAAAAAAGTTCTTGCCGTTGTATGCCTTGTAAACAAAGTTCTCGTCACCTTTTTTCTTGTAAACAAAGTTCTTGCCATTCTCAAAACTCATCTTATGTTATTTTTTCACTGCATGTGACCTTATGGCTATGCGATGTTGTTACCTTCGACTATTGTGCTTAATGAGTCACCGATAATTTGTTTTTTTTTCTTAGAATCGGGAATTTGCATATTGTATTTAAGGGTGGTTTTTGGGATATGATTTGCCTGTAAACTAATTTTTTGGGCATATCAAGAAGCTTTCTTAATTTTTTTGGGCGGGGTAAATTTTTCTTAATTTTTTTTGGGGGTGCATTTTTTTACCATGCCCGAAAAAGTTTTTTTTGGCGGGTTGTTTTTTGCGTGTTTATAACGTTTCTTTACCATACTTCATATTAAAATATTTAAAAATCCAATTTTCAGGTGCCCACCTCCACCCCGACCTCAGAGCTTTAACCTGCCTTCCGCCGAACTGGACGCGCCCACGTTCACCGCCGCCAACGCCGCCGCCGAGCAAGAGCTGGCTGTGAATCCGGTGTCGCCGAGTTCGGTCCTCACCTCCACCTCCACCACGGCGTCGGAATCGCCCACCACGCAGTCGTCGCCCGGCTACACGGCCGCGCCGGTTTCTGATATCAAGGCCGAAGGCGGGTTTCAGGAGAAAATTCATCGACCCACGCCCGTCCACTTCCCCACCCCCACTTTCGAGGGGTTTGGGGCTGAGAATATTGCCAAACCCACGCAGTTGGCTGATTTGCAGGCTCAGCTACAGGTGTTGGCACAGCAGCAACAGAGAGTGAATCCGATGGCTACGCAGTTGGGAATGCTGGGGAATCCGACCGCCTTGTACAATATGATGCAGGTAGGGTGGGGTAGTTGATGAGTACTGTAACTAGGATACGGTAGCCTTAGCTATATCTCTAGCTCTAGTTCAAACTCAAATTTTTCGTCTTACTGTAACTTTCAAAACTCAACGTAAATTTTTAGTAATAACTTTGCTTACAACATAAGTACCTTGACGTACTTTCACGGAATTACGTACCGTTCCTAAACTCTATCCCCTCCCACACGACTTTGATTAAGAAGGTCGAGGGCGGATAATACCATGACAAACCGCGTTACAACAGTATAATAAGTCGTAGAGGGCTAAATCTTTTACAAATCCTGAAGCTATGTTTTGATTTTTTGTTCTTCGGCGGGGTAAATGAGACAATGTAAAAACTTTTAAAAAATGTTTGGGCGGGGTAAATTTTTTATTTTTTGGGGGGGGGGGGGAGGCAAAACCAAAAATTCTAATTTTTTTATCATGGTTTTTAAGCAGTTTTTCATAAAACAAAAAAAAATTTTTTGGGCGGGGTAAAAAAATTTTGGGGGTGGTAAAAAAATTTTTTTTTGAATTGGTTTTTTTGAAATTTTAAAATTTACGTAAAATGAAATTGTATAGGTAACATAATAGTTGAATTGGTTTATGTTTCCCTTGACAAGTAATTTATCATACAGGATGAGGTCATATCCTCCAATGTCACATGGTCAACGTCATGTTGAACCTGGGTATCACATGAGGTTTGTCTTCAGGAGATACTTAAGAACAGAAGTGGAGAGGGTTATAGTAGACTTTGAAATGATAAAATAAACAGGCTTCAAGCGTTTTTAAAATTTAAAAAAAGTTTTTAAAAATTCACAGGGGGGACCAAGCTGAATTTTTTCAAAAAAAAATTTTAAAATTGAATTTTCAAAAAAATTTTTTTTTCATTTTTTTAAATTATTTCATTTCAGGCGCTAAGCAACAACCAGCTAATGCCACAACAAGCCCGCCAACTTGGCCCAATCCCGGCTTTTGTCCAAAACCGACTGGCTCAGCCGGCTTTGAACTCGCTTTTTCAACAATTTCAAGGAGCTAATCAGGTAGGACAATATTTTTTTGTAAAATACAAAGAATTGTTGCTTTTTAAAGTCATTTTCATCAAACAATTTTGAGAAAAAATTTTTATTTTCCTCTCAAAAAATTTACCCCACCCGATAGTTTTCGTCTTTTATTGGCTTCAAAAACGTCTAGGGAACTTTATAATGCAAAAACAACCATTATAATTTATTTCCCTTTCCCACCACTCAAAAAAAAATTTTTACCCCTCCCAAAAAATTTTCACTACACCCAAATTTTTTCACCCCACCTTGTTTCTATAACCCACCCTAATCCTCAGAAACACTAAAACACCCCTATAAACCACGGAAAAGTACAGTAATCAACTTCCGTATTACCATAGTAATACCAATAACACCACAAATAGCACTAATACCAAAATACAATTACTTTGATTATCGAAATTTCAAAAGCAAAAGGTATTAAAAAAAGATTAAATTTAATCCATTGTCATTAGTTACTATAACCTTTTACTTATTTTCATATGAAATTTGACGCTTTTGGGCCAAAGTGGCCATAAAAAGCGCCAAAAACTCAAATTTTTGGTGGAAATAGCCTAAAATTGGTGGGGTTTAGGCAGGTGTTAGGGCATTTTTTTGAATTTTTGGTATTTTTCTTGTTATATAATAAAAAGTATGATACTTGGCTTGTCATACAGTACTGTCACAACTTTTAAAAATCGAAGAAAAACAGCTTTAAAACCTCATTTTTGGTCAAAAAGTCCATAGAAAAACGGATTTTAGATGTGAGATAGGTCATTAAACATGAAGAATGACTTTCTCCAAAGGTTTTTATAACTAAAATGTTTGCTTTTATCAAAATTTTGATTTTTTTTGAATTTAAAAAAATTTTCCGTTAAAAAATCAACAGGGGGGACCAAGCTGATTTTTTTCAAAAAAAATTAGATTTTTTTTTAATTTTAAACTTTTTTACAAAACTTGAAAAGTATTCATTTTGAAGTTGACTGTTTTAATATTTTATTGCATTCTCATTTTTTAAATTTCTTCTTTAAAAATTTGAAAATTCAAATTTTTCGAAAAAAATCAACAGGGGGGACCAAGCTGATTTTTTTGAAAATTTTGGGGAAAATTGTTTTTTTAGCTTTAAAAACAAAAGACCTTACAAAATTTTTATGTTAAAACATTCCCCAGCGCATGTCCAACAATTTGTCACATAATCTGGCATATTCGGCAGAACGGCAAACATGAAAAACAAGCCAAGATCGCGAAATTTTTAACCTTTTGGGGGTGACCTCGGGTTGACCCGAAATTCGAAAAAAGGCATTAATGGTGAAGAGCAAAAGTCGGCTGACCTTTAGGGGGGTTCCTTTTTTCGGAAATATTCCAGGGATGAGAAAGCGAGGGACGCGCGGTTCGTATTAACCGGCTGCCCATCCTTCAGGAGGTGGTGACGGCACTGGATCAAGGGGCCGGTTTTTGTTTTGGGTTGTGTAACTTTGGAGGGTTGGTTTTGGAGGGGATGGAATACGGCTTGGGAGGGGTTTTTAGAGAGCATGGTAAGAAAAAATGTTGATTTTTGGTTCTTTAGTAAAGGTATGGTAGGCTAAGGCTAGGGGTATAACTAAAGCTAAGACTAACGCTTAGACTAGGGCATTGATCAAAAAAAAAAGTTGAGAAGGGCAAGTTAGGACAAAACTAGGGCAAGGCTTTTCTAAAGCGGTGGCTAAGACTAAGATTGAAGCTGAGGGGCTCAGGCTCAGGCTCAGGCTCAGGCTTAGGCTCAGGCTCAGGCTCAAGCTCAAGCTCAAGCTCAAGCACAAGCACAAACTCAAGCTCAAGCTCAAGCTCAAGCGCAAGCGCAAGCACAAACTCAAGCTCAAGCTCAAGCTCAAGCTCAGGCTCAGGATCAGGCTCAGACTCAAGCTCAGGCTCAAACTCAGGCTCAGGCTCAGGCTCAAGTTCAAGCTCAAGCTTAGGCTCAGGTTCAGGCTCAAGTTCAAGCTCAGGTTCAAGCTCAGGCTTATGCTCAAGTTATGACTTAGGCTAAGGCTAGGGTAAAGAGTAGGGTAAAGCTTTGGCAGGATAGTTTTTTTATTTTTTTTCCGTATTTTATAAAACAAAATTTTGTTTTGGCTATGTTATCCATCACGAGTGCGTTCCCTCTATGTATTCATGTTCGGACTGGTTAATTATGTAAAAATAATTAATTCATACGCAAACTTTTTATACTTTTCTACTTTTCAGTAACTTATTTACATTACTGAGCTTCATATTTTTTAAAAATATTAGCCCAAAAACATTTTTTTGCTATTTAATTTACAGTAAACCCAATTTCTATCAACTACAGTAACCTACCCTACCTTATGTCATACGCCAATATAAGCCTAAAATACTGATATTGTGTTAAGAAAATTTGCTGTTAAACCTAAAAAAAAACGTTTTTAATATACGGCGCGAGAAACGGCTTCGAGGTCAGCAGGTTCAGGGGTCGCGACCGTTGGCGTCCTTCCCACTCACCGTTCCTGCAGCGTTCTTTGTCAGCCGGCTCGCTTTTCCGCGGAATAACACCCACATAGGTTTTAAATTTGAAATCACCTGCAAATTAGGGCGTGGACATTTCTTAATTTGGCTTAATTAGGTTTAGATTGAGCTTGTCTTATAGTAGTGTTAAGATTAGGCTCATCGAGGACCTCAAGCCTGTCTTCTTGAAAACCTTTTTGGAAGATACCCTGTCCTAGGGCTTTTTAAGTGAATTTATGAAGCTTTGATGTCACTATGCTTACCTTACCCAACTCCGTACCCTATCCTACCCTATACAGCCCTACCCTACCGTATATTGCCTTTCTCTGCTCTATCTAACCATACTTTATACTGCCTTACCGTACCTATCCTATTTTATGCTGCCCTACTCAGCCCTACCCTACCTTATGCAGCCCTACATCATCTGATATTGGCTTATCCTGCCTCATCCTATTCTATGCTGCCCTTCCCTCCCGTTAACTGCTTACCTTACCATATTATGTTTTATCCTATCTTGCCCTTCTTTGCACTATTCTAGTCTACCTTATTCTACTCTACCCTACCCTACTTTAGCTTATCTCACCATACCCTGCCATACGTTTTTCTACCTCACCCTACCTATGACCAACCTCCGAGCCTGCACTTTAGTTACTACTCCCTTAACCCCATGCCCTATAGAACAAATTAAACACCTTGAGTTAACACATTATTGACTTTTCGAAAAGATTGCCTTAGGGCCTATTAATGGCGAGAGGAAGCGCGTCTTCCACTCTATTTTTTGGCTTTTAATCTCGGCGAATTATTTTGGGGCTATTAAAACAGGCAGGGCCGCAAAAGGATTGGGGGGAGGATCTCATGGCAAAGGTCGTGGCTCTCGTGTCCAAACGTCATTAGTTTGTGTTAGGGCATACATAGGGGAATTTCGAGATTAACGGTAGAGGGAGGGCGTGAGAGGTGGGGTAATTACAGAATAAGGAGTGAGGGAGGGCTGATTACAAAAAAAAGTTGAGAGGGGGGGGGGAGGGTAAAAGGCATGGAGTTTAAAGTTCTTGAAAAAAAAACTTTTTTTTTGAGGGTGTGGTAAATTTGAAACAGGGGGTGAGGATCGTAGTGATAAGAAAAAAAGGTAAAGAGATGGGTCGGAGGTTGAAAAAATTTTGACAAAAAAAACTTTTTTGGGGGTGGTTTTTTTTTGAAATTGGGGGAGGGGGGAGGTGGGGTAAGAAAGAAATAATTTTTTTGTAAGTGCGGGATCTTAAAGGCTTTGATAAATTGTACTTCTTCTTTTTTTACATTATCTTTCTTCCTCTCTCCCTGCTCGTCAACCCCCCCCTCTTTTTTTTTAAATTTACCCCTGTCTAAACTAATTTTCAAAAAAAACTGTATTCTAATTAAATCTTACTTTGTTTGTCTTTTAAAAAACACTTCTACTACATTTCGTTGACCTTTATTACCTGTGTTTACACTCTCCTAATCTCTAGCCACTCTCTTCTTCCGCCACACTCTCTCCGCCCAACCTCCTTGTTTGGCCCACTCATTAAGGGTGTTAAACGCCCGGTCGTCAAGACACCACCCGCGAATATCTTTTACATTCCCATGTAAGGCAATTTTTACATTTCTCTATTACTACGTCGTTACACATGTAGGTGTGGTAGGAACACTTAAGGGTTGTTTTACTGATACTTGAGAATGTAGGGAGGGGGCGGAGGAGGGAAGGGTAGTTGGGATGGTTGTGAAGAGGGGTTTTGTTGATGGGCATGGGTAAAGAAGGATGGGAGAAAAGAGAAATTGTGGGGCATGTGTAGGGCAGGGGTAGAGCAACGGTAGGGCATGGGTAAAGTAAGGCAAGGCAAGGCAAGGCAAGGCAAGGCAAGGCAAGGCAAGGCAAGGCAAGGCAAGGCAAGGCAAGGCAAGGCAAGGCAATTTAAATCAAGTCAAGGGTATGACAATTATAGTAGAGTAGAGTATGGTCAAAGCCGTAGTACTAATGTTATACTCATTAGTCAATTATTTTTAGTACGTGTTATTTTCGGGGTCAGATTTTTTTAGGGTGGGAAAAACAGGAAAACAGGGACCGGATTCGGGGGCCCTAATTAAACATGATATTCGATATACTCTGAATTCGTAAACTTTCATTTTTGAAGCTTAAAAAGTTTACTTAAGATGGCGTTTTTTACTGTTTTATCTTTTTTTCAAGGTATACAAAGGGGGTGGGGCGACAAAATTTTTTTAACCGAAAAAAGTTGCGTCATACAATATTTTTTTTATGATGTTAATGCCAATTTTAATGATACAGAATTTATAAACGTTCTTTTTCAGTTTATGCTACCGCCAAACATTGAAACTGGCGCCAATGCCAATGGCTCTTCACGGTCTTCCCAGTCCCGTTCCGACCCGCTGAACCAAAACAATTGTACTGAACTATGTGTGGTTTGTGGAGACAAGGCTTCTGGACGGCATTATGGTAAGTTTTGTTTTTAAATTTTTTTTCAAAAAAATTTTTTTAAAAAATGTGTATCCCTCCCCTTCTCCCGCTCTTCATCCAACGTTAACATAGTATAACTTGCTCTGACTTATTTTGCTCTACCCTACCTCGCTTTATCCCATCTTGCTCTACACTACCTTACTATATTTTAGGCGCAATTTCCTGCGAAGGCTGCAAAGGCTTCTTCAAACGGTCGATTCGAAAGCAAATTGGCTACAGATGTAGTGGTGCAAAGAACTGTCCAATCACCAAATATCACAGAAATCGATGCCAATTCTGCCGACTAAAAAAGTGTCTGGGCATGGGAATGAAAAGTGAATGTAGGTTTTGAAAAATTACTTTTGGTACTATTGGTACGTCTGTTTTGTACTATTGGTACATATTTTTAATACTATTGGAACAAGCCTTCTTTTACATAAAAAATTTTGATGTTTTTAATACTAGCGTTGTCAAAAAATGGCAAAAATTTTATAAGTCAAAAAAATTCAACTTGGTCCCCCCTGTGGAATTTTTTCAAAAATTTCAAAAAATTTTTTTTTAATTTTTTTTAAAATTTTTATATTTAAAATTGTCAATGAATAATCGTTCTTTGCTTTTTTGTATCATCAGCAACTTGTTAAAATTTTTAAAAACTATAGAAAAGCAAAAAGTTTCAAAAAATCAGCTTGGCCCCCCTGTAGATTTTTTTCAAAAATTTCAAATTTTTTTTTAGTTTTGAAAAATCGTATCATATACTCAAAAACACTCTAGCTATTAATATTAAAAATCATATTTTCAGCCGTTCAAGCCGAACGCCGCCCAATGCACAACCAATCCAATACCTTCAATTCCGCTGAAAATCGTGTGCCAAATCAGTCGACCGCTTCTACCTCCAGTGCGCCTACGGTCACTACAAACTCGTTCAATGTGTCAAATGGATTATTAGATCGTACTAACGTGAGTCCGAAGTGTGGTGAACACAATCTTTTTAATTTTATCAAATTATGTCATTTTTAGGCCAGGGCATGTTTCATCGTATAACGTGTCGCTTTGATCGTATAAGATGTCACATCGCCAAAATTTACAATTTAAAGAATATAAAATGTTACTTTTTACATTTTTAAACATTTTAAAGTACCAAAAATTTAATTTTTACAAACTTGTAGTACAATATAAAGTTAGCGTACTAAATGAAAGCATCAAGTACCTTTATATTAACCATGCCACTTTAGTCTCCAATCAACTCAGCCTCTTACATGCAAGGTCTACTGGCCATGATGCAGAATCATAACAATGAGATCAAGACCGAACGAAAATACTCAGATGGCAATGCCCTTTTGGATGTCTGTGGCCTAAGTCCCCTGAGGCAAGAGAGTACATCGCCTCAGGAGCAGTTCAAAACCGAGCCAATGGACGATGAATCGGCCATTGAATCCAACCTCACGGCTTCAGCATCACCCACCTCGTCTGGAGAAGGGTCTACGGTGTCGGATGACATTGGCCAGCTACAGCGAACACCGTTGTTGAATTCAGAATCCGCCAAGTTTGAGATGCCTGAGCATCACCCGTTCCCATTGGAGTACGATGCTAACAATGTTAGTGAAACAGCGTCGAGATTGTTGTTCTTGAGTGTGCATTGGATTAAGAACATCAAGGCTTTTAATATCAAGTAGGTTTTTGAAGGAAATTTTGGTTTTGTTACCTAAAAATCGGATTTTTGTAGCTAAAATATGAAGCCATAGCTTAATCTCTAGCTTAAATCCTAGCGTAGGTTCAAGCCCAAGAACCATCGTTATCTTTAGCCCTAGCCAGTAAAATTTTAATTTTAATTTCCAACCTTCTTCAGGCCCTCCTACCTCGAGAACACGGTCAAAACCAAATGGTTCGACGTCTTCCTCCTCGGCCTGATCCAACAATCAGCCAAGTTCGACCTGAACCGAATGCTCACTGCCGTTTCCGTCAACATCGTATCTCGTTTGTCGAGCGATGGCACCCTCAATACTGAAAAGTACACGGCTTGTATCAAGCAAATTCGCTACATTACCACGCTGGCACAACGTATCACCGCCCTCAAGCTGAGTGATATGGAATTTGCATACCTGAAAACAGTCGCTTTCACCGCCAACGATCTGCCACCGGTCGATAACTACGATGGTAGTCATTTCGGTCGACAGCTGAATGCCCAAGCTTGCCAGGAACTTTTCGACCATTTGTTGGGTCAGTTGGCGGTTCATGATGATAGTCAGTCTGATAATGGCTCATCGGCCGCTACGACAACCACCATGCACTCGAACTTGAGTCAACTGTTGGGGAACAGTGTGAACACGTTGGTGCCAGTGCTCCACTCCAGCTTGGAGAGGCATTCCCAGTTGATGCAGGTGTTGCCATGGTTGAGATGGTTTGATTTGGAGCTGATGGTCGAGGTCTTCTTCAGTGGAGTCATTGGTAACATGCCATTTGATGCGGTGGTGCCAGTTTTGTTGAATATGGATGTGATGCATGTGTTCAATAGCACGTTTTATCAGGCGTTGAGAGAAGAGGACAAGGTTATGGTTAAGCAGGAGGAGGCGGCACATTGAGAAAACGCTGTGTTAATATGGATTTACGTTGAAAACGTTATGTTAATATTGATTTTGGGAGCAAAAATAATTGGCTAATTATGGATTTGATATTAAAAATGGCAGTTTTAAAATGATTTTTGCTGGAAAAAAATGGTTATGGATATCTACAATATGTTGGTACTATGGTTTAGTGTAATACCTTGGCAATGCACTCTATGAGGATACCGTAGTATAATACAGTATAAAGAGTTTTATTACCATAAGGTGAATACTACTGTATATTAATACAATAAGCTGTGCCGTATCTTGCTACCAACATGTAATGGAGATTACCGTGTCCGACTATTAAAAGCTGAAGATTAACGTGCCTGACTACCATGAATCGTACGCTACTATCATAGAAAGCCCAGCATCGTAGCTTACCATCAAGAGTCAGCGTACCTTAACATCAAATGTCATCTTAACTTTACCATCAAATTTCATCTTATCCTACCTTCGACACTTATCGTACCCTTACCATCAATCCACTACTACTGTAATTCTCAAAGCAATACGGTAGCAACCGCAAAACCGTTTACTATATATTGATTTACATGTTTTAAAATGAAAATTTTGTTTTATACCTAAATTTTAAAATGACGTTTTTTAATATTAACTAACCCTAATGTACATGCACACCACTCCTCATATAATTAATGTAAACTCGTTTCGATGATAGTCTTTCACACAGTTTTATGCAAATTTTACTTCACCAAAGCCCGTAGTATTTAAGAACGTAGTAGAATGTATGTTGTTGTAGCTTCGCTGATAACTATTTTATACCGTAATATATTATTTTCATGTTACAGTACCCTTTCCTTACATTTTTCAAGTTACAGTACTTTTTGATATTCTGAAGATTTTTGTACTACTGTAGCTTTAAGTTTTATAAGTTATAGTACCGTAAATTCAATTCACCGACTTATAGTACTGTAACTTTACTATACGACCTATTATAATACTGTACCTTTACTATACAACCTATTGTAGTACTGTAACTCCACCTTTTCTCTTTTTGATTACTGTAACATACCGTAGCCCTGTATGTCAACTAATTTAGTGCCTTTTAGCGCCAATATTGTATTCTCTCCTCTACCGTAGTCTTACCGTAACCCCATTCGTAGGCCAGTTTTTGTTGCCGGTGAGCATTATCCAATTCGACGGTCACGGCACAGCACGATGGCACGTTAACATATCCAAATACATGAAAACCCAAACAGTTGCGAAGCGCCTATTATAAACCCTTTAATATTGTAATTAAGTAGAACATGTCTAGCTTGTTGTAACGAAATTTATATATAAAACTCTTGATTAGGTCATTATGTATTGTATTTACAAATATTTTGTACAAAAATAAATGAAAATTTGATTGGCTTGGGCTTTGAATTAAGTTTAAATATTTTTTTAATTTAAAAAGATCTACGCTCCCCTAATAGCCTTGCTGTATCCTTACCTAGACATAGGAATCAGACCAAGCCTAATTTCCAGGCCCGGCCCGATCTAAATTTTGCTCCGGCTCGACCCAGAATTTTTTTACTTGCAAACGGGCTTGGGCTTTCGGACCGGGCCACCTTACCTTACCTTTCCTTTCCTTACCCTACCCTACCCTACCCTACCCTACCCTACCCTACCCTAACTTACCCTACCCTACCCTACTCTTCCCTAACCTAATATCGCTTATCCTACCATTGCTTTGGCTTACACTAGCCCTAGTTTTGCTCTAACACACCCTACTCCCCTTGCTCTTTCTTTACCTTACCCTTGCCTTATCACTGACCTTCGCTTGCCTTAGTTTTTCTCTACCCTATCCTTATACTTTACATACTTGCCCTAATTTTAGATTGCCCTTGTCTTGTCTTACATTTTCCTTACGCTTGTTCTTCTTTTGTCTTGCCCATATCTTACCCTTACCCCACTCTTGCCTTCCTTTGCCTTATTCTAGAATTACTCTACCCACCCAATACTTGTTACACTTAATTTACCCTACCACTAATCTGGTTCCACTTTTTTCATACCTTTGTCCTATCGTTGGCCTGCTTTTCCCTACCCATGCGTCAAGTTTGCTCTTTCTTTGACCTATTTTAGCCATGCCTTTGTTATACTCTTCTTCTATCCTTCTCCTTCTTTTGCCTTACCCATGCTTAAGTTTTTAGGCATAGCTTCTATCCTATATTATATAATATCAGCCAAACTCAAACCCTAAACTAACTCATTTCATGCTTTTTAAGTGAAAACATCTTTTTATGTACTTTTAGAACTAGTAATATACGTGACCAGGGGCGGGCGCGAGAGGGGGGGGGGACGGGGGGAGGGAGGGTACCCCCCCCAGAAAAAAATTTTCGAAAAAAATTTGAACGTGGTCCCCCCTGTGGATTTTTAGAAAAAAATTTTCTGTGCCGATTTTTTGGACCCCTGCCCTCAGACCAAAAGTCCCCGCCCGGCCCTATACGTGACAAAATCATTTCATATAGAGCACAGAGCATATTATATGAACATAACATATAACGTTCCACACGGAACTTAGTTGAAGTCATTAAAGTGAATCTAAAGTCAGGTGTAAGATAGCTTATTCCGTAAGGATTACTCAAAGTGTAAATGTCAGTTTTGTTGCATCTTTACGACTTAAGCTTATAGTTTGAGCTTTTACGTAGTAAGAGCACCTTACATTTTGCTGACCTTCAAAATAATTCTACTTATACCTTCTTTACTTAACTTAAGTAATAGTGAGCTTATTGTCAGTGTTTTGCTAAGAACCATGGCTGAAAGTACTGATATTACTATGCCTGAATATGTAAGTTGAAATCCAGTAACGTTTTTACAGTTTTTTTTAGTTATATAACACATACAATGGCAAAGGTCCTGTGCCAAGAATATATATACCTGCATTAGTGTTGTGGTCCATAGCACTAGCTGGCTATGTTGGGAATACCTTGGTTATTATGGCTACTTTTAAGAATAAGTAAGTTGCCCTACCCTAACATAAAGTAACCTACCCTAAGGTACTCTATTATCCCTATCTTAGCCTACCCTATCATACCTACCCTACCCTACGCTACCCTCCCCCACCCAACTCTACCTTACCATATCTTACCTTACCTTAATTTACCTTACCTTATCCTACCCTATCATACCATCTTATCTTACCGTAGACTAGACTACCCTACGCTACTCTGTTTCCCCTAGTCTGCTTTACCTTACCCTACCCTACTTTACCCTATCCAACATTATCCTACTCTACCCTACGCAAGCCTTTCCACCTTTTTATGCAGACTGCAGCTGCCATGTTATACAACAAAACATGTCTTAAAGTAAAACATCTTTATGTTACAGAAAACTCCAAGGCTCCTGTAACTTTTTCATAGCTTACGGCTGTTTCGCTGACATATGTCATACATCAGCTCACTGGGTATTCGTCTACACTACAATAACCGGAAACACCTTTATACCGTACGATGAATGTTTGTGGTATCAAACAATTCCTCAAATATTTGTTACTGTCAGTGTGATTATGACATTACTAGTCGGAATTGAAAGATTATTTGCAGTTTTGTTTCCTTTGACCTATCAAGGAATTAACAAGAAGATTATTATTATTGGTGGTGTTATCATTGCTTTTGTTGTCAGTTTTTATTTTTATTTGATTTCATTGGAAACTGCCTTTTCGGAGAATGGCAAACTGTGAGTTTTAACCATTTAACGTTAGCATTAAAAATGGCAGTTTGATGAGGGTTGGGTTAGTTTAAAGCTAAAGAGCTAAAGTAAAGCAAAAGCATAGCTAAACTCACTGCTTAAATAGTACCCAATAAAAAAAATTTTCAGCCCAGTACTCTGTGTCATAGTAAACAGCCTGGGCGGCCGAGGACTCCTACAATGGTTTAATATGTGTGTCCTAGTCAATCTAATTGATCTACTTGTGTACACATTAGTATGGGTAATGCTCAAATTCAAGGCAAATGCTAAAGACGAAGGTCAAAAAGTATTTAAAGCCCTATTTGCCATTATGTTTACCGTAGCGTTTGGATGGCTGGCTAACGCCTTTTGTCAAGCTGTAATCGTACCAGCTTATATAAAGGTTGAGGACCAGTATGAGTTCATGATTTATTTTGGCATTCCGGTTAATGTGGCCAGCTCTTCTGGATTTGTCACACTTTACATTTTTAGGTAATAATTTTTAAATTGAACTTGATACTTAAATTTAATGTATACTTTTCAAAAAATTTTCACTTACAAAAGTGAAATGATATTAATAATAAAAAGCTTTTTAAAAAATTAAATTTTAGCAAAGAATACCGCCGCACATTCCAAGATATACTAAATATTCAAAAAGTAGACAGAACTACTACTACAACATCAATTTCACCACCAAGCAAAGGAGAAAGCGCGCAAACCGCATAACTGAAGAAAAATAATAAATTTTTAAATCTTATTTCACAATCATACCCTCCATATTTCAGCCAAAAACAATGTTAAAAATAGAGTGAAGGTAAAAAAGATGAAAAAGCAGTTTAAAATAGGCCCCAAAAAGTCTAAAATTACGCTAGAAAATAACGAGATAAAACTTGAAAAGCCCAGAAGATAAAAACAATAATTTGAGTTAATATTGCTCATGGTTAATATAATATTGATCGGCGGGAGTTTAACTAGAAAAACTATTAGTGTTCTTATTGGATAAGTTCCTAATATGCAGCTTAGAAAAGTAAAAATATCAATTTTGAACTAATTTTCAAGGAGTTACGTCAAGTTTTGGCAAAAAGAACATTAACTTTGATTGATAAACAAATTTCTTGTTAATTTAAACGTTTAAAAGTCCAAAAAAAGCCTTTAACACCGTTTAAAACATATTTAAAACACTTCATAAGCCTAAAACAATACAATTATCCATTTTCACCCTCTTTTACTATGTTACCCATTCTATTCTTCCAATTCTACGCCTAAAATCAGAAGAAAAACAAGAAAATAACTCACATTTGACCATTTTAAAACGTGGATAATGTTTTCCAAATTATATTCATCAAGTTGTCATAGTATTACGGTCTTATTACGCTTTGGTCTCTTCTGTCTATCCTATTTTATCCATCTTTTCGCAAAATCCTTCTTCAAACAATACCTTTTCGTTTCGCACGCTGCGGCTCACCCACGGCGTCTCTTGCAGGCTGCGGAATCTTTTTGTGCGCTGATTAGTTTTTTTTGTGTTTTTATTTGTTTTGAATTTATCTACTGCGTTTTAATAGTGAAGTTCGAATGTTAAACAACAGGTATATATTTTAGTAAGTTGTTTTACATTATTTTAGTTGTTAGCTTCAATTTTAGGTTTAAATCGCAGCTATTCGTTTGAGCATGCGGCTTGTTTGATAGAGAGATAAGTGTCCTGGAAATTTTCGAAAAGCAATAAACTGGACTTGATTTAAAGAGATTGCATTAGATTTTAAGGTGTTTTATGGTACTGAAAATGAGTTTTTTTATAAAGTGGCAAAAACTTTCTTTACAAACTTTAAAATGGCAAAAGATTTCTTTACATGGTAAAAATTGGCATGAACTTTCTTTACAAAACAAGAAATGGCAAGAACTTTCTTTACAAAAAATGGCAAGAACTTTTTTTACAAAACAAAAAATGGCAAGTACTTTCTATACAAAACATAAAATTGCAAGAACTTTCTGTACAATACTAAAAATGGCAAGAACTTTCTTTACAAAACAAAAAAAAGGCAAGAACTTTCTTTACATACTAAAAATGGCAAGAACTTTCTTTACAATACTAAAAATGGCAAGAACTTTCTTTACAAAACAAAAAAAAGGCAAGAACTTTCTTTACAGTACTAAAAATGGCAAGAACTTTCTTTACAAGACAAAAAACGGCAAAAACTTTTTTTACAAAACATAAAATGGCAAGAACTTTCTTTAAAACTTTTAAATTCGAATTTTCATGACTTACGCCACTTTAAATAGCTCCTTATTTACTTTATTTACATAAAGTGACGTTGATTAGCATATAAATTATAAGCCGAAGATCGAGTTTCTCCCTAAATTGTTTTTGATTTTATTTTCGGCCGATCAATCTCGGCTTTTCCGCTTTTCCTCCTCTTGGCTTCGAAATGACCTCAGGGCTTTTTTCCTCAATCTATATTGAGGGTCCTGTGATTTTCTTTCGCCACTCATTTGCATTCCAAATTTGTGGAAGGATGGACAGTCTCCATTACAATATGGCTTTCTTCACCGGTTTTTATTGAGTTTTCGTACAATTTTGTGCGATTTTTTCAGTTTGATTTAAAATTTTTATAGTATTGATACTTAAAAAAAAGTGAATTTTAGGGTGGGTTTTTTAAATATTATTTTAAGGCAGGGTAAATTTGAAAGCAAGGTGAAAATACGATTTTGGGCGGGGTATATTTTGAGATAAAAATGGATTTTAAGAGTAGCCATGAATTGTAAAGTAGAGCAATTTTAATAAATAAGAACTTAATAAGGCTTTAAGGCAGGGTACCATCTTCCATAAGGGGATTTCAGATAATAAGTGTTTTGTCAAATGGAGTGGATTTTAAAGTAAATTTAGCAGAAATAAGTTTTTTTTTATTTGGGGCACGGTCAAAAAGGGCAAAGGCTAAAACTCGAGCTATAGCTGCCGTTACGTTTAGTGCTAGAGCTTAGAATAGGGCTTAAGCTAGGGTTTAGACGTAGGCTTATGTTTAGGCTTGGAATTATACTAAGGTAAAACGAAAGCATTATATACTAACTTAAAAGCTAAGTCTAAGACTAGGCTTAGGTTAGGCACAGAAAATTTTTAAGCTAGGCTTAAGCAAGAGCTAGGGTTCTGGGCTAGGGCTCTGGACAAGAGCTGTGGGCTAGGGCTCTGGGCTAGGGCTCTGGGCTAGGACTCTGGGCTAGGGCTCTGGGCTAGGGCTCCGGGCTAGGGCTCCGGGCTAGGGCTCCGGGCTAGGGCTCCGGGCTAGTGCTCTGGGCTAGGGGTTTGGCCTAGGGCTTTGGGCTAGGACTCTGGGCTAGGGCTTTGGGCTAAAGCTCTGGGCTAGGGCTTTAGGCTAGGGCTTTGGGCTAGGACTAAAGCTTAAGTTAAAATTAAGCTACGGCTAAAGATAAATTTAAATAGGACTAAGCGGACAGACTTTATAATAGTTTTCTTTTATGCGTCACCATCGTTCGGCCTTAATTTTTGATAGATTATGATTAATATGACCTGTTGATAATTAAGCTGTTCGCTAGGATGAAACAATTGTCAGCTTTTGTGCCACTTCAAACTCTTTTATTAGTTATAGGCGTTTGAACGTTCTGACGGTTGTCAGACTTAATTAAAGTTAACTTTTCAGAGTTTTATAGTTACAGTATAAGTACCGTAATTTTGTTTTTTTGTAGTTTCATGACGTTATTTAAATTTTTAATTGATAAGAATAACATTACAGGTCGTATTTAACCATTTTTAACTATCTTTTTTTGCATTTTTAGGTGTTGTCATGGCTGGAAATGGCCCAAAGATCCAGCTGAATGTCGATTTGGATGACATTTTGAACACGACACTTGGGTTAATTGTCAATGTTAATGACAATGTTGGCACAATAGCCGGTGCTGTAGAGTATTACATGAAAGAACCTCTTAATGGTGTAAGTTATGCTTCACAACTTTAAACTTTGCTCTTCCCTAGCCCAGAGCCCTAGCCCAGAGCCCTAGCCTAGAGCCCTAGCCCAGAGCCCTATCCCAGAGCTCTAGCCCAGAGCCCTAGCCCAGAGCCCTAGCCCAGAGCCCTAGCCTAGAGCCCTAGCCCAGAGTTTTAGCCCAGATGCCTACCCCAGAGTCATTGCCCAGAGGTTTAGTTCAGAGCCCTAGGCCATTGCCCTAGTCCTAGCCCCGGGTTCCTAGTCAGAGTCCTAGATTTAGCTCTAGTTTCAGACTTACCCCTAGCCTCTAGCCCCTCGTTTTAGCCTTAGGCCCTAGCCCCTAGTCATAACCCTAGCGCTACCCTTAAAACTAGTCATAGTCCTAGCTCTTGCTCTAGTCTCGTCATCAAAACCTCAATTTTTAGACAGTCCACGACGTCGCTAAGATAGTGAACAATATCCAAACTATTACTCAAAATATGGCCGCTTCTTCAAACACCTTTTATCAACCACTACTGCTAATATTAGCTTTGATAATAGTAGTACTACTACTATTATCCATTTGCTTGTTTTGTATGCTACGTACTCGCCGAGAGTACAAAAAGCATCCTATTCGTTTTAGGCTTAGAAAGAAGAAACAAGGAAGACCGGCTCCGAGAGTACCTGAACATACTTCTACAGAGACTATTGATGACGTACCGCCTGGATACAGTGCAAAGCCTAAGAAAAAGGATGACACTTTGGTGTAGTGGTGTAGTAGCTTGATAATTTTGTCTTTCTATGACTTGGGAAAGTCATAATTTTTCAATTTTTTTATTTTTTCTAACATTTTTAATTTTTTTTTAAATTTAAAAATTTTTTTAATTTTCAAAAAAGTTGTACTTGTAACGGAAATCAGTCAAACTTGAACCATGCCATTTCATTTTTCCCCTCTGTGTCTTCTATATTGTATACATAACATAACACACATATCATTCTGCTGTTAAGATAAGCAAGTCTTGTTTTAATTTTTTAAGAATATGTTACAGTAGGCTTCATTTATAATACCTAAAAACAAAGGAGGATAAACGAGGCATAGTGTAACGAACAATCTATAGCTAAACACAAGCTTCGTGTAACACACGTCTATTGTAAATTTGTCGTACTGTAGTACATAAAGAGATTTCTAATAAAAGCGTGGTCAGTATTAATAAGCTATAGAAAACTCGTTATAATTAATATTAACTATCCCTATCCCTTCTGTTTAAAAAAAATAAAAAAGCTGAACGTAGCCTGCTTGCCCTAGGCTAACATGTTCTACCCGAAGCGGTTAGGCCAGACTTTAATCAAAAAAAATATACCATATCATAGTAATAGCATAAAACTATGACTAAAACGAATATAGTATTCATAAAAAATTCTAATCCAATTAGTACTCTGATTAATCTATATCTGAAGACAATATTAGTAACTAGAAACGGCGTGTTGCTCTAATAAAACTGCCCTTTTAACAGAAGATTAATTTTTATAAATGGGATACGATCTCTAAATAAGTATGAGTCAGAAGAGAGACAATATTATAGTAATTAACCGTTTCTTAATGTAGGGCTTAGGCTAGAGCTAAGGCAAAGAATGGAACTAAGAACACGACAAAGACCGGGTTCAAACCAGGACCACTATCATGACCAGGAATACCCCCTACACCAGGACCAGAAACAGAACCAGGACCAGAAACAGAACAAAAGTAAGAAAAAAACACAAAGAATAAGAAGAAGAAGAAGAAGAAGAAGAAGAAGAAGAAGAAGAATAAGAAGAAGAAGAAGAAGACGAAGAAGAAAAACAACAACAACAACAACAACAAGAAAAACAACAACAACAAAAAAAACAAAAAAAAAGAAAAACAATAATAAGAAACATGCTCAAGACTAAAGCTAGGACCAAAGCCAAGACTTGAGTTAGGCCTATGACATCTGTAACCTCTTTAGCCTGATTAATTTTCAAATCTCAATTATAAATACTTTATTTATTATAGTTAAGTAAAACATAAAAAACCCGTATTTAGTACAATATATAAAAGATACAACTAAATAAATGTAAAAATGTCAAAATAAATTAAAAATACTTGGCAGCATTAATCTGCTTTGCACCAACATTACATTCCTTCAAGTTGGTACACGTATCTAATGGTTTGTAAATTCCAAGCAGCATGGCTGAGTCCATATGATCAGCTATAACATGGAAGTTTGGTGGTAGGATTGCCAGGCATCGGCGACGATACTGTAGCAAAAATTTAATTTATTATAGTATGAAATGTTCAACTCCTTCACTGACTTTAGTTTAAAATGTCATATTTTGATTTATAGGTCTGATAAAAAACCCCGTATTTTACAAAAAAAAAGTATCTTTGACCTACTTCAAAGTAACGTTTACAAAGATGTTTAAGCTTGTGCCTTAATACTCTTCGACTAGTAACGGCTTGATAGTTGACAAATGAGTTATCCAACACCTTTTGACATCCTGTACAGAAATCTTTGTGTTTTTCTACGATTGAGCTGTAGCATATGATCTAAAGTAATATAAATGATTAAAAAAAACTTTTTATATTATGTTGTTCAAATAGTTATGGGCCGTCTTACACCAAAAAATTGTTTCAAGAAGAAGCTCAGAATCATTTCTACCCTACCCTACCCTACCCTACCTTACCCTACCCTACCCTACCCTACCCTACCCTACCCTACCCTACCCTACCCTACCCTACCCTACCCTACCCTACCCTACCCTACCCTACCCTACTCTACCCTACCCTACCCTATTCTACTCTACCCTACCCTACCCTACCCTACCCTACCCTACCCTACCCTACCCTACCCTACCCTATCCTACCCTACCCTACCCTACCCTACCCTACCCTACCCTACCCTACCCTACCCTACCCTACCCTACTCTACTCTACCCTACCCTACCCTATCCTATTCTACCTGCACTATACTACCCTGACCTATTCTATACTACCCTATATAATCCACTTGCAAACACCCTATCTTGCCCTCTTATGACCTAAATTATCGTACCTTACTTTACTCTACTTTAATTTCTTACTGTAGCTTATTCTAATCTTCCTTACCTTATGTAATTGTTCTATAATTCTAGCTTTCTTCCCTAACATTCTGAGCTACCTAGCTTAATTTACCGTGTTTTACCTCTACCAAACCTCATCTCCGTCCAAAATCAGCATCCCCTTACTTCGAAAAAGATTACCCTACTTTACTTTGCTTTGCCCTTTAAAACTCTACCCCACCTTATACTCTGCATTGCTTTCTGTATTATCATACCTTGCCGTGCTCTATTGTATATAAAATCTGTCTTAACCTACTCAAAATCTCCTCTGCTTTCAAATTCATATCATCTTTCTTACCTCCCCTGCCTTAACAAAATAAGCTTCAGCTTTTAAATCTACCCTTCAAAATGACAATTCAAACAAAACTTTCAACTTTAACCCACCGAAACAATAGCGAAGACAAACACGTTGACCTGCCACATACAAATAGTAATAATAAACCGAATGGACAATGCAACGACCAAAATACAAGAAAAAACAAACAAGCGTGGGGAACAATGGAAGGTCCAAAACAAAGACCTTTAGGGTCGCGGGGCCGAAAGGCCAACCCTCGCGTCTAATACCAAGGTTTACTAGGGTTTAGACGTATTAAAAATTATTATTCCTAATTTTTCATATTAAAATGGCCAGAACATTATTTACAAAGCAAAAAATTACGAGAACTTTCTTTAAAAAATAAAAAATGGCAAAAACTTTCTTTACAAAAAATGCAAACTTTAGTAACTTTCGTATAAATTGGCTCCCGCAGTTTGCAAAACCCTCAAATTAAAAAAAATGCATTTTTAAAGTCGAAAATGACATAAACTTCTGTTACAAACTAAAATTGACAAGAACTTTCTTTACAAAGTCATAAACTGCAAGATCTTTCTTTGCAAAACAAAAAATGACAAGAACTTTCTTTACAAATTCAAAAACTGTAGGAACTTTTTTAACAAAGTTAAAAATTGACAAAAACTTTCTTTACAAAGCAAAAAATGCCAAAGCTTATTGGCTATCGTATAACTTGTCACCCGCAGCTTGCGCCGCTGAAATATTGGCTTATTTTTTTAAAAGAGCAATAACTTTCTTTACAAAACAAAAAATGCCAAAGCTTATTGGCTATCGTATAACTTGTCACCCGCAGCTTGCGCCGCTTAAATATTGGCTTATTTTTTTAAAAGAGCAATAACTTTCTTTACAAAACAAAAAATGCCAAAGCTCATTGACTTTCGTATAACTTGTCACCCGCAGCTTGCGCCGCTTAAATATTGGCTTATTTTTTTAAAAAAGCAATAACTTTCTTTACAAAACAAATTTTTAAACTTTTTATTAGTATATACATGAAATGACAATATTTACTTTTAAATAAAAGTTAAATTACATTTCAATAAGTTAAAGCAATTCCAATTTGACCACTAAAGTCCAGCACTACACAGTACTGTTTCAAGAACGGTGAACCCAATCGCCAATCCGAATGTACACTGTAGTAATTTTTAAAAGCTAACAAGCATAGTCCATCTTTGTTGGTAATCTCTTTTACTATCAACAGCTGAGATGATATTGGGTATTCTTGTTGATTAAATGTCAATACAACGTTGAACTCGGCGTTACAACTAACGTAGTAGGTGTCTTTGAAAGCGTCGTATGTAGCGCCAATCGGCTTTGACAACATTTCTAAGATGTTTCTTGGGCCGCCGACGTATGGATAAGATAGGTCTAGCTCTGTCTAAAGCTTTATAATGTTAGTTAATAATATGGTAACCTAGGAATATTGTAGTCATACACTATCATAACCTATCCTACTTTAGCCTACTCTATCTTATCCTAAAAAACCTTACTCTAGCCTACTGTATTATACTTTACCCTATCGTAAACCGTACTGTTCTATATCGTGCTCTCTACTCTAATCCAACGTAAGCTGACGCACGGTATGCGTGTTCCTCTACCATATGTCACTGTGCTTTATGTATAACTGTATCTTTCGTAAGGCCGGTATGAACAGCCGTACTCTATGTTACTACAACATACTTTAAATCTGTAATTTATCTTATCTTACTTTACTCTGCCCTACATTACCGTCTCTTAATGTATTTTAATATATTATCACACTGTACCTAAGCTACGATCATTTATATAGTAACCCGATAGACTTATTCTCTGTAGAAATTTAAAGAGATATCAGACTATGAGAGAAAAAGTGGCCCAGGCAGGTGTCAAAACCTGCATCCTTCGTTTACCGGACGAATGCTCTACCATTTAAGCTACCGGGGCTCCTTCTCTCAAAGCCTTAATCTCGATCAGTTCTTATCTATCTCAGTTGCTTTTTCCATTGTTTTTATCCGAATATTTAACCGGAATATTTGACAATCCCAAGAGAAGAAGAAAGTCATATTTGTTGTTGTATTTCAGCTTCTTTACAACGCTTTCTTTTGGCCTTCCGTGAGATTTCTTTTTAATCATAGAGACTTCCTATAATTTGATTTTTTCTGTGTCGCTTCCTTGACTTCATGGTTGATTCAGTGGTTTTTTGTTCTCCTTCTTTTGCCTGACTGTGCAGCGATTCTTTCTGCGATCATTGATTTGTCAATGACTCCCCAGCGGCGAGAGAAATGCGTTATCCATTTGGTCAATTGCACCATGTAGAATTTTAAAGAGATATCAGACTATGAGAGAAAAAGTGGCTCAGGCAGGAGTCGAACCCTGCATCCTTCGTTTACCGGACGAATGCTTTACCTATTAAGCTACCGGGGCTCCTTCTCTCAAAGCCTTAATCGCGATCAGATCTTATCTATCTCAGTTGCTTTTTATATTGTTTTTATCCGAATATTTAACCGGAATATTCGACATCTCTTTACTCTGACTATTTAATAATGCGCTTACGCTTCCTCTCCTGTCTTACCTTCCAATCATTTTCTGCAGCCACACTATCAACTCGAATCTTCTTCATCTCCATCTTCCAAGAATAATCATCTACAGTAGGCTCAAACTCTGATATCAAGCTACAATGTTCATTATCAACACCACCAAATGCAATGTACCCAGCCGGTTCACTTTCCTTCGAGTTAAGCCATAGGCTTATCATGTTTTCATCAAGTAAGCCTAATCGAACAGCTTGAAACATAGGACTTTCTACATTATGATAGGCTACTGTAGTTTGTCGTGCTAGACCATACACACCGTCGTATCTGGATTCTTTATATTCTTCTGGAAATTCGGTAGCCAAGCCTATTGTTGTGTGAGGTAAGCGTAGAGAACGGCCTACACTTAGACTGTCTTGAGCTAGTTTTCCACTGGCTTTACCGCCAATGTAGTTGATCTCCCAGTAACGGTCATCTACAAATATATATGTAACAATTTAATATGAATACTGGAGCTTGCTAAAAAACTTTACCCTACCCTACCCTACCCTACCCTACCCTACCCTACCCTACCCTACCCTACCCTACCCTAACCTACCCTACTCTACCCTACCCTACCCTACCCTACCCTACCCTACCCTACCCTACCCTACATTACCCTATCTAATCCTACCCTACATTAACCGACCTTGCGATGACTTAAATTACACTGTCTTACATTATTCTATCCTACACTGCATTGCCTATACCTTGTCCATATCTTGCCTATACCCTGTCTTGCCTCACCACCCTTTATTTTACTTTGCCTTACCGTAGATTGCGCTACCGTATCATACTATAGTCTATGCTACTTTACGAGCCTTGCTCTGCCCCCACCCTACTCTAACTTTTCTTACTCTACTATGGCGAACCATAAAGCTACAGTCTCTTACCTAAAGCTTCGCCTTACTGAATGTAATTTATAGAACTTACCTGTACCATATGTCCCTGACAAAGTGCTGTCATATTTATGTTTGTCCTTACACACTGGATCCAAAAAGCTGTCTTTTGATCTTCGGATATTGTCTATGGCATTTTCAAATAAAAACTTATCATCAATAGCTACTCGAACATCAGTTACGGATGCCTTTTTAGTACAACAATGTGTTTTACACAAGCTCTTGCACATGAATGCTGAAAGATATGCTTTTAATCATCTAACTTTACATATCATGTAAAATTACAGTAAAACTTTTATCAATAAAATTTTTTAAGCCATCATTAGAACTTACGTATTTTACACTTTGCAGTACATTCACATTCAATGTCCGGTACCCAGACATTACCAAGGTTAATGTCAAATGCAACCGTAAAGTTTTGCGGCGGATCTCCGATGGTTATGTTACCTAAAATTAAGTTCACTATTATACCTAAAATACAGTTTACAATGTTTTAACTTCATTTTGATCTTTTTTTACCTTCAGCATTAATTTTCAATAAGCTCTTATCAAATTAAAGCCAATCTTTACATTTCTTCTTGATCTTTGAGTCCCACCACGAAAACTTGAAATGATATTTATCATATAATCCTTTATAAAACAATGCTTTATATTACCATTTGAATTAAAATATGAATTTTTAAACTACTAAGAATATCTTTTGTTCGTACTTTTTTAATTTTTGGGTCCCACCACGAAAACTTAAAAAACCTTTTTTATCACATATTGCTTATAAAATTATACAATCTAACGCTAATTAAATAAAAATTTGCATTTCTAAACTGGAAAATGATCTTTACTACCATTTTTTATTTTTGGTTCCTACCAAGAAAACTTGAAAAAAAATCTATTTCTTCAAAACATGTGTATCCAATGCACTGATTGGTAAAAATTTAGCAATCATACACATTTTTAAGACTTAAAAGATTTTATTTTTGTTTTTCTTAACTAAAAAACGTACCAACATAGTCATTCCCCTCCAACAAATCCAATGTTTCTCCGCTTTTCCTCACGTTACTCGGCAAACTTTTCGTCAATTCTACTTTTACTACGTCTGAATTTACATTAAACACAAAGCAAAAAAATGCTATGACTAGAAGCATTGTCGAGGCAGCAAAAAGCAATGTGCAACAAACGTGAAAATTTGATAAAATGAGGTCAAATTCAACGATTTATATTGTGAAGTAGCGTTATCAATGAAACATTTGCAGTTATCACTGACAATCTTTTTTAGCAGTTATACCGGATTCAAATAAGATTAATTGTTGTTCTGAAATTGAAGTTTAATGATTTTTATATAAGAAAAGACTATGGTAGAAAAATTTTAAAATGTTGAAAAAGTATGGTTGCTTTAGAACTAACACGCAGTAAAATATAGAGAAAAACATGCAAGAAGGATATAATATTAGCTTTAGAATAAGACTACAAACTACCTAAAATCATAAAAAAATAAGAGACAGGATAGACCATGGGCAAGGCAGAATAAGACATAGCCAAGCTCAATCAGGGTAAAAAATAAGCCGAACTAAGCAGAGTCAGACATGAACAGGGCAAGCCATGGTTAAATACAGGCAAGGCAAGGCAAGGTATAGGCAAGGTAAAGCATGAGAACATGGTAGAATGTTGTAAAGCCAAAATTTCAAAGCTTTTTATTTTTTCAATTAGTATTTTTTATTTTAGTAAAAGAAATTGTTTCTCTTTTCATGTCATGAATGTTACAGTATGCTCGCATCAAAGGCGTTCCCAAGATAGCTACGCCATCGCCGTCCTGCCCAGCTACGGCTACAATACAGCTGCTAGACATAGTTCGCTTAACTAGTAGATGTTCATGAGTTAGTTCTAGTACTCTGTCTAAAAATGGCATAAATTTGTTTTTTAAAAAAATTTTAAATAAATTTTTTTTTTAAATTTGAATTAGGTGTTACTATTATATTATACTTACCATAACCATTGCTATTTTTAACATGAAATTTCAATGAAAATTGTTCAGTACAATCAGCAGTAAGAGTACCGTATCGATCTACTGAAGCATGAAGTACTTCAGCAATCTCTTTGACAATAGAGTTGTCTACTACTAGATAACTGGTGCCGGTGTCTGATATTGCCTAAAATTTTAAAAGGAAATTAGAATTATCTACTTTACCCTACCCTACCTTACCATACCCAATACTACCCTACCCCGCCCTACCCTATCTTACCCTGCCCTACCCTACTCTACCCTACCCTACCCTACACTACACTACCCTACCCTACCCTACCCTACCCTACCCTACCCTACCCTACCCTACCCTACCCTACCTTACGCTGCCCTACCCTACCCTACCTTCTGTCCTGTCTTACCACACCCTACACTAACGTCATATACATACCCTATTTTGCCATGCCCTGTCCTCCATACCCTTTGCTAACCCATACTATGTTTTCTATTCTATTCTAGCTTACCACGCCCTACTGTAACATATTTTATCCTACCCTGCTCTACCTTACAATACTTTACTTTAAACTATTTTGTCCCTTTGTATCCCCTAGCATTACTTATTATTAACCTTATCTACACAATATTACATTCTATCATTCCCTACCCTACCATAACCAAAATTCAAAAACAAAATAGAATGTGAAACACACCGAGAACTCCTTAGGCCCAATTTCTCTGTCCTTTGTATCTTGTTTATGTCTCAAAACAATTTTTTCGACCACAAACTGCCAATACCCAGCATTTTCCAGCTCAACTTCAATCAGATTACTATTCTCACAATGATCTTCATCAATACCACCGTAAGTGATTTGACCTCCATCAGCACCTCTTCTGTCATTCACTGGCGACATTTTCATCCATACGGTGAAGATTGGAGATACTAGGCCATCTTTGTAGGCCTATAACAGTGGTTGTGGTGAGCTTTTTTTTATTTTTAAAGTAGAATTTCAAAAAATTTAAAAATTTTTTAAAAAATTTCATATTTTGTTTTTTAAAATCGAAAAAAAAACCTTACTTTAACAAAAGGCGGATCAATTTGGCCACCTGAAAGTGAAGTAAATCCAAGACCCAGTATACCATCCAAATAAGTGTTTTCGAAAAATTCAGCCATCAAAAAAGCACGCCCAAATGTTACCTAAAAAAGTACATTTTACTAAAGTAAGTTGAGTACGTACTGTAAGACAAAGAGATATAAGTAGGATGTTGCAAACAAAAAATATAGGAAGGTCGCCATACAAAATTAAAGAAGCAGGGGTAAAGCTAGGGTTCGAATTTGGTCTAAAGCTAAAACTAGCTATTGGGCTAGAGCTAGAATTAAGGCTACTGCTAGTAGTAAGACTAACAAGTAAGACCTAAGTTTGAGCTAGGGCTAAAGAAAAGATCTGTAGGGTAAAAATTTAGGCTAAGACTAAGCCTATGACAAGAGCTATAACTAAAGCAAAAGTAGAAATTAATCTAAAGCCTATGACTAGAACAATAGGCTAGGACTAAGGCTAAAACTAGGGCCAAGGCAAGAGCTCGGGATTAAGCTAGGGCTGGTTCTAAGGCTAGGACTGGAGCTAGGGCCAAGACTAAGGCTGAAGCTAGGGCTGACGCTAGTGCTGACGCTAATGCTAGGTCTGAGGCTAGGGCTGAAGCTAGACCTGAAGCTAAGGCTGAGGCTGGGGCTAAAACTGCAGCTAAGGCTACAACCTTACTTTATTAACTCTCAAACTATTGTCATCATTCGGATTGCCAAACCAAACATCATCAGTCCCCAGTTGGCCTTGAGCACTACCAGTACCATAAAGCACCGAAAAGTATTGACTCATGCTTTCAAAAGTCTCTGAGTTTCCAGTTATGAACCTCTTTTTATCTCCACAGCTCTCAACCTCTTCAGGCATTTTGCCATTTGAAAATGAACATTGTGATGCACAAAAGTATCGTCGGAAGACCTCTAAAAGTTAAATTCTAAAACGGCATAGAACAACCAAAAATGGTCCAAATAATGATAAATAGTAATAAGCAGTAAAAAATAGTACCAAAACTCAAAAAACAGTACCAACTAAAGATAAATAGTGCTAAAGAATGAGAAATAGTACTAAACAGTGAAAAATTGTGCCAAACATCAAAAAAAGTACAAAAACTCAAAAAAATAGTAGCAACTAAAGATAAATAGCACTAAAGAACGAGAGATGGTACTAAACAGTGAAAGATTGTACCAAACATCAAAAATAGTACCAAAAAAAGTAGTACCAAACAATGAATAAATAGTACTATATAGTCAAAAACAGCATCAAAAATCAATAGTACCAAAAAATTAAAAATAGCACTAAAACTCAAAAATAGTACCAAAAATCAAAAATATTACCAAAAGTCGAAAATTATACCAAAAAACTAAAAGTGTACTAAACGATGATAAATATTACGAAAAACCAAAAATAGTGCCAAACCTACCATTTTGACAGAACCGATGACATCTTGCAGTACAATTCTCGTTTGGGACCCAAAAGTCGCTGGATCCCGTATCCAAAACAACTTGGAATCTCTGTTTGTTACTACCCAAATATATATTACCCACATATTCAACATCAAGGTAGTTTTTAAACCGCTGATGTTTTTCGCTGTTTAAACGCATTTCAAACATACTGGCTATTGAAACGTCATGAATCTTTTTAATGTCATATAGCGACTCATTGACTAAAAAAATTTTTTTAAGCAAGTAAAAAAATATTTGCTAACCCTATGCATACTAAACGAGTCTACTGTCTTAGCCTACATAGCCTTCGCATACTAAGCCTATGATTACTCAACCAAAGCCTACTAAGCGTACGACTACTAAGCCTAAGCCCACTAAACTTAAGCCTAATAAGCCTACCCTACTAAATCTAAGCCTACTTAGCATAAGGTTACTAAGCCTAAGACTACTAATCCTGAGCCTGCCAAGCATAAGCTCGCTGAGCATAAGCCTGCTAACCCTACTAAGCCTTGCCTACTAAGCATAAGCCTACTAAGCCTAAGACCAGCAACACTAATAAAAAAAATCTTTGAGTATAAAATAACTTACAGTAGTTAGGTTTGTTCCGACTAATATCATCCTTGACCCTAGTCAAAGGTATTTTGAACAATTTAGGCTTCTTTATCACATTAGCATAACAACTACAATATAAAATAAAAAATAAGATTAACAAGAAAACGTTCATTTCCAAGTTATAGTAATAAAAAGAGTTTTCCTGTTTTAAGCCTGCAGAGACATTTTTTCTGGTTATGGGATAGTTCCTTATCACTTCCATTAGTATTTGCATTAAACGTCACTCCCTTATCTTTTCTGTTATTAGTCACTGTTATGACCTCTTTTAGTCTGTAATCCTCTATATTTTACCTTTGCAAACATGTGAGAGTAAAGGTAAAGGTAGGGTTAAGTGTAGGGTAGGAGTATAAGAAGAGCGGGTAGAGGTAAAGGTAGAGGTTGAGGCACTGGTAAGCGAATGGAAAGGAGTAAGGGTAAAAGTAGGAGTATCTGTACGGGTAGAGGTAGTGATAGGGGTAAAGGTCGGGGTAAGAGCTGGAGTAAGGGTTGGGATAGGAGTAAAGGTCGGGATAAAGGTAAAGGGTGTTTTCAAAATCCATTAATTCTTTAGTTTTTTCATTTTTTGCACTTTGCAACCCCTTTTTCCACGCTTTTTAATTCAAAAGTTAGCCTAAATTCTGGCCTAGCCTATTTCAAGTATCAAGATCAAACAAAAAATTAATTTTAAATCCCTCCCCTGCCTACCCCATTAAAAAACAACCAAACGTTTTTTGTTATCAAATTTATGTTTATTAAAAATATTAACAAAAAAGTACCCGTGCAAGACTACTATTTAACAAGAGACGTTCAGACATAGCTTCGTTTGAAATTTGGGCTGAAACGGTACCGTTTGACTGAAAACGGTTTGGATTAGTGATAACTATGCTACAAAATGAATTTTAGGTAACAAAAAAAATAAATTTTAGACAGAAAAAAGCGTAAAGAAAGTTTTTTAGAAGAAAAACACATAATAAAACAGTAACATTGACGATTTGACAGTTAAAGTTCGACGGATGATTTAAAATAACAAAATTTGAAGTTACAGATTGACTAAAACAATGTTTTCGACATTTCACAATATAGTAAGTTAGAAAAACATTAATATTTACAATTATTATGATCAAAAATACTTAAAAAGCTGAAAAAATTAGCGTTGAACGGCCAACCATTCGTTTTACAGTCGTATTATGTATCTAAATTTATAAAAACGTGAGAAATAAAATGCTTTATCCTTCTTCTTTAATTTTTCAAAAATTTGTTACCTAAACATATAAAAAATACATTGTAAACCAAGCTAAAATCACTTACAATCATTCTCGTCCATTGACTTATTGTTATTCGAATACATTCGCTCATATTCCTCACTAAAAGCGCTCATATCTGGTGTTAGGTTCATGTGATGAATAATACGACCAGTCTTAAGGATTTCTGAGTTTTTACCACAGTTCAAACTCATTACTCCTTTGTAAACGCTAGTTGAACCACATTTTAGCGAGCAAACATCGCCTGGTTGAAGGTAATGAACGGCTTCGTCCCATAACGTCAAGTTTATGCATCCACTTTCATCGCTGACTTTAAAAGAACAATGTGTATGTCCATTTGCTGCTGTTCTGCTTTGAGCTGAAGTGAAATAAGTTAACTAATCAGTTTACTGCTGATTAAACAAAAAAAATGGATTTCTTGAAAATGCTAACTTTCTTAGGTTTCTGCCATTTTCAATTACTACGACTTCTAAATTTCTGTAAGTTTAAAAATATTTGTTTTTGAAATACATAGCCCAAAGAAAATCCTTACATTATACAAACTTTTAAGTCCCTATTTACTTTCACAAAAAAGTTATACTCAAAATAATACGACCAACATCAATTTTGTCAAAGTTAATATAAAATTTAATCAAAGCAAACACGTTTCATGTTCAAATCAGCCAAAACACCATTGCAAACCTTATACCTAAATCAAAAAACAAAATAAACTATAAAAACATACCTTTTTCCAAGATAATGAAAGTGCAGTTCAGGTTCTTCACTCCTGGCTTAAGTTCAGCAATTAAAGTAATATTTCGAAGCGGCGTTTCAACAGTCATCAACGTTCTTGGTGGATGAGCTTCGATTACCTGAGGATCATTCATTTTTTTCCAGTTCAGAAGCGTTTTGGTGTCGAAGTAAAGTTAAATAAGCCTGAAAAATCAAGTATAACATAAGGAATTAGAGGTTTAAACAAAACATTTAATAAATAAGACGTTCTTACCTCAAATTTTAGCTAAAATATATAGAAAATTATGGCTAGCAAAACAATAAATATTTATTTTATTATTTTCTATAAAATATGTCGTTTAAAAGGTAAAATATCGCGTAACTCTGACGGATTTTTCTATTTTCAAGCCCCACAACGAAAGATTTGGCTTGGCAAAACGAGAAATTAATTCGGAAAAATATTTTGATTTTACGTTGGCAGATTTTTTATGAATAAATTGGCATGAATTCTTTGTGTTCTGGTAAGTTTTAGTTATTAATGTTATGTTAGATACTTTATCTTGAATTTTATAATTAGTTTTTTCGAATTCACTTGAGTTATATTAATGTTTTCAGGTATAAAAGCTTTCTTTTCCTTTTGTACAGTCCACAAAAAGCTTGTTCTGTTCCGACTATGCATTTTCCTTGGCCAGAGGACATGGTTCGTGCCTGATGAATACTTTCAAGTGAGTTTTATCTTGTTTTTATGTTTATTTTTAGAGTGTTGAAGTAGCTTATTCAGAAGTCTTCGGAAAAGGTACCAAAACTTGGGAATGGGAACCAGACAAAGCTTTGAGATCTTATCTACATCCTTTGTTCTATATGGTGCCGTTTTATGTTTTAAAGTTGTTAAACTTGGACACAGCGTGGGCTTTTCAATTCACCGTTGGATTGATTCACTTTATATTAACATTGGTCGCTGATGTAGCCATAACTCAATGTTATCGTCGAATTTTAAGTAGGTTTTGGGTTTGTTCTCTTCTTCTATATCTTCTTTTACTTTAGGTAACAAAAAATCCCAGGATACTGCTTTGATTTTGTATCAAATGAACTGGTTTATATTATACTGCACACCAAGGACGTTGGCAAACACAATTGAGATGTTATTGGGTGTTTATGCTGCAGCTTTGTATCCAAAAGTGGCGTTCATACCTTTAGTGTTGTTGGCTGGTCTTATTCGACCTACTTCAGCTATTGTTTGGGCTCCATTGGTGTTACAGGTACTGTTCAAAGGAGGATTCAAGTTTATCGGGTAGGTTAATATTATCTTGATGTTTTTTTGCTGCTTTTAGATGGAGTTTTGGTTTAATTTTAAATGATAGCTAAGATAATACATTTTTAGCAAGTTTATATTGATATCTATTGTTCTGGCGGCAATAACAATATCAGTGGACTATTCTTTCTACGGCAAACTTACTATACCTGTTATCAACTTTTTTTTGTTCAATATTTACACTGGTGGGAGCTCTAAATTTGGTGTCAATTCCATATTCTACTATCTTGGTGGTCTAGTATCATTAGCACCAGTTGAATCCGTCTTATTGGTTCTACTGATACTTTTTAACCTCAAAATGGTCTCATCTCACCTAAAATGGATGTGGAAGAAGGAAAGAATGGTGATTACCTACTGTTTACTTTCGTTGTTGTACATTTTGATACATTCGGCAATACCACACAAGGAACATCGCTTTCTACTACCAATCATACCATTTATAGTACCATTGGTCGCTTCGTTATACTCGAAAATTTGTCCAAAGACTTCTATTTTCAAGTTTGCTATGGTTAATATACCATTCATTCTGATCTTTGGACTGATTCATCAATGTGCACATCAAAATGTAATGAGAGAGGTTGGTCATAAGGTAGAACGACATGAAAATGGCAAGATTTCGTATCTTACACCGTGTTATAGCCTACCACATTATGCATGGCTACATCCAAATGGACTCAAGTGGAATATCAGTCAGTTGGATTGTATTAGTAATATTGATGGAGATGAGGTAAGCCTATTTTTATGAAAAAATTTGATTTTCAAAAAATTTTGGTTTTTAGTTTTAAAAAAGTCCTGACGTCAAATCACGTGTATTTCAAGGTTAAAAAACGACAAAACTTTCGAATCACCTTTATATAGCGAAAAATCGTTTTAAAATAGAATTTAGTGATAAAAATTTTAAAATCAATTAAATTTCATCATTTTAGGACAAAAGCCCTCAAGACCTCTTTTTCGAAAACCCAATAACAGCCATTACTAACGATTGGGACAAATACGTTGGAGATGCCAAAATCATTGTAATGTACGACAAACTAATCAATGAAATAGCCGAATCAGGACTAAAAGATCGATTTGAACGGGCTTACAACAACATATCATTCTTCCACACCTTTTGGCCCGTGGGAGAGAATTCAGGCCAATATCTGATTGTTTTTACCAGGAAATGATGGTAACTACACTTATGTTAGTATTGTTGTACTTAAACTTGCTTTATATGGTTGTTAAATGATCTCTATCGATTTAGTGGTCTGAGAACGAGTCCCTAGATCACCTTACTGAATAGATCTCTTCTGGAAGTAGGCCGCCTTAATGATAGCTCTACTCAAGACTGCCTCTACTCATTTTAACTCTACACAAGCCTACTCGTACCTTTTTAACCTCCCTTCCCCCCTCTATAGCACGTCTCTGATTTGAATGTATGTCTTATTTATTAATATTAAATTACATGTTAGCAATCATCCTCTCGCACATTAATTCAGTTCAGGTGAAGGTTCCTTCTCCACTTTTTTCACATCAAGACGCTGACGGCTGGCTTCTAAACTACCCTCCATCGATTGATCCTTAAGGTAGTTCTCCAAGGTCTGCTTATACGCCGATACCTCAATTTGCTGCCCACAAAACAGGCTACCATTCAGCCTCAAACCATCTATCTTCTCTCCAAGCGTGACGTACTCAACCTGTGCTACGCCTACAGTGCTGTTCTGAAACGTAATTGATACGTTAGCTATACGGCCTCGACATTCGAAATGCTTGGCTAGTTGGCGTGGCATTGTTCCAGCTGGCACATTGAAGACATACCGAGTTCCTGTCGCTTTCTTGAGCTGGGGTTAATTGTTTAACCTTCTCGGTTAGCGACATCTCTTTTAAACTTCTTCCAAACCTCGAGACGAATGCTACTTTTGCAATCCTTCTTTTTTCAATCTTCTTAAAGTGTAATTTACCATTGTTGATCTATAATGAAAGTTCATAAACAAGAAAACTTTAGTAGAAGGCGTAGGCTATTAAAGCTTAGGTTCTTGAAGGTTTGATCTTAGAAGGCTTAGAAAGTTCCGTCTTAGGAAGCTTAGGCTAACGTAGCCTTACAAAGTTTTGGCTTAAAAAGAGTAACAATTGATAGATTTAGGCTTATAAATATTAGGCTTAGAAAGTTTGGCTTTATGATTAAAACTTTAACGCTCTGTAGGCTCATGTAAGATGTAGGCTTAGAAGGTTTAATACTAAAATTTGTAAACTTAGTAGACATAGGTTCAGAAGGCTTAATTTTAAAAGCGGCATGATTAAAAAGCATAGGATAAAGATTTTTAGGTTTAGAAAAATCAGGCTTAGCTTTAAAATTTTAAGCTTAAAAAGGACGCCCTTGGGCTTATAAGGCTTAAGGTGAGCATTTATAGGCTCAGCACATTTAGACAAAGAAAGGTTAGGGTTGTTTTAGCTTTATAAGCTTTTTGGTTCATTATATTGATAATCAAAGAAGTATACATAAATTTAAAAAAAAAGTTTAACTTACTGATCCAGTTCTTATTTTTATAGGAATAAATGTAATTAAAGATGGCAACAGCTTACGATGGTCAAGATATTTACGAATGAAATTATAGATCTTAGATACCTAAACGGCGCCAAATCTGCACAAAAAAGCTTTAAGGCGTATTGCGTACTTGTTCTTTAGTATGTTAAGGTGTTTTAATTTCTGCGCTTTTAGTTTCTTAGGTAACATTTGTCTCTTTTGTTTAAGTTTTAATATAGCACAAGGTAGAAAGGTGAAGTATAGAAAAGAAATAGGGTACGGTATATTTTCTAAGACGAAATCATATGATTTCTTTTGTTGACTTTTGTGAAACTTTCTAATAGACATTAACAGGGCTTAAGTTTTAATCCTGATTAGTTCTCTGAAGCGTTCTAAAATTGTCAGCGATAACACTAGTGATAAGGTTTTGCTTTTTCCAAATATGGCATGATACGTTCATTGGGAACACGTTGAAGTAAAAAACAGAAATTAAAGTTTAACAAACAATTTAAATGTCTAAATTTAAAAAAAGTAGCACAGTTGAAAAAAAAAGGTCGTTCTAATTTTTAAAGTACAACCCGCTTGTGAGGTCTAATCTGCATAAAAATTGATAACGGTTTATTATTTTTTTATTATGAACAAATACGTATTTGAAAAGTATTTTGTATTATTGTTGTTTCAAACGTTTTACCGTAGCCTAGTCTTACTTGTGCGTCGTCCTATTCATAGCCTTGCGCTAGCTTTGCTTTAGCCTTGCCCTTATCTTATTCTTCTTATAGTAGAATAAGATAAAGGCAAGAGAGTAGGGTAACTTGCTTTTTCTTAGAGTTGTTTAACTTTGTTTTAGCCTTGCTTTAGCTATGTTTTAGTCCCAGTTCTGAATGAAGCCCTAGACCTAGCTTTAACCATATCCTAGCTTTCATTCAGTTCTTTTTTAGCGCTAGCCTTAGCCTCACTATGCGTTCGTCTTTGTACTTGTCCTAGACTGAATCTTAACTTTAGGTAGAGCCTGAACACTCGTTAGCCCTGCCAGTAAATTTCTTAGTTTTACCTAGCCTTTAGCTTTGGACTGGTTATATGCAAGCCCTACCTTAATTATGCTTAATGTATAATGAATTAGTGTAATCGATAAACTTTTTGACCGCTTTTAAAAGCTTTTGTAACTATGCATAAATAAAAAGATGTATATACTTGTACAATGATGTATTAGGTATGTATAATCATACCTATGTATTAGATATAATCGTACTTACCATCAAATAGACTTTTATCTACAATCGCTCTTTTGATCTCAACTTTTAAAACTTTTTTGCAACTTTAATCAATAAATTAATCAAACTTGAAAATGCTGGAAAATGTTTAAGAGCATGTTTGTAACGCTGTTCGGTGCACTGATAACGAAAAATGGAATTTGAACCTCTAATGGCTCTACCTTGTTGTTGACAATATAACTTGAGAATTCTACGCACAATTCGTTATCAGAGATTTGCAACTATTTTGGGGTTAACTTGGGTCAACACAACTGTAGTTTGGATTATATATGATGCAAGAGTAAAATATATTAATATAATAACTATGATCAAGTTGATCAAATGAACATTAACTTTGAAGTTTTAAAAATGATTTGAGTATGATGACTATAGGGTTATGAATGGTTGAAAGGTAATGAAAACCAAAAGTTTAGATAAAAGCGTTCGTTGCCCTTTAGTTTATTATTTTTAATACTATTAGTAAAACAAATAGTTTTAAGCAACCGGAAAACAAAGAAAAAAGCAGAGTATTCTGGAATGCTGGTGAGATTGATAACATTGTTGTGTTGACTTTAATAATTTAATACTTTCATATCCGGTCTAAGAAGCTTTAAATCTGAAAATAATTTTAAAAAGTTAGGCCAGGTACAGTAAAACTTGCATTTCGATAGCTTGACATGCCCTTTATACAAAAAATATAGCACCTTTTTGTTCGCCGTAGCCTCAGCTTTAGCATAAATGGTAGTCTTGCTCTTAGCTTTGTTTTAACTTTGCCTTAGTCCTAGCTTTGCTCTAGACCAGCGTTGGTTCCAACTATAACCGAGGTATCAGCCTTTGTCTGGATTCTTTTTCTTAGCTTCAGACTTAGCCTCAGCTCTAGCCTCAGCTATAGCCTCAGCCCTAGCCTCTGGCTCAGCCTTGGCCTTAGCTTAAGGCTTAGCTTTAAGCTTAGCCTTAGTTCTAGCTCAAACTTTAGCATCTTCAGCCTTAGCCTTGGTCTTGGCCCTAGCCACAGTCCTAGCCTTAGTTCTATCTTCAGTGTTAGTTCTAGGCTTTCCCTAGTCTGACCATAAGCTTAAACATAGCCACAGCCCTAGTCCTAGAGTTAGCTTTTGCCTCATTTCTAACTTTAGCGTTTGGCCTTCCACAGCTAGCTACTAACATTTTTTAAAAAGTTTTTATAACAACATTTTTTAATTCTGCAAACAAATTAAGCCTTGTTTACTAAAAATGCAATTAATAAGCATTTTTGTTAAAAAAAACAAGTCAGGCTGATTATGTTGTTCTTATAAGCATAGTGCTCCTAAGAACATTGTGACTTTCAAGCTTGAATTGATAAAAGTTACCGTATCACATGTCAAGACTCGACAACATTTTTTTGGGGGTGTGTAAAGTTGTTATCAGTAATGTTCGCTATAAAAAAGTTGGGTGCTTAATGTTTGACAAATTGTTTCTAAATTGAATCCTGAGGCGTTTGACGTCTGCGACACGTTTAAGGAACGTTGTCAGACGATAAGGCTTATTTGCTTTTACACTAAGTATTGGCTAGGTTTTTTTATTTGCCTAATACTTTAAAGCTGTTATACTGTAATAACTTGAGCGTACTGTAACACATACAACAGATACTGCAAGATCTGAACTCTACAATAACGTACATTGCTATCAAAAACGTTTTAACGTATTTTTACACCTACTTTTCAATCATTCTTATATTTATTACAAACACTATATTAAACATGAGATCCTTCATAGTATCCGCTTTTCTCGTGTGCTTATGTACAGCTGCGCCCACAGAAAAACTGGTGAATGTTAAAATTGAAAAACTTATTAAACTTGACAATGTTAATGTAGAAAACGATGAAATCAATAAATTTGACGCCGAATTTGCCCGAAACAAAATGTTCCCATTGGCCGCCGCTGCCTACTCTGACGACCCAAATGAATGTTTGAATAACAACTTTGAAGACGCTAAGGTGAGTTTGCTGTTTTTAAAAGTTTAATGTTAATACAATAAGTATGCTAATTTAAAAAATTTCGTTCAAGTTTTTAATCATTTGATAAAGTTAAGACTGATTGAAGTTGACAAAAAGTCAAAAAATTACAAATTTTTTCAAAACTTTTGAGTTTCCATCATCTTTAACTAGCTGCAACTTCTTAACTAGATGGCGGCTTTTAGCAAAACTCTGTCACAATGTTTAACTTTATATGCTTTACCAAATACATGTTTTTAATTTTGACACAAATTTCAAAAAATTTTGAAAAACGAAAAAAATCAAATTTGTATAAAAAATTTTTGTTTTGTGCCATTTTTAAATATCTGTATCTTTTTAACTAGATGAAGTACTTTAGTGAAACTTTGTGACAATATACAATTTTATACGCGTTACAAACTACATTGTTTTCGTTTTGTCATAAATTCTATAAAAGTTCGAAAATTTTATAAATTTGGGAGGGGGGGGAATTTTCTATGAAAGTCCTGTTTTAAAGCCCATTCAAGCTTTTAGAAAGTCCAAAAAGTTGTTTTAGCCATTTAAAACCACATTTTTAAAAGTATTCAATACCCACTAATTTCCAATTTATCAAAAAAAAATTTTAGACAATTGGAGTTGTACTAGCCAAGTGTCAAAACGAGTTCTACACTACGCTTTGTGTTGGCTTCGTTGCCGTTTCGCACACTGACAAAGCCATCATCCTCAGTTTCCGTGGCACAAACAACTTCCTGCAACTTGTGACAGAGGTGAGCAACATCGCCTTCTTCAACCGACGACCATCGCCATTCAAAGGTCAAGTCGCACAATACTTCTTCGACGTTCATGAACAACTGTGGGAGGCTGGAATTCACAGATTGTTTGAAAAGGCTATTAAGTCAAACCCTGATTATGAAATTTGGGTAGGCTTTGAAATTTAAAAAAAACTATTTTAAAATTTTTAAAGTAGAGCTAGACTAAGGCTAGGAGTAGACCATTAGCTATATTTTAAAAAATTTTGAATTTTTAGGTAACAGGACATTCTCTCGGAGGTGCCGTAGCTGCTATTACTGCCACAAAAATCTACAAGGACTACGAGGAATCGGCCAGTAAGATGAAGTTGGTTACGTTTGGACAGCCACGTACCGGTGATAATGTGTTTGCTGACACTTACCCCAACGCTGTAAGTTTTAAACTTAGAAATTTTTTAAATTTTGAACCGTTTTACTCTATTCTACCCTACCCTACCCTACCCTATTCTACCCTACCCTACCCTACCCTACCCTATATTACCCTACCCTTCCTTACTGACTTTATCTTACTGTAAGCTTCTTCTACTACTGTAACTCACCCTACCCTAATTTTAAAAATTTTTATACTTTTGTTACCTAAAGTTTCATTTTCAGATCAAGACCGCCTTCCGAGTGACCCACAAACGCGACGTAGTACCACACGTGCCACCCAAAGGCTACGTTGGCTACAACCATCACTTCAGCGAGGTCTGGTACTCTGACAAAATGAACCAAGACTCCAAATTTGTGTATTGCAAAGAAGAAGAAGGCAAAAAGTGCAGTAACAGCGCCTTCTTACCGGTCTCGGTAATCGACCACGTCACCTACTACAACGAGTTCGTACCAGTGTTCGGCATCAAAGGCTGCAAATGGTCGTCTCGGAAGTGACGCAAATCAGAATTGTGATAAGGCTTTGTTAAAATAAATGAACTATCTGTAAATAAACCTTGTAATAAAACTGTTTTATCATTTGAAAGGGTAGTATTTGGAATGTTGATTAAACGCCCACCTATTAATACCTTAAAAACACCTTATCCTAACCTACCTTAATATAAAAAAACTGTCCAATACCTCATTTTGACACAAAAACTCCCACATATATTAAAATTTCGAAATGAACTCATTAAACAAAACATCTTAACCTTATTTTGTATAATACAATTACATATGTTAAGGTGTTACCTAGGTTTCAAATTGTATTTTGCGGTGAAGGCAGAGCCTTTCATTTTGTTAAGCACAGGACTGTAATTAACTTCTTTTCTTATGTAAATTTAATAATACGCCTCTGGCTGACGTTTGATAACATTAGTCTTGAACAAAGGTTTTTTAGGTAATATTTTTCTACTTTTAGTTAGTAATACATTGTAGTTTATATTATGCTACTTTAAAACTGCTGGTACTGAATAGTACTATATTACCATTGTTCTTATTCTACTTAGTACTATAGGCTAACTACTCTAGCATTATAGTACGCACTAGTACTCATATTGATATAGTACCATTACTTTTACTAGACATAGTATTATAATCTACATACTCATAGTAGTATAGTACTAATACACATAACAAATACTATTACCACACCTTTAAAATGCCCTACATAGTACAAGATGTAATATCAGCAGAAGTTTCCAACCGGTCGGTACCAAAACCTATTGATCTCATTCTACAAGAAACTAGTACCACTACAATACCGGTAGAACAACAACAAAAACCAATATTAACAACTTTGTTTTTCATTAGTATCTTCTCTAATATCATCAACCTATACACTTTAATATTCGGAAGACAAATGAAGTTAAATGGCCTACGATGGCATTCAATATATGTTTGTGTCGTCAATTTTTTGTTATTGGTAAGGTTTTTGAATTTTTTAAAGCTTTGCCCTGCCTTTGCCTTGCCCTGCCTTTGCCTTGCCTTGCTTTTGCCTTGCCCTGCCTTTGCCTTTGCCTTTGCCTTGCCCTGCCTTTGCCTTTGCCTTGCCCTGCCTTTGCGTTGCCCTGCCTTCGCCTTGCCCTGCCTTTGCTTTGCCCTGCCTTTGCCTTGCCCTGCCTTTGCCTTTGCCTTGCCCTGCCTTTGCGTTGCCCTGCCTTTGCGTTGCCCTGCCTTCGCCTTGCCCTGCCTTTGCTTTGCCCTGCCTTTGCTTTGCCCTGCCTTTGCCTTGCCCTGCCTTTGCCCTGCCTTTGCCCTGCCTTTGCCCTGCCTTTGCCCTGCCTTTGCCCTGCCTTTGCCCTGCCTTTGCCCTGCCTTTGCCCTGCCTTTGCCCTGCCTTTGCCCTGCCTTTGCCCTGCCTTTGCCCTGCCTTTGCCCTGCCTTTGCCCTGCCTTTGCCCTGCCTTTGCCCTGCCTTTGCCCTGCCTTTGCCCTGCCTTTGCCCTGCCTTTGCCCTGCCTTTGCCCTGCCTTTGCCCTGCCTTTGCCCTGCCTTTGCCCTGCCTTTGCCCTGCCTTTGCCCTGCCTTTGCCCTGCCTTTGCCCTGCCTTTGCCCTGCCTTTGCCCTGCCTTTGCCCTGCCTTTGCCCTGCCTTTGCCCTGCCTTTGCCCTGCCTTTGCCCTGCCTTTGCCCTGCCTTTGCCCTGCCTTTGCCCTGCCTTTGCCCTGCCTTTTGCCCTGCCTTTGCCCTGCCTTTGCCCTGCCTTTGCCCTGCCTTTGCCCTGCCTTTGCCCTGCCTTTGCCCTGCCTTTGCCCTGCCTTTGCCCTGCCTTTGCCCTGCCTTTGCCCTGCCTTTGCCCTGCCTTTGCCCTGCCTTTGCCCTGCCTTTGCCCTGCCTTTGCCCTGCCTTTGCCCTGCCTTTGCCCTGCCTTTGCCCTGCCTTTGCCCTGCCTTTGCCCTGCCTTTGCCCTGCCTTTGCCCTGCCTTTGCCCTGCCTTTGCCCTGCCTTTTCCCTGCCTTTGCCCTGCCTTTGCCCTGCCTTTGCCCTGCCTTTGCCCTGCCTTTGCCCTGCCCTGCCGTCTCCTGCTCTACAATACCGTATACTTTATCCTATTTTCTACCCTATATCTGCCTCTAAGTGTTGATCGAATTGTGTAAGCTCATTTTAGTGGTGCTACGCAAACTTTACCAAAAATCAACCGTTTTACAATTTTGACTCTAATATTATCTGGCAATCTCATGCTGATCCAATACAAATTATTCCTTTTACTGCTTTCCCTATTTGTAAGTTTAAACTTATCAATTGCTATTAATTACCGAGCCTTTTGTATTTCTTACCATTTTAAAACGTTCCCACGTTTTGTACAATTATAGAAACAAGTAATTATAAGCTATTTACAATGATTATTATTGCTATCCTGTACAAAAATGTTTAATTACTAGAAAATAATCAGCTTGTAGAGAGTCAAGAAACGTAAGGTTCAAAAACAAGCTAAGCTTTATTTTTAAAGATTAAAATTTAAACTATGATCTTATGTTCAGCTAGACTGATCAAACAGCCGGTTTGGGCTTGTTTTTTTTACCGCGTCTACAAGTCGAACCTTGTTTTAGGCCTCAGCCTTTAAGCTGGCATCTGCCAGCTAGGGTCTTTTTAAATTTCCGTTAGTCTTTAGTCCGGCTTGGCCTTATAAACTTAAAAAAGTAATGTAGGACAATTTTCGTTGTGGGACTTAAGCTAGGCTTTTGCGGCCTTGGTTTGAGATCCAGTTCTTGGGTCCGCGCGATCAAGCTCGGCTTTTTTTCAAAATGGTTTGGTACTGCAAAACCGGCCCTAATGTTCTATCGGCCTGTTATTACTTCTTTATGTTAAAAATGTAAACTAAAAACACATATTTAGCCTTCTGCTTCTTGGCCATTTTATATGTTGCAAATTTTTTGACAGATAAATTTCGTAAATCATTAGCTTCTAAATGGATTATACCACTCGTATTTTACGTTTCGATTATGATTTTTCAATATTACGTAGTAACTTCTTATGTAAGTTTCATTTACTATAATACAAAACGTACGTCATTGTAGCTAAGAAAATTTAAAACCTTTTAAAATTTTGAAACCTTTAAAGAATTTCGTAATTCTTTTACAATTTTAGTACTCTTCCATAAACCCAGCGGATTTGACAGTAATAAGAGGTCATTTTATCCTTCATTATCACTTTTATGTTTGTATGGTAACCGCAGTAATATGGATGTTATTACTCATTTTTACAGCTTTTTCAACCTGCTTTTATACGGTTAAAATTTTGATGACTAAAGAAAAATTATATGTTGTGGTAAGTTCATTTTAGCCCCACATTAATTATACCGTAACTAGTTTCATCCAACTTTACTCCACTCTACCCTAACCTACCCTATCTACCCTACCTTACACACTAATGAAAAAGAGAAATTATTACAGCATTACCTAATATTAAGGTATACCGTAATAGCTTTAGGTAAATTGCAAAAAACGTTATTACGCAACCTTTTCTTATGTAATATTTACAATTTATGTCATATCTGCCCCGGTGTAAAACGACCCAACAAATTACTGCGAGTGCTGGGATTTTTACTCTTTGTTTCTGCCAGGTATCTTATCTACCTAGCCCTAGCCCTAGCCCTAGCCCTAGTTCAGAGTCCTAGCCCAGACTTCTAGCCCAGAGTCCTAGCTTAGAGCCCTAGCCGTAGCTTTATTCTCATTCAAACAGACAATATCTATTTACAGAGGCTAAAACAACTCTACACATTATATGGTCTACTACTATATTCAATAATAGTAGCATGGTTTCATATGCCAAAGGAATTGACGCTAATAACACGGTATATGCAAGAGGTTTACATGGTAACACATAGACAAACCTTGACAAAAAAAAAGCTAAATACGATTTCTGAAACACTGTATAGCCCTTCTATGGCCGAATTTGTTGAATTGATACCTATAAGTTACGCGTTGATACCTACAGTTGAATATTTGGGCGGTTGTATTTGTTTTATTGTAAGTTTATATAGACAACAAGGTGTGAAGCCTACAAAATAGTTAGTAGATTAACAACATGTATCCTTCAGACATTCCGACAGTCTTTTATCCAACTGATCACTTGTGGAACATATTGTTCTTCCGTTGAAGCAGAAGGTTCAATTTGGAAATTGTGTACAAATTTTAAAAATTTGAAAAAACAAAAGACAATATCAACTGATTTTGCCAAGAACGACAAAAATCATCTAAATGACGTTAAGGTGCAATAAATATTATATTAGATTACTAATTTTAAGCTATTTCTACTTTTGCGACAAAATGTCACAAAATTTATCGGATTTCGAAATCATGAAAAACGTTTTAAAAAGTTTAAAAAAGTTAATTATGAAAACGACAGATACATTTCAATTTACAATTATACACAAAGTGTCACAAAAATATTGAATTTTTAGCTTTGTTGCGGCATGTCACAAAATAAATTGATTTTTTATTTATAGTCAAACTCATTGTGCATTTAGTATATAACTTTTTTGACTATTTTCTGACCACAGTAACGCTATTCCATTGTTAAAAATGTTCATTCTTTCAACATCCAACAATATATTTATATACTTCATACATTTTACATACCATCAAAAATACATTATAATACTGTCAATACAACCAAAAATTGTATTCTTATTAATGCCTGAGACCGACGTCAACGCCATTATTATTTTTTAAACTCAAGTCCTCAGATATTGTACTCAAGTCAACGTCAACATTATCTTTCTTAACATGTGTAAATGGCTGAGGTGTGTCAGTTGAGAAGAACAAGAATGATACAGTAGCTATTGCTAACGTAATACTCATCGTAATAAAAATATGATTCCATTGTTCTGATGAAGATTCATCTTTAACAAAGAAACCGTATAGGGATGGGGCGAAGAATAAGGTCAGGCATTTGATGAACTGGATGTTGGCTATTACAAATGGACTGAATTGTCTGAAAATAATTTTTGTTGAATAGTCGCTACTTTCTGAACAATATTTAACAGAAATTGTGCTCCGTTTGTTTTGGTTTGAAAGGGAAAAAGGGGAGCACCCAGAGAAAGAAACTTTATTTGGCAACAAAAGGGAACCCAGTCAAAAAACAACTGTAAAGAAGCAAACATGGAGAAGTGTATTGATTTATCTTCGGAATTTTTACTGTATTCTTAGCTTTATATACCAGAAAATCCCTCGCTTAACACTACTGTTTCAATGCAGAACTTCTGTTATAATCAGTTCAGAAAAAACAGATTAAAGACGTTTCAAAAGACATTTTAAAAGCCTCAACAAAAAACTTGAGGCGATTTTTAAGTGCAACCAATGCCCGATTTTTAAAGCTACGTAATACTTACCGACAAGACAATGTAGCACATTTGTAAAATCCTCCCCCACTTCCAGCATAAAATATGTGGATTGAAAAGAGCATACATATCGCCGCTGTTGAACTTCGGACTAATACCACCGCCAGGTAAAATACTGCCGGTCCAAATGCAGAAAATGTGTTAAACACGTTCATTTTGGTGCGTTCTGACCAGAATCTAAAAAATTAGTGTAATATTATATTTTCTTCTTCTTGCTAGAGCTAGTGTTAAAAGCTAACTCTAAGACTGTGGCTAAAGCTAACGCTACGTGTGGGAATGGGGTATAAGGCTAACGCTAGGGCTGAGCTATGGCCAAGGTAGGGCTAACGCTAGGTCCGATGGTTAGGGCTATGGCCTGGGCTAATTTTTTGTAAGTTTAATATAAGACTAGCACACTTACTTAATTTTGTCACTAATAACACCAAACAATATTCTTAATGGTATAGCAACAAGTGGTGGCAAAGAACTCAGTAATCCAGTCTCAACCAAACCAAACCCATGAACCTTGTTTAAGTAGATGGGTGTGTAGATCAATAAGAAAATTCCGGAAGAAATTTCAATGAACGCATTGAACCAAACTGTCAGTACAACTGGGTTTTTGCAAATTTGCTAAAGTTTTTATTATAATTTTTCGCCTAAGGCGTTTTAAGGCATTTAAAGTTTTTTTAACTTTTGAAGTTTAAATCTTTCATGTTGTTAGAAAAAATATTGTTACCCTACCCAATAAGGCATGTTCCCACTGAATTCCAGTTCTTCTTTGGCCTTATTTCTCTCAATTTTTTCGAGTTCAATTGGAGATACCCAGTTGGATGTGGCTGGATGATCGGTATAAGTTACAAACCAATATGTAAATAATATTGCACCAACTGCGCTATGAAAATAGTAAATTGAAGGCCAACCTAGCGAGGATTCACATAACTAAAATTTATTTTACAAACGTTTTAATTTTTAAATTTAAGAAAGTTTGAAGTCTTGAAGTTTTATCAGTCATAAGCTTTAAAAATTGCGTTTTAAACTTAAAAATTGAAAAAAAAAATTTTTAATTAAAAAACTTGTTTAACTTACATATCCAGAGACAGCATTAGTTAAAGTGCTGGATAAAGGTGAATAACATGTTAATAATGACAAGAATAAAGCATGTTGTTTAAGAGAAGCCCAAATGGAAGTGAGCATTCCAATGGCGGCAAAGTCGGCTGAGTATGATACCCCCTATAACGATATTTTAAAATTTTTATAAAAATGATGTTTCACTAGCTGTAAAAATAAAAAATTTAAAAATATGTTACAGTATCTCATTTGTTATATTATACAATAGTTCCACTGTACGAAATATCATTATACCTGCAAAAACCTAACAACCAAGAAAGCATTCAAGCCGTAGGAGGAAGCCATTGGTATTAGAGCAGTCGATATCACTGATAAGAATCCAGCCGCGGTAAAAATATATCTTGTACCGAATCTTGAAAATGAATATGTAAAAGGGAAGGTGCCTAGAAGACTGCCAAAGCCAATAGCGTACATTAAGTAGGTTTGGTCCAATGGCGAATATGTGTGAACTGGACCAGTGTTCTAAAGTTGTCATATATATTATTATTATTATTTTTATTATTCTTATTTTTATTATTATAGGTTGTTCAAATAGTTCTGTGCCCTTTAACTTCAAATTTGGTTTGAATAGGGGCAGGGCCGGGCGGGGACTTTTGGACTGGGGGCGGGGGTCCAAGAAATCGGCACAGGTAAGCTACCTGTGCCGATTTTTTGCGAAAATCCACCGAGGGGACCACGTTCAACTTTTTTCAAAATTTTTTTTCTAGGGGGGGGATACCCCCCCATAAACAACCCGCCATATTTTGCCTGTAATTTCCTGTAATAAATGGCGGGTTCTTTATGTCGGCACCTAATAGAATTGGTACTGTTCTTAGAAAATAGTACTATATTTTTCGAAAGAATTATTTTTATAGCACTTAGCAGAGTGTTACATTTTTTACATATTATAAGGTCGTTCACTTAATTCTGCGCCCCTAGCTCCCAAAATTCGCTTAAAACGAAGCGCAAAATTAAGTGAACGACCTAATAGAACTTTTAATAGTACCAAAACTTACATTAGACCCCATCTGTGGCGCCATACACAACACACTGAAGTTGAATATCACCATGTTTGAAGAGATCGACGTTAGACATAACAAAGAAGCAACCAAGATTAAATACCTGAACCTATCACCAAAAACAAAACAATAAGCTGGATGTTTGCCCATTTTGAGAGGCCTAAACATGTCAATTATATAAACGTTCAACTGGATTTAGTTTGTCAACGTGTAGCAAAAACCACGAAAATATATTTGCAATAGTTATTTTGATCTACAACAACAAAACCACGCGATAAACAGCAATATATAGTAGTTTACAAAGGTTTCTTTATGCATGTCAACAATATATAACAAAGTATAACATCAAAAAAAAATGAAAATTGAATATTATACATGCCCTAGCCCAGATTCTTAACTCAGAGCCCTGGCCCAGAACCCTAGTCCAAAACCCTGGCCTAGAGCCCGAAACCCAGAACTCTAGCCCAGAGCCCTAGCTTAAGGCCCTAGCCCAGAGCATTAGCCCAAAGCCTTAGTTCAGAGCCAGAGTAGACATTAGGAAAGGGCCGGGTCCGCTTTGACCCAAATTTAAATCGGACCGGACCTGAAAATGAGCTTGAGCCGTTCCTGATGTCTAGACCACCAGGTCTTGAGCTCAAAGCCCTAATCTGACTCAGAGTAAACATGAGGAAATGGCCAGGCCAGCTTTTAACTTAGACCTGTCGGACCTGAAATTTAATTCACGGCCCGGCTTAAAAAGCCCGGCACGTTTGAACGTAAAAAAATTCGGCTTTAGCCACAACTCCAGCTGCAACCACAGCGTCAACTTCAACTCCAATTTCAGCTCCAATTTTATCTTTTAGCCATAACCACAGCCACGACCCCAGTCGTAGCCCTAGCTTTTCGTATTCTCAAACTCAGCCTTTTCTAGCCCGACTCGTTCCACTATATAGTCGGGCTAGGAAATCTAACCTACATAACCCTAACCTCAACCTTCAGACAGTTCAGAGCTAAATCACCCGTTTGCCCTTGACCGTACTACTTGAACAATATTAAAGCTTCCCCCTCCTTTCCCAAACAAAAAGATATATTTGTAAAAAGTACAATTAAACTTGTCAAAAAGCCCCTAAACAGTAATAATTGTTTGTAATGTTGAAAAGCACTGTACCTCCCAAACTATAACAATATTAATCCAAAACAGCCCTTAAAAACAAGAAAGTTAAGTCATAGCGAGTAAAGGTAGTGTTTACTTTATAAAAGCTGTCGTATCTTTTGAAGATGATCTTTTTGTTCACCATCATGACGACCGAGTAAAAAAGGTCAAAAGCGCGATTTAATCTCCAATATTATTAGTTTTTAAAAAAAAGTATATCTGTTCAAAAAGCACATTGATCACAGTGTTCACGGGCTTAGCAGAATATTATACCAAAATAGGTTGATCGCAAAATATGTACATATTATAGAAAAAAATCAAGTTTATGCTAAGACTTTTCAATCTTGTCTTAATTTAAGTTTTAATCATAGTCTCGGCCTAAGCCTAAGCTTTAGTTAAAGCAAAAAACTGAACCTTTAAGCTAAAGTATAATTTTGAGCTTAAGCCTAAACCTAAGCCTAAATTTAAATGAAAGTGTGAGCCAAAGCCTAAGTTTGAAGCTAAGCCTAATTTTGAGTTAAAGCGTAAGCCAAAGCTTAAATTTGATCCTAAGCCTAAGCTTAAGCCCAATCCTAACATGGTAAGCTAAAGCCTAAGTTTCAGTTAAATTTTAAGCCTGAGTCTCGTCTAAACCATACTCTATGTCTAAATCAAAACTTTAGCTTAAGAATTTGCCTAAGCCTAAAACATAAGTTTGATTTTAAACTAAAGTGTAAGCCTAAGCTTAAGTTTGAGCCCAAGCCCAAAATTGTGCTTCAATCCTAATCCAAAGCCTAAAATTTAGTTAACTCCTAAGTCACAGCCTAGGTCTAAACGATAGCTTAAGTCTCCGCCTATACCAAAGTCAAACACTAAGCGTAATATTAAACCTATGCTTCGACTCTAGCTTTAGACCTAAAGTACCTCGTCACATCAGCCTCAGCTTATCTTTAGCGCGGTCAGTAGCCTATCATTCTAACGTACGTGAACTATATAGCACAGTTCAATATTAAAACTATCATGCTGGTAATGTCAATGATATATTAACATTTCCGTTACATTCACGTTGCAAACAAAAATATAATCTGAAGGTAACATTAACGTAATGCTCCTTTACAAACCTCCTATGATAAACAAAGGTTATTTACTGTCCTTTTATACTTTGATAAAGTGTTTATATCAAAAAATTTTTATTTTTTTTTGATAAACGTTACCTGCACAGAAATGTGATTTTTAAAAATATTTTTTAGATAAGGCAATATTACTATCTTAACATTGCTATCTAAATTATTTACAAATAACGGAATTCCGGCTTTTAACAGTGGTTCTAAAAAAAGTTTTAGTACGTTTTAGTCTTGTGATCTACAGTAGTTATCTTACGTTCAAGCTGACCCACCCTACCCTACCCTACCCTACCCTACCCTACCCTACCCTACCCTACCCTACCCTACCCTACCCTACCCTACCCTACCTTACCCTACCCTACCCTACCCTACCTTACCCTACCTTACCCTGGTCTACCCTAACATATTCTACCCTATCCTACCCTCCCACCTAGCGCTCTTCATCCTTACCCTATCAGCAGCCTACTGTAACAACCCATGACGTTCTGCACATAACAAAGGCTAACCGTAGTAAAAAAACCTTACAAAACAGTCAGCTTTGTAACCCTTTTTGAAATTTGAAAAACTTTTTGTTTTGTTTATATAATGGTATTCGCCGAGTACATACTTTGATCATTGCTAACGTTTTTAACATTGTCTGCTGTTGTTCTTGCAAAAACCTTCTGATATAAACATTTTTTGTTTATACCGTGATAAGAATGTTCATTTTTAAGCTTAAGCTAGGGCTCTAGGGCAGGGCTTTAGGCTAGAGCTCTGGGCTAGGGCTCTGAGCTAGGGCTCTGGGTTAGGGTTCTAGTTTAGGATTCTGGGCTAGGGCGCTGCACTAGGGCTCTGGGCTAAGGCTCTAAGTTAGGGCTCTAGGTTAGGGCTCTAGGCTGAGGCTAGGACTATCAAGCAATATCCAAACCAAAAACAACAAAATAAGTTAGTAAAAGCTCTTTATTACATATAATATTAATACAACTATTAGTTGACCAGTAAGCCACGATTTTGTACAATGTTAATTTACATGATATACATGTATGATGTAAATAGACGACCTAAATACTCAACAAAAATACAATTGCAAGATGTTAGATTAAAATTAATCAGCATAAAATGAAGATTCTCTTGCAAAAACCCGTTGCAAATCATCTAAATGTCCATGTAAAGTTAATTTTCAAAAAAAGAGATGAATGAATACAGTAAATGCTTGTTATATATATATTAGTATATACGTGTACAAGGCTAGGAAGTATCACATGTGAAGCGAAAACTTGTTAGAAAAAATAAAAATCTGTCAGAAGCTTAAAAAATCGACCGATAAGCCAAAAAATCGACAAAAAGCTTTCAAAATCGACCAGCAAGCCAACTAATCGACCAAAAACTCCAAAATTGACCAGAAAGTCAAATAATCGACCAAAAGCTTCAAAATCGACCGGTAAGCCAAGAAACCGACCAGAAGTGTCAAACAACAACCGGTCGTCCATAAATCGACCAGTCGCTTAAGCAACCGTTTTGTACCCAAAATAGAGTACCGAAACCAACTTCAAATTAGTATCAGTACTAAGTTCAAATGAATACTAACACCAACTACAATATAGTGCCAGTACCAAATTAAAAATAGTACGTATCAACTTCCCATGCCCTATGCCTTTAACTGAGCATCCATAATCATATCGACCGTTAGTCGCCGACTCTCTTTCTTGGCCTCATGACTTTTGGTAAACGCAAGTGGTTGATCAGTAGAAACAAAAACGAAAATAAAGCCCGAGATTATTAGCACCACACTTATGAAAATAAACATGTGGTCCCACTGGTCGGCCGCATCTTCGTCCTCAACGAAGTAGCCGTAGATGGCTGGGGCCAAGAATAGTGTTAGGCATTTGATGAATTGGATATTAGCTATGACAAAGTGACTGTATTGGCTGAAAATTTAAAAATAAATAGTTGGAAAGAAAGTTCTTGCAATTTTTTGTTTTGTAAAGAAAGTTCTTGCCATTTTTTTGTAAAAAAAGTTCTTGCCATTTTTTACCTTGTAAAGAAAGTTTTTGCCATTTTTTACCTTGTAAAGAAAGTTATTGCCATTTTTAGTTTTGTAAACAAAGTTTCTGCCAAAAAAACCGCCACTTATCAAAAACTGTCATTACTTACCGACACGACAACGTAGCACACTTGTAAAATCCACCCCCACTGAACGAATAGAACACATTGATCATGACCAGCATCATTATATCAAACACTGAATTACCGAAGAAAACAATAGCCATATAGCAAATAGCGGGTCCGACCGTTGAGAGTGTATTGAATACGTTTATTTTGGTCCGCTCTTCCCAAAATCTGCAGAATAAATACGTTAAAGCTTGATTTACAGCTCTACATCACCCTACGCTACCCTACCTTACTGTAACGTACCGTACCCTACACTACCCTTTCCTACTTTACCCTACCCTGCCCTACCCTACCCTACCCTACCCTACTATACCCTACCCTACTTAACTCTACCCTAATCGACCTTATAATATCTCACCCTAGTCCCCCAGAACTATTGTATATTACTACCGATAAATCCACCCACGCCTAAAAATTACCTCTGCTCTAAAACCCACGCCTAATTCAAAATTAACCCTTATCATGAAATCAACCCCTACTGGAAACATACCCCTACCCTAAAATCTTCCCTGCCCACCAAAAGAAAACTCACGTTATTTTATCGCTGACATATCCAAAAGCCATTCTCAACACAATAGCTGTCGTTGACGGTACAGAACTGATCAATCCGGTCGCTTCAACACTAAACTTGTGCACCTTGTTAATATAGATAGGTGTGTATGTCAACAAGAATATACTCGATGTAATTTCAGTCAAGGCATTTAGCCAGACTGCCAAAACGACTGGACTTTTACAGATTTCAAAGTAAGGAATGGCACCTTGAATCTGGAGCTCTTCTTCACCTTTGTTCCTTTCGATCTTCTCCAACTCAACTGCTGATACCCATTTGGATTCAGCTGGGGTGTCTGTGTACATTATGAACCAGTATGTAAATAGAGCAGCGCCAGCAATGCCGTGGAAGTAGTAAATAAACGGCCAGCCGAGAAATGAGTCGCAGACCTGTAAAATCATTTGTATTAGGTTGTCCGGAAAGTTCTGCAATATTTGAGTAGGTAAACTTTGAAAAATCAAGAAAAATTTATTTCTTGACGGAAAGAAAAAATTCTTTTTTTGTTTGTTTGTTTGTTACCTAAATTATTCAAAAAGGTAAGTTACATAACTTAATTTCATTTTTTGTATTGTTTTAGGTATTAGAAAAAAATGGAGAAATCTCGCCTGCGCGTGATTATATGGAATGAATTCAAACTACAAGTTGGTGTAAGCGTGGAGAAGCTCCTAAGCACGTTCCGAAGCCAGAATTGCACGAACAGAAGCTTATGGTGACTGTCTGGTGGTGTAGCTCTGGAGTGATCCAGTACGATTTCATGAAAACTGGCCAAAGTATTAAGGCCGACACCTACTGTGCCCAGATTGACAAACTGCGACACAATCTTCCAACAATCGTCAGAAGGAGGGGTCCGATCATTCTGCAGGATAACGCACGGCCCCATACTGCAAAGAAGACCGTGGCAAAATTCAGGGAACTGGGATACGAAGTCTTGGAGCACTCTCCTTATTCTCCAGACTTGGCTCCAACGGACTTTCACCTTTTTAAACACTTGTCTTCGTTTCTTAATGGAAGAATCTTCAAAACTCCAGACGATGCCAAGAATGCCTTCAAGAACTTCATCAACTCCAGAAACCCGGAATTCTACAATCGTGGAATAAAAAAATCGTTGGTAAGACTGTATTGATTCAGACGGTAATTACTTTGATTGATTGTAGTTGTTAATTATATTGTTATTATTGTTAGTTCAAAAGTGAATAAATATTGCAGAACTTTCCGGACAACCTAATAAATGGCAGCCAATGTCTTGTTTAAAAAAAGTTGACCATCAACAAGACCTTGTGATCTTTGATGAATATTTTCACATTGATAAAAGCAAAAACATAATGAAATTTAGGTTTAAATTAAGGCTTGTAATTCATGGTATTTCGAAAAACTAAATTGATTAACTATAAGTCAAGTTAAAATGGCAAAAATAATTTTTTTCCAAAAAAATGATCAGATGCTCTACTATAATATCGGTAGACGCCTTTTTCAACTTGGAAAAACATTTTTTTCATAAAATACTGTCTTTAACTTCATTTTAATAGTCTTTTTCAACTAATTTACATAAAATTCGTTCCAATCTTAAAAAGGTATCTTCCGATATTATAGTAGGCCATCTACTCATTATTCAGTCAGAAAACAGCTTCTATGTTTTACAAATTGTGTTTAAGTACACTAAAATTGTTATGAAAAGATAACATAGGATCTAAGCTCCAATTTAAGCCTAAATTTCAATACTTTTTGGCTTGTTATCAATGAGAAATTAAGCACTAAAAATATCAACCACCTACCTTACCCAGGAAGGGTCAAGCATTAAAAACTTTCTTTTTACCAGTCAAAACAAAAAAATAAAATTTTAAAAACTAAATGACAATTTAAAACAAACTTACATATCCAGAAAAGATATTCGTCAATGTGCTAGATAACGGTGAGTACGATGTTAGTACGGACAAGAATAAAGCATGTTGTTTTAGAGATGCCCAAATTGAAGTGAGTAATCCGATGGCTGCAAAGTCAGCTGCGTATGAAATTCCCTGAAAATATCCTTTGTAAAGAAAGTTCTTGCCAAAAAGCATTATAAACCCACCTGTATAAACCTAACAAACAAAAACGGGTAGAATCCAAATTGTAATGAAGTAGGTGTAGCTACAGTAGAAAGAACTGATACCGTACCAGCTATTATAAAGATGTATTTTGTGCCAAACTTGGTAAACAAGTAGGTAAACGGGAATGTTCCTAATAAGCTACCAAGTCCTAATGCCCACATAATCAAGGTTTCTTCCTTTGGAGTGAATTCGTATGTTGGTACGTTGGCGTTCTGGAAAGAGTATGTATAGTTGGGTTGGTACGTGTAGGTATAGGTATGATCATTAGATTTGGCTCAAACGTAAGCATGAGCTGTAGGCAAGGCAAGGCAAGGCAAGGCTAAGCAAGATGAGGCAAAGCTAAGCTTACAATTAGACTAGCTTTTTGCCAACAAAAACTTACATATTCAGTAGCATTTAGATTCATACACAGTACAGCAAAGTTAAACGTCAACATGTTTGATGATATAGCAGTTAAACAAAACAGTGCCAACAATAATATAAAGTACCGGAATCGGTCCTTGAATATCCCCAAATAGGCATTTCCGGCAGCCATCTGAAAGTACAGTACCGTAAAATTAAATTTTTTTCAAATTCAAACTGAACAAAACCCGAACTACCCTATCCTATTTTACCCTACCCTACCCTGCCCTACCCTACAATACCCTACCCTACCCTACCCTACCTTACCCTACACTACCCTACCTTGTCCTACTCTCCTCTATTCTAACCTTGCCCTACCGTTTCCTGCCCTACATTATCCTAGTATCCGATCCTATAATATTATAGCTAAATTACTTTATCCTAAAATACTCTACGCTGTTCATTCCTCGCCCAAAGCCTAGTCCTATCCTGCTCTAACTAGATCTGAACGGAGTTTAACTAAAAAGGAAGGTACCCGACCTGCAACGCTCAGATTTGGTTCAATTTTTTTTGTGTTCAAAGATCACGTAAATGTAAGATCTTATGTAAAATTCTAAGTTGCGGTTTGCGGCCAGTCTTGAGAAAATCGAAAAAAAATCGCGTTTTGAATTTCCCGCCAAATTGGCATTGTCTTTCAAGATTATAACTTTGTCATTTTTTGACTTATAACTATTTTTCTTTCATATAAGGATAGAAAAGCTTCAAATGAACCTCCATTTTTAAATTTGTAAGCCTATCTTATCTGGAACATCAAAAAAAGTGCTTGAAACACGATGCCAATTTTGCCAAATCGGCGGGAAATTTAAATATATTAATTTTAAAACTTAAAACCGCAAGCTAAGATTTTTTATGTGTGCTAATGGTACTACAAAGAATCCGTATAAAAATTTTGAGCGAATTCTGAAGGTTGCAAGTTGGGTACTTTCCTTGTAAGCCCGGCCCCATTATATTTAAGTCTAGCTATAAAATTCCTTCGTCTTATTTTTATGCCTTGCCTTTACCAAACCTTATCCATTCTATATATCAACCTTCAGTAAGTAATCGGCCCTCGGTAAAAATTCATAAAAATTTTAAAAATATTCTAAAATTCCCCATAAAAAACAAGCGTAGATACTTTGATCAACACCTACAAACAATAAGCTAGACTGTTTTGTTGAAAACACCATAACAATCCGTATTAACATTTTCAAAAACATTATAAACAAAACAATCGTCTAGTGTCATTTTAAATGAGGCTTTTTACTGTAACTAAAAAAACTCCCAAAAAATTTTAAAAAAATTGTTTTTAGAAGATTTTTCTTACTGTAATTTTACAAAAGGTGAAAAAGTACCGTACTCTTTTATAATAGTACTAAAAGTGTTACAGTAAGCTTTAGAGTAACAAAATTTTTACAGTGTTACGCCTTAAAAACATGTTACAGTATCCTCTAGTACGAAGTTACAGTACCCTTCAGTACCAAAAAATTACAGCAAAGTCTCACAAAAAAAAACGCTAAAACTACCGTAACCCTTTTATTGACCAAAAATGACATTTCCCATAATTGTTATGCCCATTTTATACCATTTATCAAATTGTATAAAAATTTGCACTGATAACAATTTCTTGTCATTTTTTTGGTATTTGAACGTTTTAACTCTGCCTTTTATGGAATGCAAAGACAAACATCCGAATCGGAACCGTTTACTATTTTCGAACGCTTATCAGACACAAAATTCTACTAAACAGTCGTGATAACAATTCTAATATAAGTTAATAGCAAATATTATGTTGGAGTTGTGATAAGAGCTTTGGACAATTGAAAAAAGTTTTACTAGCCCTCACCCTAGCCCTAGCTCTAGCCCCAGCCCAGAGCCCTAGCCCTTACCCTAACTTTAGCTCTATCTCTAGCCATAGCTTTAGCCCCAGCTGTAGCCTTAGCCCTAGCATTAGCCTTAGATATAGCCCAAGCTCTAGCTCTAGTTCTACCTCTAGCCCTAGCTCTAGCCATTAGACATGAGAAACGGGCCGGGCCTGCCATGGGGCCAGACCGGGCCGGCCTTGAGCAAAATTTCGATCGGGCCGGGCCTAACATTCAGGCCCGGCCCGCGGGCCGGGACTGAAAAATGAGCCGGGCCCGGCCCATTTCCACGTAAAAAAAAATTTAGGCCCGGGCCGGCCCTGAGCAAAATTTCGATCGGGCCGGGCCTAACATTCAGGCCTACTAGCCATAGCCTCAAACCTTGTCCTAGCTCTCTTCCCCTAGCTTTGACCTTTGCCCTAGCCTCAGCGATCGCCATTGCCATAGTTGTAGACCAAGCCCTATCTGTAGCCTATACTCTTGCCTTTCTCTCGCCTTAGCTCTCCTTACCTTTGCATTCCCTTTGTCCTACCTTTGCCCTACCCTTTCCTTACCCATGCTTTTCTCTACTTACTGTACCCTAACCTTGACCATAGTCCTAACGCTAGTCCAGCTAACAATTCTTGTACTAGTCCAGCTCAAAATTCTCACTGCTCTGACTTATAATTTAAGCCTAGTAGAAGCCTAACAATTTGGGCTTATCAAATAGAAGTCTTTCAAAGCGTCCACTTATAAATTTTTAAAATGAAAACATGTTTTGTACTTGAAGTTTTAAATTTATACTTTTTCAACACTTTTAACACTGTAAACAACAAAAATAAATAAATAATCTAACACACCTACAAATATAATATATACAAACTTTTGTAAACATGAACTTGAAAATATTAATTCAAACATCAAAAAATTTTAACAAAACAACAATTTTAACTAAAAAATGTTTATAAACTTCTAAAAATAGGTATTATTTACCTAAAATAAGTTATTTTGAAACATAAGGTTTCTAAAAACTAACAGTATTTATTCTGTGAAATATGAAGGTTAGCCCTAGTCTACTTTTAGTGTTAATCTAGCTCTAATCCAAGCACTAGCTTTAGACATAGACCTAGCTCTCACTTTAGCCCGAGTCCTAGCTTTAGCCCTAACTTTAGCACGAGCCCTAGCTCTAGCCATATCACTGGCCCTTACAAAAAAATAAAAAGTAACAATAAGTAAATAAACCAAATCTAAAAAAAAGTTGCGTACAAAAGATAAATAAACGTTTTTTAAGAAAAGTCAATCAAGCAAAAAAGAAATAGACATGAATATATTAACATATATCAGTTCAGTTCATAGTATTCATACATAACCGTTAATTGGCATTTTGATTGTAACTGACATTTTAAAAGTTGAATCAACTACAGTTTAACTTTGTACAACTAATCTCAAAATTTTTCAATTATAAACTAAATTACTAAGCCTAAAAATAATTTTTCAACCTAAAAATGACTTTTTAAGCCTTAAAATAGGTTTTAAGCCTGAGAATCGTTTTTAAGCCTAAACATGGTTTTTTAAGAATGAAAATGATTTTTAAGCCTAAAAATGGTTTTTTAAGCCTGAGAATGGTTTCTAAGCCTAAAACTGCTTTCTAAGCCCAAATTAGTTTTTCAAACCTAAAAATATTTTTTAAGCATAGGAAATGTTTTTAAGCCTAAAAATAGTCTTTAAGTCTAAAAATGTTTTTTATGCTATCTAAACCCAAAAATGCCATTAAGGCCTAAAATTACATATAAAACTTAAATTTGTAACCCCGATATCTCGTTTCAAAACTTAAAACTCATTTTTATGTCTAAAAACAGGACTTACTACCTATCAAACCATAGTCAACAACACGTGAACACCTCCATGAACAAATGTTACCATACCCGATCTCCGACCAAAAAATATTTCATATGCAAGAAATAAAAGGCTGATAACAATCAAATAATATAAATTGTACCTTGATAGTGACAGAAGAAAGAAGTTGTTATCTCAAAGCCAATAAATCAAAATTTAATTACCTTCAGTCAGCCAATTTATTAACTTTTTTTAAAACAAAAACAATTTTAAACAAACAAGAAGATAATGCCCAAAAATGGTAGTTTTAATGCAAATAAAGCCTTATTTTTCGCAAACCGTAGGTTTAGATAACTAATTTTAGGCTTAAAATATGTTTTAGGTAATAAAACAAATAAAGTTAAAACAAATAGTTAAAAATAACATTCAAAAACATTGAAAACTACTAATTTTTCAATAAATTTACTTTTCGTACATACCATGCCCACAAAATACGACCATCATAATCGACCAAAACAACTCGCGCCAATCAAGCTGACATTCCGTCCGTACAATATCGGGTTTCCTCTATTTCACCAATTTTTTCGCGAGTTTTATTCTCGTGTGCGCAGAATACGCTTTCAACTCATCGCCGCCAGTGATATAATCCTTAATATTAGTCTCGTTTATTTTTTATCGTTAAAACTTGACATCCGTTATTGATTTTTGTTGAAATTTGTTTAGTTTTCAGAGTTTTGAACCGGTTTTTTTGGCCAAACTATAACTTGTACTAGTCCGAAATATGGCCAAGAGATTTGACAGAGCTTTAGGTGAGTAATTCATGTCTTTTGGCGGTGTTTTTGTGTAGATTTAATGAGTTTTTGAAGTTTTATTGATTAATTTTGGCTGTAAGGTTGGACTTTATGAGTCATATGGTGGTTTGTTATCTAAAAATGGATTTTTTGTTAGATTTCGGAGGAAAATCTTTAAATTGTTTAATAGAACTTGAAGATTATAGTATTCTTAAGATTTTAAAACAATTATATATTGTTTTACTTTAATTTCAGAAGCTGCAACTGATCAGACCTTGGTGGAGCCATATTGGGAAGGAATTTTAGAATGTGTGGATCTTATTCGAGCTGGAGATGTTCCGTAAGTAAATTTAGCATAATCTAATATTTTTTGAAATTTAGCGTAAAAGCAGCTGTAGCATCGATTCAAAAACGTTTCCATCATGAAAACCCACATGTTGCACATCATGGTCTACTGGTGCTGGAGGCTTGCGTTAAAAATTGTGGAAAGAAGGTAAGGAGTTTACTAGTTTTAATTGTTTTGCGTTTAGAAAGACATTGCTGATATGAGGAGAGAGTAAAAAGGTCTGTGTGAAGGTTGATTTAAAAGTTTCAAGTCAAGAAGTTCGAATTTGTGTAGTAGCGCAATATTTTATTATTTTACTTATAACTTTGTTGAAGGGTTAGACAAAGCTTTAAAAATTGGTGGGGTTAGAGATTGTTTACCTTGTTAACTAACGTAGCAAACAAATTTTTGAAATTTACATTTATTTCGATGTTATAGTAGTTTTACAGACCTTCACTTTTTTGTTTTCGTAACTTTTTGCAGTTTATTCTTTAAAATCAAATTATTTTTAGTTTCACAATGAAATTTCGACAAAAGAATTTATGGACGACTTGAAGAACATGGTAATTGAAGGAGCGCCAGATAAAGTCAAGAACAAGATCCTCGAACTACTACAATGTTGGTCACACGCTTTCTCCAAGTATCCTCAATATAAAATTGTTTGTGATACTCACTCTTTCATGAAAATGTATGGATTTGAGTTTCCGACAATGAAAGAAGCCGATGCCATGTTTATGGCCGATTCGGCTCCAGAATGGGCCGATGGTGATAACTGCTTTAGATGTCGAAGTGAATTTGGTGTCTTCAATCGAAAACATCATTGCCGGAATTGTGGGCAGATATTTTGTGGAAAGTGTTCGAATAGAGAGATGGTGTTGCCTCAATTTGGGATTGAAAAGAATGTCAGAGTGTGTGAGGCATGTTTTACCAAAAAGCACCAGGAGATTCAGAAGAATGAGCTGGACAAGTTGGAAAGTGTAGGTTTTTCATTGTATTTTTGATTTTTAGGTAACAAGATGTGTCAAAGAAAAGAAATTTCAAATTTTGGTTTTAAATTGTGATAGAATTATCTAAAGTATTAGTTTCGATTTTATAGTACCTAAAAAAGAATATGTTAGTCAAAAAGATGACTAAAATGCATTTTACGCTTTCAAAAATGTAGAAAATGTTTTTTTATAAAATTTCAATTTTTCACTTCGAATTCTTTGTGAGTCGAAAACTGGTAGCTAACTAAATTTACTGAAGAGTTGTTGTCAATAATGGAGACGCTTCTGCAGCGCATGTTTGGTAACCCTAAGGGTGTAAAAGTTAGTTTTAGGCTTTTTGTGGGGTAGATCAATCTATTTTTAGCTTCGTAAAGAAAGTTTTTGCTAATTTTAGTTTTGTAAACAAAGTTCTTGCCGTTTATTGGTTTGTAAAGAAAGTTTTTGCCATTTATTGGTTTGTAAAGAAACGTTTTGATATTTTCAAGGAAAAAGACAAATAGAGTTTTAAAATTGACTCGTACTAACTTGCTTTGACCTTTTAAACCTTCTACTTTCATATATTTAGGCTTTGAACAGTCACGAAGCCAAAGCAATAGCAGAAAGCGAAGCCGAAGAGAAGCGTCGTCAACAAGAGCTGAAGGAGAAAGAAGAGGAAGAGCTGCAACTAGCCCTGGCGATAAGTCAAAGCGAAGCTGAAGCGAAGGAAAAGGACCGTCAACGATCGTTCAGCACGGTCAAAGATGAACCAACCCCATCTGTCTCGATCTACTCAGGCGTCGCTCAAGCTCTGGAACCCGAATCCGACCCATCTCTGGCACAATACTTGGATCGAGATTATTGGGAGCGGCGGCAGGCGAGCAGAGAAATCGACGCTTCCGCCCCACCAGCAAGCGAAATCTCATTCAGCATGGCCTCGTCGTACGGACAACACAACAATGTGTCGCATAATGCCACGCCGACCAACGATAACATTGATGGAATTAGCCAGCAGCTAGCGAACATCACTGTCAGGCCGTTGGCTGAGAATGAGGTGGAAGATACGGCCAAGTTCTGCGAGTTCTTGAAGGATAGGGTAAGATAAGGTTTTGGGTGTGGAGTGTGAAAGCTAGTTTGGGATAGGGAAGGGAAAAATAAGTTTTCAAGGGCGTGGTAAAAATGTGCGGTAATTTTTAAGTTTACACTGGAAGGATCATTTTAAGGCTTGTCATATTAGGTTTAGGCATGACTAATAATTTTTAGCCTTAGAATAATAACTTTAAGCATGGCAGGTCATTTTTAAGGCTTAACTTATAACTTTAAGCCTTAAATTTAAAAAAATTTAATTTACAGATTGAGACAATGAACAATCGTATGCTTTCCAACATGAACCGAGGACGGTCGATTGTCTACGATTCCGCGATTCACGCCCTGTTCGAAGAATTAACGAGACAACATTGTGACGTGCTGAACAGGATCGACAGGTTGGACACGGATCGAGGTAAAAATTTTATTTTTATCTTGTGTTAGGAAGGACTTTGGCCTAAAATTTGGTTGAGAAGAAAGGGGTTTATGTTTTCTGAGGAGTTTTTTGTATTTTTCTATACTTTTTGACTGGTGAAGGGAGATACAGTTGGTTTTAGGTATCTATAGCAAGGTTAAGTTGAGGAAGATATAAATTTTGGGAAATTTTTAGATTAATGTAGTTTTTAGGTAATCTTGAGATTTTTATAGTTTTTTAGGTAATATTTCTAGTTTTTTTACTTTTTTAGGTAATGTTTTGAAGTTTTTATAGGTTTTTTTTTATCATTTTTTGGTTTCCAGAGTACTTTGAAAGCCTGCAAGATAAGCTAAGCGAAATCCAAGTAGCCAGGCAAGCCGTGAACTCATTGAGAGAAGAACATTGTCGGATGAGGGAGGAGAAGCAGGCTGAAGAACAACGGCAACGACAGCATCAAATGCAAATGCAGTTGGATCTGATGAGGCAGAAGAAGGCTGTAAGTGGCTTTTAATATTGTTTTTGATCATTTTCTATGAATTATAACATCAAAAGTGGCATTTTTGAAATTTTAAAGTTTAATTTTTTTTTATTTTCAAAATTAAAAAAAAATTTTTATTTTAATTTTTTGAAGAATTTTTCTGTGATCTGATTCTTGTCCTTTAACGTCGTTTTTCCTACAGTAATCCGATTTAAATTATCTGATGACATTTTCAGAGCATGCTAATGCAACAACGCGACGAAGCACTGTCAAGGTTCCAAACCCAACAAGCCGAGATCCAACGACGCCGAATGGAAGCCCAATATCAACATCAACACCAAATGCAAGGCGGATATCCGCCACAATATTACCCTCCAGGATACCCACAACAATACCCTCAAGATCAACATCAAGGATACGCGAACTCTTCACAGACCAACGGTCAAGTCAATGGTATGGGTCAGCAGGTAAACGGCCAAACCCATCAAGTCAACGGCCTTAACCCAGTGCCATCTTCAATGCCATCTCAACCACCTCAATATGGCTATCAACAAGGTCAAATTGCGAGCGGAGTGAGCAGCAACCCCAACTTGAATGGATACCACCAACAGTCGACTCCAGTGTCATCGGTACCATCAGGTATTAGTGCTGTGAATAGTGCACCATCCATGACTGATGTTCACCAACAACAGTATGGTACGACAGTGTTTGGGCAGTCGGCTGGACAACAAGGTCAAGTTCATCAACAGGGTCAGGGGCAAGCTCATGGTCAGCAAGTTCAGGTTGTGGGACCACAAGGTCAAGTTCAAGGCCAACCAAGTCATGCACAAGGTCAAGTACAACATCCAAATCAGCCCACCCCAGTACAACATCAAGCTCAGTCTCAGAACCCCAATTTGCCACCTCAAGGTCAACCTGGTCAGCTACCACAATATCAAAGTATGGGATACCCACAACAATATGGATACCAATACCCGAACTCGTCGGCTCCACAACCATTCTATGGCCATCCAGACCCCAATCAACAGTTTTATGGTGCTCAACCACAAGGTTATCCTGGATACTATCAGGGCGGTTATCCACCACAACAACAAGGTGAGATTTAGCTTTGAACTTGAACATTGAGTTAGGTATTGACTTTTTAAGGACGATTTGAAACATTTTAGCTTAACTAGACCTAAGGCTATCTAATGTAAATACTCTTTCAGCTCCAGCTCCACAAGCCCCTCCACCTCCGGCCGACGACGCTCCACTGATTTCCTTTGACTAAATACGGTCGATTCTGAATCTGTGTCATTCGCTAAAACTAAATTATATTTCTTTTTTTTCGCGTGACTTGATGTGATATGTGTATTTTGCAAAATTTTAACGAGTAAATATACTTTTCAACTTGATATTTTCATTTTTAAAGGCGAGAATCCAGAAAAAATTAGGGGTACGGTAAAAGTACTGTAACTTCAAAGTTTTGTAAAACTTTGGAAAAATCTCTTTTGCCATTTGAAGATAAAAGAATGATTTAAATCGACAAAAAGTTTCATGGTTATAGCGTTAATTTGAAAAAAATTATCAATAAATCTAGAGAAACATGTATTTCTAATTGTATTATGGTAGATTTGGTCGAACTTTCAGGAAAAATAGTAACCACGGACAACGATGACAAACTGAAAAGCCGTGCTTTATAGTTTAAGGTCTTTTGTGTGTAAAAGAGACGTACCTTCTATTTGAAACAATCTTTCCAATCAGTTTTTATCGCTTGTTGACCTTTTCCAAGGTTAAAAAGCCGAGTCCTCTTGGTTCGGGGTCATTTTCATCGGAACAACGATACGTAAATGTTGCTCTAGCGGCCTTTTTAGATAAAAAATATTGTAGTTTCTTAAATTTTTTATGTAAAGTCATAAAAATTTTATCATTTTTATAAAACAACTCACTTTCCCTAACAAATCTCCTTTATTTTCTTGTTTTCCTCAATTTTTCGTATAAAATGTCACTTTAAAATTATTTTTCTTCTTGAAAAATGTTGGCGGTCATCAGAATTCAACAAAATGTCCTTCGTTCGAATCTATTTAAGTCTTGTTTTGCAGTTAGAACAATGTCTCAAGCCGGAGGACCTCGTGTAAAGCTAAACACTGGCTACGAAATCCCATTGGTCGGGTTCGGAACCTACAAAGTTACTGGAAACGAAGGACTTGATGTTGCTGTTGATGCGGCGTTGAAAGCGGGTTACAGACACTTTGATACTGCCAAGTTCTACGTAAATGAACCGGAATTGGGAGCTTCTTTGGAGGTATTTTTGCTTTCATTCAATTTTTATTGTTTTAGGTGGTCTTTTGCATGTTGTAGTAGATTGTGGATCATAACTTTTTTGTTTTGAGAGGTAATGGGTTCAAATTTTTTGTGACGTAAGAAAATTTTCTTATCTAACTACTCGAAAAAACAGGATTTTGATTTACGTCTAAAATTAAAAGTTACAATAGGGCTAACACTTGATACCCGAGCTATTTATAACAATTAACCGCCAGTTATTTTTATGAAAAGCAAAACTTTTGCAGAAATTGTTACCTAAACATGGATTGAAACGTGAGGACGTCTTTATCACTACAAAGTTATGGCCAGCTAAAGAGAACAACACCGAAGTGACCGTGAATTTGGTCAATGAATCATTGGCCAACTTCAAGACCGATTACGTGGATTTGGTATTGATTCATTACCCAAAGTCAAATGATAAGGAAAATGAAGATCCAACCAACAAGCAGGACAGAAAAGATCTTTGGCTGGCTTTGGAAAAACTCCACAGTAAGTTTTTTTTAAATATTATAGTAGATGATTGGTCTAAAAATGAATATTTTGGTCAAGAATTTTATAGAATGGAATGAATTTTATGTAAAGTTATTTATAAATTAATTCTTTTGTTAAATAGTAACTAAAATATAATGCTTCAGGCTAAAAACTGCTTTAAAATTACTAGTTTTATCAAAACCTACTGCAACATAAGTTATTTTGCAGAAGCTGGACAAATCCGGTCGATTGGAGTATCAAACTACGAAGTTAGACATTTGAAGGAAATTCCTGAATATTCAAGCACTGTACCAGCAGTGAACCAATTGGAGTACCATCCTCATTTCAGAAGACAAGACATTAAGGACTACTGCAAAGAACATGGCATTTTCTTCCAAGTAAGTCAATATTTTTTGTTTTTATTTGATGTTTAGGCCTTTTCCTCATTGGCACGTTATGAACCAGCCCTTATCAACGATCCACTGGTGAACGAATTGGCAAAGAAGTACAATACCTCAATTGAACAGGTCCTTCTGTCATTCGCCACCTCACAGAACGTCGGAATCGTGCCAAAATCTACAAACCCAGGTAGAATTGAAGCCAATTTCCAGGTGGTCAACTTCAAGTTGTCGGATGAAGATGTGGAGAAGTTGAACAACATCAACGTCGACAAACATTACATCAGATGCACTGGATGGTTGGTGCAGTAAATGAAGTAGATTTTACTGGTTTTTGAAGGTTGTTAAACGTGTGGTTGTAGTGGTTTGGTCGAAAAATACATGGAATTGTTTTTGTTGGTTAAAAAGTAGATAGGAATGTCTTTTTTAATGAAAAATGAGTTAATTTTGGTGAAAAATGATGTTTTTTTGATTTTTTCAATGTATTTTTCGACCAAGCTGGCTAAAAATTTATTTTCTGTGATCTATAGCATCTGTTGGTATCAGAATGTCATATGTTATGACATTGAGTACGGTTAAATTTTCATTTTTTTCATCTTTGTATCTTGTAGTAGGTAGTTTGAATAAATAAGTCCTTACATGCCTTTTATGGTTCATTTTACTTGGCTAGCTGTTTATTGAATCCAACTAGCATTGATAATAATAATATTGTTAATGGCAGTTCTAGTAGTCCAAATCGACGTGTTCGATGGGATTGGCGTTCAAATACTGAACAGTAGTGTAATATTGAGCTAGTTCGTTCCTGTACTCGGCCGTACGTGGATTGCGAAATCGTTTCTGAAATTGAATTTGTTAAGTACAGGCTAGTACTATAATATTTGAATTAAAAAGTACCTTACCATAAACATTGTGAAAGACGAGGCCTTCTCATACAATGGAGAACATTGGTATCGTTCATGTTTCAGTAGCTTGAACTGTTGAGTCGTTTCGTGGTACATTTGCTGATCAGTCTTGGGCCAAAGCTCGAAATCATATGGCAACATATTGGGCTCGCGTTTGTTTCTGATCTAAAAGAAATGGAATTAAAGTTGAATTCAGCCCTACCCTACTTTATCCTAATGTCAGCCTTACCATAGCACCAATAACTATAAACTTTATGACCAAATAAGTTATGTTCTTACCAAGTTGCTCAGACTTCGAAAGGAAAGCTTCGACTTGGATCTAGTCCTTCTGGCATACTTTACTTTCGAATTGCTTCGGCTTTTCTTCAGCATCGACCACAACTGGGCCAGCTTTCCCTTTTTGGTCGGAGGTGGGGCAGCATTTTGAGGCACGGGTACGACGGGGGAAGCGGCTGAAACATTGTGAAAAGTAAAAAAGATCCCTGCCATACCCTAACATACTCTACCCTACCCTCTCCTACCCTACCCTACACTACCTTATCTGTCTCTACCATACCCTACCATACCGTATCCTGCCCACCCTACCATACCGTATCCTGCCCACCCTACCCTACTCTACACTACCTTACCCGTCTCTACCATACCCTACCCTACTCTACTCTACCGTACCACCCCATAAGCCTTACCAAGCCCTACCATTACTACTCTAGTCCCCCCGCCTTGTCTTGAACGCTACTTATTAAATCCTACCCGACCCTTTTTCTCACTATGTCCTACCTTTCTTCCTCCAACCCTTCCCCCTCCTACTTAATAAAATACTGTACTCACCAGACTTTGCAGCTTCCTTCACATTTTCAAGAGTTTTAATTTCTGACATGTTTTTAAACCCGAGTGAATTTACGTTTCGTCAATACACAAGTTCAATAAACAATCGACCGGTAATGGAAAATCAAATGCATTTAACAAATGCGTTGTCAATTAAAAAATGGCCGAATTTTTAAAAATTTTTTAATTTTTGAAAAATAAATTTTTTATCAGAACAGACCAATTTTAGGTACCTTTTAGCTTACGAAATAAGATAGTAATATAATACTTTAGGTACTTTTTGACTTTTAGGTACTGTTGAACTCAAAAACTGTACGACACCACATTTCATTGCTAAATTAGTACTATTATAAATACATTTTGACCATATTCTCTTTAAAAGCCTTTTAACACCACTAAAATATTTTTAAAAAATTTTTAAAAAACGTTTTTCTACAGTATTCCTTCATCTACTGTAACCCTATGAAAAACTATTTTTTAAAACTATTTATTCTATACAGTAACCCACCCTTCCAAAAAAGTATACTACTCCATAACGTATTCAGTATGATTTAAAAATGGGTTTAAACAATTTTTGAAACGAATTTAAACCACCTGTTTCACGCATACATCATTAAGTGTGAGGGATTAGTAGGGCGCGCATTAACTTTACTACACCTGTAATTAAAAGGTCGAGCATGGTCTACAATAACACCGCTCAAATCAAGAACTATCGGGAACGGAAGCGTGTATCCTGCGTCAACAATGTAAGTTGGTTATCAGTAATTATATATCGGGGTTAGGCTTAAAAGAGGGCACACTATATCTAGCTGGCTTCGAGCCGGGATAGGTCAAAGCAAATGGAAACGGTGCCAGACTGGGCCAGACCAGAGCCAGGCCCCAAACCAAATCCATGTCCTTTTCTAGGCCTAACCAAGGTAGATATTAAAGATTTTTAGGTTCAGTTTAGTCTACTAGGCTTATAAGGGCAAGTAAGTATAAGAATCGGCCGAAAAACGGCTGATTATGAGAGTGTGCCAAACTAAAATGGTACGAGCCTAACTTTTTAAAAACAGCTGATTCTAAAACAGATGATTTTGAACACTTGATTCTAAAGCAACACCTTATAGTGCTCTAAAATCAGCTGGAAAAAATAGTCGAAAGGCAAGCGTTTGGACGGTAACCAAAAAACCAGAATCAACTGGCGTTTTTAAATGTAACTTTCTAAAAAAAGCCGTTAAAACTTTGAAAATTCCGGAAATTATAGACAAATAACTGTCATCTAAACTACGTAACACAATTTATAAACTTGCAGAAAACAAAAATTACCGTAGTTTAAAGTTCTTGAATCTAAATTGTTCTTAAAACCGTTTATGCATTGTTCTTCTAACTCATTTAACACTATTTTTAAATTAGAAATTACGGTAACTTTTCAATATCTCCTACCCAAAAAAATAATTTTAAACTTTTAGGCCTTTCAAATGCTTCGCCAAAAGATCCCAGAATTCCAAGAACGACGGAAAAGAATATCCAAGTTGAAGATCCTACAAGCTGCCATCAGCTACATAATCTTCTTAGAAAACACTTTGTATTCGTACGAATATGCCGATTACAGTATTCATCAGTTTTAATAAATTGTAGTCACATAAATTGAGTTTTATTTTTTGTCCAGATAAACTATGATGAGGCAAGCGTAAGAAAAAAATTGAAGGAAAAGTAAGGCAAAGACAGATTAAACGTAAGGGTAAATTAGGACTAGGGCAATGTTAGAGTTAAGCAAACGCAGGGCAAAGGCAAGGCAAAGGTAGAAAAAAGGCAGGGCAAAGGCAGGGCAAAGGCAGGGCAAAGGCAGGGCAAAGGCAGAGCAAAGGCAGAGCAAAGGCAGGGCAAAGGCAGGGTAAAGGCAGGGCAAAGGCAGGGCAAAGGCAGGGCAAAGGCAGGGCAAAGGCAGGGCAAAGGCAGTGCAAAGGCAGGGCAAAGGCAGGGCAAAGGCAGAGCAAGTTAATCTTTACTATAATCTTTTTTAACTATCTTCCTTGCATTTTTATACCTGCAAAAGGATTAACATAGACGGAAGCTGGAAGTGATAAACCCTTTTCAAACTTTTCCAAAATCATCAAAAAATCACTCTTGAAATAGAAAAAATATGTTAAAATCATGGAATATTTGAACTCGACTAGATGTTTGGACGAAAAAGAGTTGCGTTTACATGAAAATAGTGATCTAATTGTCCTCAAATACCTATTTCCTTTTTTATTTGTGTTTGGTTTACTTGGTAATGGGGTTAATTTGGCCGTGCTGTGTTTGGGTGGCATGAGGAACAAAGCCAATGATTTAGTATGTTTTTGTTAGTTTACGGGCTTTGTAAACAAAGTTATTGCTATTTTTTGTAATGTAAACAAAGTTCTTACCCTCTTTACTTTTGTAAAGAAAGTTCTTTCAAGTTTATGTTTTGTAAACAAAGTTCTTTCCATTTTTTTATTTTGTAAACAAAATTTTTGCCATTTTTTGTTTTGTAAAGAAAGTTCTTGCCATTTTAGTTGGCAACGGTATGTTTATGTGACCTGACCTTCTTTATATTGATGTTACCTCATTCTTTGGCAACTTTTGGCATTTTTACCCAGAACATCTCATACAGGTACTACTACCTACAATATCGGCAAGAACTGAGCGCTTTGGCTAATTGGATATCTGCTAGTGCTATTTGGTAAGTTTTCATTTTTTCAAATTTAAAAAAAATTTAATTTCGAAATTTAAAGTTTTTTTTTAATTTTTAAATTTTCAAAACTTAAATAACTGAAACAAAAAACCTATTTAAAATATACCAAACAACCGCATTTTTAGGTTCATCTTCTCAGTAACAGTAGAAAGATATCGTGTAGTAAGAAGACCGTTAAGATCTCGAGATTATTGGTCAAAACCCCAAAAGTTCTCGGCCATAATCATCATATTCTTATCAACCTTCCTCCTAACACTATATCACCACTTTGAATATGACTGCCAGTTGGTGTTCTTTTGTAATTTTACCCAAATTATGAACTTTTGCTACTCTGCTGGCACTACAGTACACCCTATGTGGGGTAGACAAAACTTTTCACCGTCAGAGTGGAGACAGTACTTCATTAAGATTAGTACTGTTGGAAATGCTGTTTTTGTAAGGTTTTTTTGTCCTACCGTATTTTAACCTACCGTACCTGGCTTTAACCTGCTTAAACCTGCCCTGCCTTGCCATGCTTGTTTTGCCCTATCTTCGCATGCTTTACTCTACCGTGCCTTATCTTACTCTGCCGTGCCTTTTTCTAGCCTTGACTTTCCTTGTCCCGCTTGCCATGCCCTAACTTTCGCTTACCCTGGTTATATCATTCAATCTGATTGTTAATCGAAAAAATGTTGTTTTAGGTAGTACTAGTCCCTATAATCCTAGTAGCAGCCCTGACAGTGCTTCTGATACGACAACTTACAATAACAGACACTTCAGTATTAAGCAGATTAGATTCATCGACCCGAAGATCATTAAATCGACAAGTCGTAAGTTATACCCCCCCCCCTTTTTTCCATTTTTTTACCCTACCCTAGCTTTATCTACCGTACCCTACCTCACCTTACTTTGACTTAATTTACCTTACCCTATCTTATCCTATTCTACCCAATCCTATAGTACCCCACCTTGTCATATCATATGATAATAGTTCTACCCTACCCCTATTATCCTAAACTTTATCTTTACCCTAGCCCTGCAATTTTAAGGCCAGACGAAAGCGAGTGACAATAACAGTGATAACGATTGCTTCATGTTTTGCCATTACTCAAGGGCCATCAGCTGTGTTCAGTGTTTGGGAGGTGTTGATTGGTTACTCGCACAAAGACCGTACTCTATTCGATGCTATGAGTGTGGCTAATGGTCTTGTTATTATTGGGAAGACAATTAATTTCATATTATTTTGCTTGAGTTCGGCTTATTTCCGGCGAAAATGCATTAGATTGTTTCTTAAAAAGTTCCCAGAGGCAAGTTACAATATATTTTCAAAAAAAAATGAAATTTTATGCGATTCAAAATGGCATCAACTTTCTTTGCAAAACGAAAAATGGCAAGAACTTTCTTTAAAAAACAAGAAATGGCAAGAACTTTCTTTACAAATTAAAAAATTGCAAAAAAACTTTCCTTTTCAGTTCCGTTCAACTGAACTAGGAAAACGTTTAAGCTACAGAAGTGACACCCCATTTCACCAAAGTATCCGAAGTCATCACAGCTATTTGTCCTCTTCTCTACAACGACTAGACCGATCTCAAAGTCGAAAAAGCGAATATCGATCTTATACTATGACACTTGAAACTTTGAAAGAAGTTTCGGGAGACTTTCAAGAGAAAAATCAGTTTACTGTTTGATTTTTATCAGTATGGCGCTCAAACGTATTATAGTACAAATTGTGATATTTTGAACCCTTTATGTACATTAATATCGCTATAATAATAGTTAATGTTTGTATAAATAATCATATTAATATCCTAAATATAATATAATACATGAAAAAGATCTTCTTTTCAGAAAAATGTTATCTGTCATACCCCGTTATAATGTTATGATCTCTTAAAGATAATATTATCGTAAGTCATAGTTAGTAAATATAAAACAAAACCTATAATATTTAGATTAGACGGAAAGACAACCCCAATAAAAACAACCATACCAATAGACGATGTTACAGTAGTGACAGTGAGTTGTTCAATCCAGTTCCTTTCCAGTAACAGTTATTTTTTTATAAAACACATTCCTCTTTGCCCTTTGATGATCGTGCCTAACGTTTTCCTCTATATCCACAATTTTTACAAGAATTTCCTTCAAATCCACCTTCCATTCAGTCGAATACTTCTGAATCTCCTCCTCTGAAGCCGTTGACTCCAAGAATTTCTTCCAGGAAAGCGAAAACTTGAATTGTTTGTCACATGGCATGTCATTGTACTCGTCCGCGAACTAAACATCAATATTTTATAAAATAATCACAATTTAAAGTTAAATAAAGCTAGTGAAAAGTTGAATTAACCCATGACAGGCCGTATATCAAACCTACTATCATGTAAAACTAAAATATTAACCATTTCTTTAAATCTCACGTTATCAATAAAAGTTCCAAGCAAAGTCAACGATTTCACAAAGCTAGCTCTTGACTTGTCCTTTCCATCCTCAATCCTCGTTGGCACAATCACTTTCTTCTCGTATTTGATCAACCTAAACATCAAACAATCAAAAAAAAACAAGATTAACTTACGCAGTGATGAACTCTTTGAAAAAGTTGTCAAATTGATTCAGATAATGATAGATAAAACACTTCAGAATCGGCAATGACATCTCAGGACCACGTATCAATGTCCAAATCAAAAAGGAATAGTATGTTCGTCGATCGTTGAGTTCATCTTTGTATCGATTAGCTTCGTCTGTGAAATCGTCGTCTTCCAATGTGATCCGAGAGAAAACATCCGATAGTTGAGCGATTATAACGTATATCGCTGTCTGAAAGTTAAAACATTAATTATCTTTCATCTTCTTAAAATTTAAAGCAATATCTTTAAAGAATCGAAAGTTATAACTAAAAGTAGATATTGCTGTGAAAGATAAGCAAAAAAACACAAAAATCAAAGCAAAAACTGAAAATTAAATCTGTGTTTAAAATTAAAACTTCATATTTCACATTAGCTACACCTTTCCGATTCCTAAAACACATACTTTGAAAGGAGTTACAGAAGTTTCTGAAACCGAAAGTCCATTGAAGAAGCTTCGAACCGACATGTCATAAACAACAACTCAAAGCAGACCCCTTCCTTATTTGATTCTTTAGCAAATTGGAGTTATATACATAGGTTTTCAACTGCAATTCCTATTTTATTCTTCAGAATAACATCAGTTCGCAATTGCGCGCGCAAAAGATTTTACATGATTTATTTTTGAAGATTCTGGTAAATGAGTCATTGTGATGCGTTAAAAAAACGCATTTAACAGCCCAAATGTTAAATTAAAGTTTAATTAAAAGTTAAAAAAAGCATTTTAACAAAGGTGTTAATTTTTACCAGTTTTTGTTTTGCAAAAAGATCACAGTCATTATGACAGATTTTATAAATTAACAAACTTCTTGAGCTGCGACGCGCCTTCTGCAGTCTGCAAAAATAAATAACTCGTAAAAAATTGATGGACATCTTCCTGGCTTTATGTGAATAACGAATATGAGACGATCTGTAGTAAAAGCCACTCCACAAAATATTGCTCCAGAAGTTCGGGATGGTTTCAACAGAGCCAATCAACGATTTTTCTTTAATATTGCTCAGATCGAGAAGAAATATTCAAATTTAACGACTTCTGGCATCGTTTTTGGATGTAACGACGAAAGTGTAAGCGTTTTAGCTTTCGTTTTTGTTTGTTTAGGTGGTCAAGAGTGTATAGACGTTAATTTGGGTGTTTTTGGTCAGTTATTTTGTGTTTATATTGTTGTGGACATTGAAGGGTGGTGAAATATCTTCTTTTTGGTATAACTTTTTTCTAAACAAAGCTGTGATTATGAATTTTTGTGGGAATATTAACTATTTTATGGTTTATATTAAACAATAAAAAAAGTTATGAACTTCTTATCACTTTTGAAGTTACAATAGATTTACCATACCTCGCTATACCAAATCCTGCTATTTCTTTTTTAAAATATTTTTTGATTTTAAGGTAGAATTCGATGAAACCGTGCAAGATGCAGAGGACGATGACCTTCTTATTAATGCTGTCAGACGAGAATTGAATCATGTTGATAGCGATTACGGAGGTTCTTTATTATGTGCACCAGCTCCTGACCCAGATGAATCTGATGAAAAGAACTTGACAAGATGGATGAAACTGAATAAAGTACGTTTATTTTGTTGATATTAGTTTGGATTTTAGGTATTTGAACGTTTCTTTGAGTTGGAACGTTCTTGAGTTTGAATTTGAAGGGCAAGATTATGTTGTAGTAGGTGGAAAGTTATGTTTTACTTTTTATATTGGTTATAAAAACTTCATTATAAGATTTATCAGTGATAAAACTTTTTCATAAGTTTTTTAAACATAATTTTTACTAATTTAGGTATATGACATCCACTACACTCGCCAAAAAGCCAAGGAAAATGCTCCACCCAAGTTTAAGCAGCCAGCTTTGCCATCGACGAAGAAAAGGAAAGCGATTGAAGATTCAGCACCAGATCGGAAGCGACAATTGGTTAATATATCAGATAATACTCGGAGTTCAATACTTGATGGGCCTTTGGAGAGGTCACCTGATCATAGAATGGCATTAGATAGCAGGAAAGCGGCATTAGTTCAGCCAAACCTATATCAAAGAATGGGGATTATGGGAAATATGGGACATGATCAAAGTGAGTTTTTTAAGATTTAAACCTTTTTTTAGTTTTACATTTAAGGCTTAAACTTACTTTTTAGGTTTAAGTTTTTAAGAAATGTAATATCATCTTTTAGGGTCACTTAAGAGCGCGGCCATAGTATCAGAATCGATAAAAAGTGGGGCAATAGCATCAAGACAAGAAGAAGAACCAGAATTCTTAAATGAAACAAGGATATCGGTATTTAAGTTACCTTCTTGCTCAACGCCAAAGGCGATTACTGTAAGTTCCATTAAGTTTAAAGTGAAAATCAGTTCACTTTTGGCTTGAATAGTCCTACTTAACCTAACTTATGCTTTCTTAATGAATCTAGTACCACATGTATCGGTTTTTTATAGTACAATAAATTTGGTACCAAATGTACCATTTTGCTTATAGATTTGCAAAACTGGTACTTTTACTGAAGCCTGGTACTATATTAAGCTAAAATAGTGCTCTTTTTAATCACTTGGTGCTATATTTAAAGGCTGGTACCATTTTTGTGATTTAGTACTATTTTTGACAAAATTAGTACAATTCGGAGCCAAGGACTATTTTGAACTATTACGTACTATTTTAACAAAAGTAGTACAATTTTACAAAACTGGTATTATTATGAGCTAAATAGTTTCATTTTGAAATATTTCGTACTATTTTTAATAAACCAGTACTATTTTTGTCTTTATGTACCAAATGTAGCACTGTAGTACAATTTTTGCCTCACAGTACCAATTATAGTACAATCCTTTTCAGTACCACAATGTGAACAGCCCAATGACGCGCCTCCGGCGCAAATGTCTCGAAATCGACCACAACTACGACCTAAACCAGTCGATCTATGCAGATGTCGACGAAGGCGAGTTCATCCGCCGCTGGCTGAAAGACGTGAAACAGAAAATGAAAGCCGGCGATCTTGATAAGCGCATATTCCCAAGATGGCAGCGGATCGAGACTGCCGACCACATCGACCAGGTCAAACCGGTAAATCAACGCCGAAAAACCAAATAAGCACGATGGGGTGCATAATATAATGGCAATTTTGAAGTTTGCAAAATTTTTCATCTTTGAATTTAAAATTTTAAATATGAAATTTTGAATTTGAAAATTCTAAATGAAATTTAATTTTTTTTAGATTTTAAATTTCAAAATTTTTTAAAAATGAAAATTTCAAAAAATTGTAAATTCAAACTCAAAATGGTCTCTTCTATGCTCAATATAATTTATTGTTACAACTATCTCTATTAAATACCATTTTTATTGTCATAAGTGCCTCAATACCTACTAAAATATTATTTCTAAGCTTGAACTTTGAAGCTCTGGTGTTCGCCTTCGCCATTTTAAGAAACTTGACTTCTGAAGCAGATCCAAAGTTCTAAAATCTGCTTTAAAACTGAGTTGAAGCTACGATAAAACAGTGCCCCGAGCTGCGTTTGAGTCAAACTTGAGGCTTTCCAAAATGGAGCTAGGCCTACTCCATGGGAAAGCAAAGGGCTAGCTTAAGCACCTTTTCATACTGCAACTAGATCATTTTTAAAGATCATGCTTTCAGCTATAGGTTTGAGGATTTTTTACAATATAGCGCTTGATAATCTTGATTAAAGATAAATTAATTTTGTTATTGTTGATATTGCAATTTAATTTAGCAATATTTGAAAATAAATATGTATATTTTGTTCGCATCGCCTATCATTACTCAAAAAGTGGTTGTACACCTGTTATACTTTGTCTTTTGTGTGATATGTCATGTTAGGGATCGAGAAAAGTGTTGTCGTCAATTTATGTATTTACTTAGTGAAAAACGACAAGACTTTTTTTTTGGAGGGAAGGGGGGGGGGATGATATCAGAACCGGACGGGGACTTTTGGTCTGGGTGCGGGGAGCGAAAAAATCCACAGTGGTGACCAAGTTCAACTTTTTTCAAATTTTTTTTTGGGGGGGGGTCTAATTAAATTTTTTAAATCTACACCTACAACTACTACCTCTGCGCTATTTTTATGTCTGAGAAAGGTGTATCTTTCTTTTTGTTTCCTACCTACCGACAGAGTAAAAAAATTTTGGCAGGGGAAGAGCAAAACGTTTTTTTAAATTTAGCAACTTTGAAATAAAACCACTTTTCCGTCATTTTCTAACCCGCAAAGTACCCATAACTACCACAAACCCGCCATTTTGAGTCCCAATGGGACCAAAGAACATCAAAAAATCAGATAAATCATCAAAAAAATTTGCGGCGTGCAAATTAAAACACGTTCAGCAATTCTAATCCAGTTTCTTGAAGAACTTGATGCGCTACTGATACGACATCTCAAGTTTTTTGGGCGAGTTAAAAAGTTGAATACTTTAATTAAGACGTTTCATCTTTAAAAGTAAAATGTCGGCGCAGACATTTGGATATTTATTCAGAGTAGACATTTGGGTACTCGTTCGGCGGAGACTTTTAGATATTTGTTTGGCGGATACTTTTAGTTATTGATTTGGCGGAGACATAGGGTATTCATTGAATTGAGAGTTTGAAAAAAATAAATTTGGTGATTTTTATGGCTATCATTAGGTAAAAATGGAATTTTTGAAATTTTAGAAACATCTTTGGAAAATTTGGTTGATAGATTTTGTAAAGCATAGAAAGGTCAATTTATCGAAAGAGCTTTGTATTAATACTTTACTTTATGACAAAGTTATGAGTGTTTGAAAATGTCGAAAATCAATAAAAATTCGAGTCCGGCCAGCAAAATATCGACGTTTTTCATTTCAACTGGCTGTAACATGATTAATAATCGACATATCTTTACAAAACTCTGCGATTATATAAAGCTTTTTATGGTTAACAAAACATATATGGTCAAGTTACGCTAATATGCTGCTCAGGTTTTTTAGAAATTAAGACTTTTGCCATTAGTGGTACCTAAAGCCCCAATAGGCGGTCTGTTGATCGTCAGCACGTTCCCATGCCTAACTTTACTCTTTTCTCAAAAGTATATTGAAATAGTCGTTTCATATGACATAAAATTAACGGCACTACCAATTACCGTAAACTTTCAACACATGAGCAAGTGTAATATAATATACCGCTTTATGTGACTACTTTACGTTTTTTGTCGTTATAACCAAATTACCGAGAGTTTATTGTTTTACATAATCGTATCCAACTGCCTAACCACAGTAAATAACCACCAGGTGTCTGGCTAATTCCATTAAAGTCATGTTGCCTTAAAACGCTAAGATATTACCTAAAATTTTATTTTTTACTTTTTGGGCTTGTAGTGGGTAGTAGTGAATATATAGTTTTCGTAGAACGTAGAAATTTGTATTTTTTCGTAAAACTTGGTAGAGATATATGTATTGTTTTATAATAAATTTACGGGCTGTTGAAAATGAAAAAGTCTGAGCTTCCAAGCGGATTCGAACTTTTTTGGTTTTTCGACATTTTCAAATGACCATAACTTCATCATAAATTTAGGTATCAAAATGAAACTTCTTCCCCACATAGCATTTTTCATGGTTTACGAAATCTATGAACCATATTTTGCAAAAACAATACTTGAATGTTCGTAAAAATAGGGCAGTGTAATATCGCTGTAACTCTCAAAGTCCTGTGAATTTCATGAAGCTTTTATATATTTAGTTGAAGAATAGAACACTCTCCAATCACACCAAATTTCAACTTCTGAACTATTTTTTGAAAAAAGTTATGCCCAAAACGATCTTGATGTACCTAAAATTTGATGTTGACCATGGAAAAAAAGGTTTTTTTTTAACTGTAAATGCCACTATTTTTAGAATTATGTTACACTAAATGATTCGTATAATAGTCTTTTTATTATCTAAAGTTATATTTTCAAAAAATTCCGTGGCAAAAACAGTAAAACTTGCGAAATTCAAATAAAGATCAACCGTTCCTTGAGGCAAATCATAGTGACGGATCCAAAAAATGAAGAAAATTCTCTTCCTCCGGCCGCTTTTTGGCAAATTCTGGCGGAATTTTTTAAAATTATTGATGTTTTATTGAGGATAGGGATTGAATTTTAGGTTTAGATATGGCTTATGATGTATATTTTATGTTTTTGTTGGTTTTCGGCTGTGTTTTTAAGGTTTTACCTTGATTTTGAGCTCATTAGGGATATTTTCTTTGATTTTTAGACGTTTCTGACTGGGTTTTAAATTGTTTTGGCTATATTTTTAGTTTTATTGTTGATAATGTTGTTTATTATGAATCTGTGATGTTCTAGGATTCTATTTTGTATAAACTTACGTGAGTTTGAGCTTGATTTCAAGAAGATTTTGTGGAAAGTGTTGATGTAGGTATGGTTTATATAAATTTGATCAGTTTATGTTGATTATGTTGTTTATAATGAATCTATGAAGCTTTTAGAACCTAGTTTGTTTAAATTTACTTTGTTTCAAGATTGATTTGCTTAAGATTTCATGAGAAATTTTGTTGTAGGTAATGAGAAGTGTTGATGTAGGCATGGTGAATATAAACTTTAAAAAAATAGCTCAAAAGTTTAATTTTTCTAGAAAAATTGCAATATTTTTGAAAAATTGATAAATAGGAATGGAGCAAAAGTTGTGTTGAGGTTGTTTCAGACGATTTGATAGGATTAGCGTATCAAAAAGGGCTTTGAATAATATAAAATCGTGTTTTTGTAATAACGTTGTTTTGATTTTTATTTTTAGACATTGAAGGAGGTGGCAAACATTGTCATAACCATGACATGAACTTTCATTTTTATTATTTTATGACATATTTTTTGATTTATGACATATTTTTCGATCTTATGACATATTTTGTGGATTTTGGCCATTTCGTGACATATTTATCCGTTTCCATGGCATGTTTTGTAAATTTTGCTAATTTTCATTATTTTCCAGGATTTGTTGTTGTGTCAAGCACAATGTCCACACTGGTAGAGCCCAAAGAGATGATTGTGACCAGACCACCAAGCCCAAGACTCATGAGGAATCCAATGTTGTCGGTAGGTTTATATTTTTTGTTTTTGTCGGTAATTTAGGCTTCTTATTGGGGTTTGTCGATTATAATCTGGTTGAATCGATGGACGCTGTTAGATATTTTTTAATTTTTTTTGGTTTGGAGGAGTTAAAATAGTACTAATTTGACAAAAGGTACGTAGAATAGTACTGTTTTAGAGGAAAAAGTGGTTTGAATAGTACAGTTTTGGTTTTAAAGTACCTATAATTGTAATATTTAGGTCAAAAAGTACTTAAAATAGTACTATTTTGCTCAAAAAATTTTTAGAATAGTAATTTTTTACATTATAGTAGCTGTCTTTTCCATGATATATTATAGTAGCCGTCTTTTTTTAATATTATAATACCAAAAAGTTAATATCCATGTCTGGCACCAAAACCGCCCAACGATGATTGACTTTTTGTTTTTTCTCTCTGGATTTGAAGATTCCACGTAGTTTAATCGCCTTATCAGTTAGGAAAAGATTAAAAATTGTCGAATCGATGACGTATTGTACTCGAAACTCTATGTTTTTGCACTGAAACACCATATTATCCATTGAATCGAGGTGGTTTGATCCGATTTACATGGAAATTGAGTGAGAGGCACGTTCATGAATTCGCTTTTAAACTTATCTTTTTCGAATATCTGCGACACAGCTTTTCCAGTTGAGTCTAGTAGAACATTGTTTTGTTGAGTTACTGGAATATATTTTCCGTTACTCTACTATAATATTGTTGGTAATCGTGTATTGAAACATGAGTCCGGTCAAAGTAAGAGTTTTTTTTTAATTTTAGGGTATAGGGGGAAAAATTTTATAACGAATGGCTTGGTGGCATAAATTTGTTATATGTTGTTACATAGGCCTTCGTTATACTGGAGTTTCAGAGTATTTTAGGTAATTTTTTTGAATTTTTAAGCTTATTTCAGGGGTAAATTTGGCATATTATGAGCGGTATATAGCGTAAAGGACTTGATTTTTATAAAAAAAAATATTTTTTGTGAGAGATGGACTTTGAAAAAAATTTTTGAAAAAATGTTAACGTGCCTCCCCCCTGTTGCATTTTGGGAAAAAAATTGCTAGAAATTAAAAAATTTTTTTTTGAATTTTGATTATCTGCCTTTTAAAAGTGTTAATTTGATGTTTAGTAAGCCCTATAACAAGATTCTGGAAAATAAAAAGCCTAATTTCGTTAAAATACTACTGGTAGATAATTGAATATCCTGTTGTCAAAGCAGGTGTAAACTATGAAAAAGTAAAGCAAAGTGAAAAGTTTAGGTAATTTTGTAATAAGTTTTTTAGTTTATAATAATTAGGTTTGCACAGCATGTTTGAGACTTTATAGTATAGTTTTTGCTTTCATGTTATGACGAAATCTTTTACATATAAAGTTAACGTTTTAAACATAAATTTTTAGTTACAAAATTTGAAGTAAAAAATTAAATTTTAAACTATAAACCTTTATATTTCAGTCGCTGGTGAACGAAAACCTTATCAACTGTAAGATCCAAGAGCACAAAGTGAATAGAGAAGAGCGTGCTGCCATCCTAGGACATCACGCCGGATTCCGTGGCTGCACCCTCTGGTTCACTGGTCTCTCTGGTGCCGGAAAGACGACATTGTCATTTGCATTGGAGAAGATCCTAATCCAGCTTGGCATCCCAGCCTACGGTCTCGATGGTGACAATGTTCGACATGGCTTATGCAAGAACCTCGGCTTCCAAAAGGAGGAGCGTGCTGAAAACATTCGACGTGTTGCCGAACTCTCCAAACTTTGTGCTGATATGGGTATGGTAATGTTGGCGTCATTCATCTCCCCCTACCGATGCGACAGAAATAATGCCAGAGAGATTCACGAGAAGGACAACTTGAAATTCTTTGAAATCCACGTCAGCACATCATTGGAAGTCTGTGAAGCTCGAGACATTAAGGGCTTGTACAAGAAGGCCAGGTTGGGACAGATCCGCGGATTCACTGGAATCGACGCCGAATACGAGGTACCTGCCAAGCCGGACCTTACCTTGGATACCGCTCAACTGTCCGAAGCTGAATGTGTCAAGAAGTTATTGAAATTCTTGGTTGAGGAGGAGATTCTTCCCAAAGAGGTACGGTTTTTGATTGTTTTTGTGTTTGATCAATATTCATAGGACTTATTTTACATTATTAAAATAGCAAAAACTTTGTTTACAAAGCAAAATATGGCAAAATCTTTCTTTACAAAGTCAAAAATTCCAAAAACTTTCTTTACAAGCTCAAAAATGGCAAGAACTTTCTTTACAAGACTTTGAATTTATACGTTTCAGCTGTTCGACCACTACAACGAGCCTCCAGTGAAAGAGTTGTTCGTAAAATCAGAAGAAGAGAAGAAAACATTGCTCGAAGCTGCCAAAGACGCTCCAGAAGTCGAAATGGAACTGGTCGACCTCCAATGGCTTCAAGTTTTGGCCGAAGGCTGGGCCACTCCATTGACCGGCTTCATGAGGGAACGACAATACTTACAATCACTCCACTTTGATCAAGTCTTCGACCTCACCAAGAAATGTGCTCAACTAAATGGCGGATCGGCGGAGGTCAGCGAACGAACCCCCCTCTACGAGCCAATCAGCCAGAGTGTACCAATTGTACTACCTATCTCGACGGAACAAAAGGACAAGATTGGCAATGCCAAAATGGTCAAACTGAACTATAACAGCAAGTTGGTGGCTGTGCTGGAGGAGCCAGAAGTTTTTGTTCACAATAAAGTGGAGAGAGTGCAAAGACAGTTCGCTTGTACTGACGTGAGACATCCAGCCGTGGAGATGATTTTGAACAGCGGAGATTGGTGCTTGGGAGGTGATGTGAAGGTGTTTGACAGAATTGTGTAAGTTATTTTGTGTTTTGAGTAATTTTGATAGTTTAAAAATCATTATAAAGATTCGAAAAAATTGAATTTTGGGCGGATATGGAAAAATTCTTTTTTGACATATTTTGCAATTTAAAAACAATTTTTTACAGTTTTTTTGGAACTAAGGACTTTTAAGGCTTTTAGACTATTTATTTTTTATCAAATCTCTCTGTTCCTTATACCTAAACTTTAAATTTTCAGTTACAACGACGGCTTAGATCAATACCGCAAGACCCCAAATGAACTCCGTGCTGAATTTGCCGAAAAACAGTCAGACTGTGTGTTCGCGTTCCAACTCAGAAACCCCATCCACAATGGCCACGCCTTGCTGATGAGAGAAACCAGGGAAATGTTGTCTAAACGCTACCAGAAGCCCATGCTCCTTCTTCACCCACTGGGAGGCTGGACCAAGGACTCAGACGTGCCTTTGGAAATCAGAATCCGTCAACACGAGGAAGTCTTAAAGTCGGGAGTTTTGAGCAACGACTGGACTGTCCTAGCCATCTTCCCATCGCCCATGCTATACGCCGGTCCAACGGAAGTTCAGTGGCACGCAAGGGCACGTGTAGCCGCTGGGGTTTCAGCCTACATTGTTGGTCGTGATCCAGCTGGAATTCAAGACCCAAAAACTGGTGGATTCTTGTACGACCCAACTCACGGTGCCAAAGTTTTGGCTATGACTCCAGGATTGACAGAGTTGGAGATCATTCCGTTCCGTGTCGCCGCCTACGACAAGAAGAACGGCTGTATGGGCTTCTTTGACGAATCCAGGAAAGAGGACTTTGACTTCATTTCGGGCACAAGGATGCGAGGCTTGGCCAGGGCTGGCGAAGAACCACCAGAGGGATTCATGGTGCCAGAGGCGTGGACTGTAAGTTTTTAGTTTTTTTCTAGTGCTTAAAAGTGAAAAAAAAGTGTATTAATTTAGTCAAAAAAATATAAAAAAATAGTACTATTTTGGTTCAAACATACCTAAAATGGTACCATTTTCGTCAAAAAGTATCTAAAATAGTAATCTTTTGACCGTAAAACCTTAGTTTTGCTTGTATCATACTTATCTTACCCGTTTCAGGTGCTGGCCGATTACTACAAATCCATTGCTCAATCAAAATAAGGACCACTACACCCATCCTGTCTATCACGTGATACTAGACATTCTACTAATTTATTTCATATTATTAACCCTTGTTTTTCATATCCTAACCCTTTATATAGTCAGTTTAGATTGATATATTGTCTGTAAATTGTATTAATGGTACTGTTTCTTAAAACAATAAAACCCATGAATGGTACTTTTGTTGTTTAGGTTTTGTTCTTTTTTATTCTTTGAGGGTTGATATGTTATTGCTACCTCATGGTATTGATAAGGAGTGATAGGTAGAGGAATCGTGAAGTTAGAAACATGAGAAAATAGTGATATGTAGACCAGAAATTTGATAGAAATGGGAAAAAAGGGGTTGAAGAATACATGTAATAGAATAGCCAGTGAGTGTTAAAGGTCAAAAAGTTTATAGAATTATGAAAAAACCCAGAAATGAATATAATTGGATAGCCAGATGGTGATACAGGCCAAAAAAGTCCACAAAATGGTCAAAAAGTCAACAGAATGGGCAGAAAAATATAAGAGAAGATGTACAATAGAATGCCCAGTAAGTGCTTAAGGTCAGAAAGCTTAGAGAAATCATTTTTTAAATAATAACTTGTTGTTCTACAAACTTTTGGACCAATACTTTAGTAAAAACTCAATTGAACATTCTTTGGTATACCATAATTTCCCTTATGTTCTTCAAATAGAGCTACCAATTTGGTTTTGTACAACGAATGAAGCTGATCAACTTGTTCATCAGTGGGATCATCTAGTTGAGTCACTGGGATTGGACTGCCAACTAAAATTATGAAATATAATATAACGCAGACTAGGGCAGGGTAGGATAAGGTAAAGTAGGGTATGGTAAAATAGGGTAGGATAAGGTAAAATAGGGTAAGGTAGAGAAAAGTAAAAAAATGATGAAGAACTTACAAACCACAACAATTTCCCCTTCAAAAGGTGTTACACTAGGCAGTCCAGGTATCAAATCTTTGCCATAAGCCAAGACCGGACTGAATCCCCAAACTTTTTTAATCTTCGTTTGCCAATCCCTCAATTTTGACCCGATTGGATTCCTAACTTGTCGATAACCACTAGTTTCTCCGAAAGCGTAAACTGGTACAAGATAGGACCCTGTTTTGAGAGCTATACGACAGAATCCTTTTCTGTCGTTTAAACGTAGCTTGTAGACGTTGCCATGGGATTCTAGGGCTTCTTCAGCTCCACCGACTACAAGGCAGATTGCTTTACCGGTCGGTTGGGGATTTTGGGTTTGTTTAGGTATTTTAGGAGCATTAGCACCAGAAATAAAATTCGGAGTACCATTTGCATTAGAAGCCAAATTAGTGATACCATTGGTACCAGAAACCAAGTTTATAGTACCATTAGTACCAGAAGTCAAATTTATCGTACTATTGGCACTAACAGCCCGATTTGTAATACCATAAACACCAGAAGATGGCATATGAGTACCATTAGTACCAGAAGCCAAAGTTTTGGCACCACTAGTACCATTAGCTAAACTAGTACCATTTCTGGTCTTATTAGATAACAACTTGGTAATGAACCTTGACGAAGCAGGTATGACCCCAAATGCACTCAAAATGGTACGTCGAAATGGAATTTTAAATTGAATGTCAAGGGTGGTCAAATGCCTTGTCAGACCAGGAAAGTCCTTCGTAAAGCCAGCACCATCTGAACACATAACCACAACACCTGATATACAGATAATGCCGTGGGGGTGCCATCTGTAAGCATTTTTAAAATTTTAAAGAAAAGTGAAGTTGTAAAGAAAGTTCTTGCCATTTTTGGTTTTGTAAAGTAAGTTTTTTCTGATTTTTGCTTTGTAAAGAAAGTTATTGCCATTTTTTGATTTGTAAAAATAGTTCTTGTCATTTTTTGTTTTGTAAAGAAATTTATTGCCGTTTTACGTCTTGTAAAGAAAGTTTTCGCCATTTTTTGTTTTGTAATGAAAGTTCTTGTCATTTTTCATTTTTTTAAAGAAAGTTCTTGCCATTTTTCATCAAAAAAGTCAAATAGTGTACTTTGCAGTCTATGAGAGATAAGTTATACGATGAATAACAATTTTTTGATTTGTAAAGAAAGTTCTTGCCATTTTACACAATACAAAGTAAATACCTTTTACTTACGCCAATATATAGTTATGCTCAGGCGGTAACTCAGCCGTTTTTACAATTCTCAACGGAAAGTAATTAGCAATGTAGTTCCACATCTCATGATTCCTCAACCATTCCCAAGGCTTTTGATATTCTACTGGATTGTTCCAAGTAAAGTAAGCGTATATTACAGTAAAGACTGTTATCAAGTAATACGATGTGAACAGTAGGTAGAGTAGTAAAAATGCCAGTATAAAAGGATGGAATAAAAATAGAATTAAGAATATGTGGATTTCTACTAGCTCTATTATTGAGGTGAATATCGGCTTTTTGGCCTTCATTTTGGAGTTCTTACAGTATATCGGTGGGTTATTATAGCAAAAATGATAGTAAAATGGTTTTTTTTCTATTTAGAATACTATTTCCTATATTTTTGGTAAAAAAATTTGAGTTAAAGTAGTACCAAAGTACCAGATTTGGCTAATTTTCAAAGTAGTACAGAAATTTTTAAAAAAATCAAAAAATTTTTTTTTTCTTAAAAAATGATGAAAATGACTTTTCTGATCTTTTCAGATAACAAAAACAAAAAAATTTGAAAAAATCGACCGAAAAATTGCTCAAAAATCTTAAATTTTACCCAAAAAAAAACCAAAATGTTGCCTTTTTCAAACAAAAACACTATAACTTATCAATTGTGACACTAATTATTGCACGAGTGTTTTTAAACCTTGTTTTTGCTTATTCATGCTTTATTTATCATGATTGATAACTTTGACCGCTGCCAATAATCAGGCCAGAAGAACAACGAAAACAGGCCTTATCACTTCTCTCCGAATAATAATGCAACATCTCCCGAACAAAGAGTAGTAGCGACAGTCGGAAATACAAAAAATAGAAAATTTTTGGGATAAATGGTGGAGTATGAACTATTTTTTACAAATTTAAAAATAATAAACCGTCACCTAACTTTCAAATTTAAATTTTTTTAAAAATTAGTTTATATTTGATGTTACTATAGAGTCGATCAGCAGAAGCCGTACCAGACCCAATTTTTCAACCTAGTCCACGCTTGTTTTAAATACAATTTGAAAATTAGTATCAAAACTGTAAGAAAAGACTTGTTTTACACTTTTTACAAGTAAAATCTTTCGTTGTAGGACCTAAACTGGCCCTTAAGTTCTTCATACAGACACAATCCTGGTTCGCACAATCCTGCCGGGCTAGAGATTTTTCTAGTTTCTTTCAGTCCGGTCCCAAGCCGAGACAGAAGTTTAGGTTTAGTATTGTATTTTAGAGACAAGTAGGGTAGGGTGAGGTTTTCCAGAAAAAGATAAAGCAAGGTGTTCTAAAGAGGTTAAAGAAGTGTAGTGTAAAAAAGAGAAGTGTAAAGTAAAATAGAGCAAGAAGGTTAGGTAGGGTAAAGCACAAAGAGTAGGGTAGGGTAAGGTAGGGTGGATAGGATAGAGTAAGGTAGGGCAAGGTAAAGTAGGGCAGGGTAAAGTAAGGTAGGGTAGGGGCTATGGTATTGCAGAGTAGCAACTGCGTTGATCAAAAAAAGTAAAAGTCAATTAAATTTTGACACATTTCCCTACATTGTAATTAAATTTTTTAAATACCATTATGTATCACAACATGAATGCCACGATATATGACAAACAACAACAGTTCAAAGCGTGGAAACGCTTAGCGTGTATACTATATTTGGTGTCGCTTAGCAGCGTTTTTGAATGACAATTGGAAAGAATTTCCGTTTCAACTTGTCGCAAAAAATCTAATTTCAGGCCAAAAACCTATGTTTACTTTCCGGTGGCGGTAAGGAAAATAAAAGAGCGGCGGTATACTTTTTTACTATTCAATTAGTGAATTAAGGCTTAAAGAAGGAGCTAAAGTTCAAACGGGTGCTATGTTTGTTAATTTTAGAAGGGGAAAGAGGGAAGGGCGGGGGGACTTTAAAGGGAGGGGGGGGGGAGGAAGAGGGAGGAGAAGAGTGAGTTTTATGACTAAGTATGTCTCAAAAGTGTGGTAATGAGAAAGCTACTAGCTTTGGATTAGTAGTATGGTTAGGGCTAAAATTAACTTTAAAGCCTAAGTCTAGGACTATGCTTATTTTTAGGCTTACCCTCAAGTCTAAGCCAAATATTAAGCCTAAACCAGACCCAAGCTTAGGGCTAGGCCTATATAAGCCTAAAACTAAGCCTAAGAGTACGCTCACATATTCCTAAGCCTATGTCTAAGCTTAAGCCTAAAGTTAAGCTTAAGCCTAAGTCTAAGCTTAAGTCTAAGCTTAAACCTGAGTCTTAAGCTAATCTTAAGCCTAGGCCTATGATTAAGCATTAACCTACCTATGCCGAAGCTTACGCTTATCCAACGCTAAGACATATTTTAAGCTTAAGCCTATGCTTAACCAAAAACCAAAACGCGCAAGCTAAGCCTAATCTTTCCTCAAGTTTAAAGCTATGGCTAGTGATATTATCACGTGTGATATAAATATTCCTTGTGACAGCTTATGTTCTGTATTTAGTTATCTCCTTTTATTTTTTTACAAAAAAATATATTATCCATGGGATCAAACAGTTTTTTTTCACTTTTTCCTTTTTCACGCTGATTTACGCTTTAAGCCCACGTTTATGGAACGTTTCGGATCAAGCACAGATATTAAATCACGGAAGCTTTTTTCAACAAATATAAAAAGGGGTTCAAGTGCACAGTTCAAACAATCATTTTGATTTTAAAAATATAAAAATGAAGCACAAGATGGGGTAGAGTAAAGTAGAATAGGACAGGTTAGGGTAAGGTGAGGTAGTTTAAGCTAGGACAGAGCAGGTTAAGGCATAGTGAGTTAGGGTAGGATAAAGTAGGGTAGGACAGGATAGAGTAGGGTAGGTAGGGTAGAATAGGGTAGGGTAGAATAGAGTAGGGTAGAGTAGGGTAGGATATGGAATGGTAGAGAGGGTATTAAATTCCCCTTCAGTCTTTTTGACAATTTTAAAATTTTTAAATTCACGTTTTCTTATTCCTGTGGTAATGACTAATTAATATTGCACTTGTTAATAAATTAGTTTTAATGAATAATTTATTCGTTTGTTTTGGAAGCCCTGCTCTGCCATACCCTAATCTACCCTACACTACCCTACCATACAATACCTTACCCTACCTTTTACTTACCTTTGCCCTACCCTATACTGCCCTACTCTCTCTTTCTTACTCTGCTCTCCACTACTTTGCCTTTTAGTTTGTTAATCCACCCTACTTTAATCTACCATGCCTTACCCCGCCCTCATAAAAACCTTTTGTTTAGCCTTTACCATGCCCTTGGCTTATCTTCTTTCTACCCTAACCTTCTTCCCCTGCGCTACCGTATCTTTGCCTTAACCTTGCTATACCCTTTCCATAAGCTACCCTAACATGCTCTACTCTACCTTTTTTCCAACCTCTCTTCCTACCTACACCATCCTATCACACCCTGCCCTAATATATTTAAAATGCCTGTTCAAAAATAACTACTCTGCACAAATTGTATTACGCTGTTCTGTTGAAACTTATTATTAATCCCGTCAATTATATATTGTAAGCTGGAATTAACATTACTATTGTTTGCTTTCGAAAGTAGGCCTATCAGGAATGGTTTTATCAGCTTCGCCCTTTCCTCCTCAACTGAATAAATAAAGTTGTTCCGTTTTTTCGGAAAAATATTTTTAACAATAACTTTATATGGTACTTTTAAGGTGTTTTTTTTATATTTTCGGTCGTTTTTTAAAAAAATATTGACAAGGTTTTTTTATTTTTGACCAATTTGGCGCTTTCAAAGATTTTTAGGCTATTTTTTATCTCTGAATTTCCAAATTTCATTTCAATTTTGAATTTTAGGTAACAAAAAATAAAAGTTTTGAAAAATTCATATTTGGCCTTACTTTACCCTACCCTACTTTACATTACTTTAGGGGGGGGAAGGGGGGTGGGGAGGTTTTGAAAAAAGTTGAACGTGGTCCCCCCCTGTTGATTTTTGGAAAAAATTTCGCAAAATTATTTTGGCCCCCGCCCTCAGTCCAAAAGCACCCTCCCGGCACTGCCCACCATACCCTATTTTGTCTTATTCTACTCTACCGTACCTGATCGCACTCTGTCCTACCCTAGCTTGCCCTGCTTTGCCCTACCCATGTACATATTGCGGCCGAATTTCCAAATTTAAACCTAAAATCAAAATTTCAAGCCTAAAACCGCAAGTTTTAAGAAAAAATAAGTGCTTTGCAATTTTTATGACAATACTATTGTTTTCGTCACCAAACCTCGGTCTTTCAAATCCTACCGCGGTTATAAAATTATTCACCATTCCCTTCAAATCATGTTTGTGTTTGTTCTTACGCGGTGGAAATGGCCCATGACTTGACGTCAAAACATTCCACTTCGCAGGTAAAAGCGAAAACTCTTTAATCTCATCCTTATTCCTCACGTTTATTATACGAAAAGTTGTTGATTTTGTTCCCGCCTCCCCCAAAAAAAAATTTAACGTGGTCCCCCTGTGGATTTTTGGAACAAAAATTTTCGCAAAAAATCGGCACAGTGCGCCCCTAGACCAAAAGTCCCCGCCGGGACCTGGGCATGGGTGAGGTAGAAATAGAGGTACTGCTAGGGTAAAAGACGGGTTTCGGTAAGGCAAGGCAGGGCAAGTTAGAAAAGATTACGAATTGCAAGCGGATGTTTTTCATACACTAAATGATTATTCCTTATATTTCTTGTTTTTGAAATATTTTTATATTTTTAATTTCGAAAAATTTCAGATAAATGAAATCTTGGGTAAATGTCCTGTTTATAGCCGCAGTTGTTATATATTTTTGGTTTTACTTGCTTTCAAATAGGATAGACGTCAACTCAGTTCCTAAATATCTTAAAGTAAGTTCTTTTTATGTTGCCGAATCGGTCAAAAAGTTGCTAGAACAATGTTATTTCGATCAACTAGGACCCAGAGTGGCACCTTTTAAATAACAAACAGGGTTGTTTAAATAATTATGTGCCCTTTCACAAAGCAAATTTTCCGGAATAGCGAGTACAGAATTATTTGAACAGATTAATGACAACATAAGGTTGGACAATTAATTCTGTGCCTCTTCTCAAAAACAATTTCAAAGATAGGGAGCGCAAAACTTTTTGAACAACCTAATAGTGCTAATTTAGTCAAAAAATACCTAGAGAAGAAAAGTTAAGCGAAATATTTAATGGATTTCAAAATTTTTGCCCATTTCAGACATTCGCTCGTATTGATAAGCCAGTAACAGACGATGATGAAACATTGCCAATCGAAACAACTGACTATAGCAACTCGAGTAACTGCTTTCGACCGGAAACTAATGCTGATATTAAAGTAAGCGCATTACTATTTTTGGTATGTAAAGAAAGTTCTTGCCATTTTTGCTTTGTAATGAAAGTTTTTGCCATTTTTTGTTTTGTAAAGAAAGTTCTTGCCATTTTTTGGATTCTAAAGAAAGTTCTTGCCATTCCCAACCCGACCTTCACCTATGTTTGCAGATCGACGGTCAAAGTCTCCTAATATCCAAAGAATACAAACCCCCACCCAAAGATGAAATTCTTAATGTGCATCTCGTCTTCCACTCCCATCTGGACCCGGGCTGGTTACTAACCTTCAAAGAGTACTATGACGAACAAGTTTCACTAATTTTTGACAACATGATCGACTACTTGAGCACACATCCTGACGGAAGATTTATTTGGTCAGAAATGTCATTTTTACACCACTTTTGGATCAATTCATCTAGTAAGAAGAGAGAAAAAGTGAGAGAGTAAGATGATTTTTTTGAATTTTGAATTTTAAATTTTAAAAATTCAAAATTTGATTTTAAAAATTTGTAAAGCATTCAAAAATGCGTTTATACTGCAAATTTCGACTCGGTAGAATAATTAGTAAAAGAGTTATAATCAGTTAAAAGTGTCAAAAATCCAAAAAAAAAGTTAGAACCCGCCTGTATCACATCAACTTTTTCTTATTTTTAATCCGCTTCAATTTGTACTGCCCACCGTATTTTAACAAGAATTTGCCAAAACATACTTGATTGTATGCTTTACATAACCTACAATCTCATTTTGTCTCAAAGTTTTTGAAATTTTGGAAAATTAAGGTTAAAGTTCATATTAACCTTCAAAATCTCCGAATTCTAAAACTTTTAAAAATTCCTGATGTTAATAACATTTTTACATTTGAAGGTTTATAAAAAACGGTCAATTAGAGCTATGTGGTGCTGCTTGGGTCATGACAGACGAAGCCACACCCTATTTTTGGGCAACAATCGACAATATTGTAGAAGGGCAGCGATTCGTCTACGATACCTTTGGTTACGCTGCCAATACTTCTTGGTATGCCTACATTTTTTCATATTTTAGATCACTCTAATTCATCTACTTATAAAATTTAAGTCGATAAGTTTTAGATTCAAAATTTTAGGTCAGTAGATCCATTTGGACATGGCAGTATGAACCCGTACCTAATGTCCTTGGCTGGAATCAAAAGTATGGTAGTTGGTCGTTTAAACCAAAACGTCAAAATCAAAATGCGGAAACAGCAAGCCATGATCTTTAAATGGACTCAGCCTTGGCAACAGGTAACAGGATTATTTTTTGGTATTTTAGGTAATAGCGACCACAAAACGCCAAAAACGGACCCTATTCCCCACCTTTTTCCTCAAAATCTCTAAAATTACAAAAAACCAACTAAAAACCTCAACTTACAGGGACAAGAACCACAAATTCCAACAGTAATGTCATTGCCAGATGTTTATTACACTACAACCAACGGTTGTGGGCCCGATGGTCAGGTTTGTTGTAAGTTCGAATGGGGAACATCATCAAGATCGTTGTGCGCTGAAAGAATATTTATTACTGATGAGAACGTTGAAAATAGAAGTGCGATGCTCACGGAACAGTACAAAACATATCATGTAAGTTTTGGACGATTTTTTAAAAAATTCAGAGAATTTTCGATAAAATTGGTAAAAATTGTGAGATTTTTCGTTAGTTTTGTGACACTTCGTCTTTTTCTTGTCGTACGGCCGTTTTTGAAGGAAGTTTCGTCTTTCTTTTGGTAAAATACGAATTTCATACAAAGTATAATTATTTCAATGTATTATAAAATTATTTTAATTCCAGAACTTTTACAATGGCGACGCATTGCTGGTCTCAATTGGCGACGACTTTTATTTCCGAAGCAAAGACGATTTTTCCCTCATGTACGACAACTACAAGAAGATAATCGACCATGTGAATGTGAATGTGGACAAATATAAAGTTAGAATGCAATTTTCAACGGTAGGAGAATACTTTCAACGAATTTCAAAGACTTATTCAAAGCCTGCGGTGTTGAGAGGCAACTTTTTCCCATATACGGAAGATAAAGATGGGAATTCATCGTTTTGGACGGGTTATTTTGTACACAGAAGCAATTTTAAACAGCTGGAAAGAAAGGCACAAGTAAGTAATGTTATTGTTGATAACAATTTTAATTGTCTTTGTTTGAACTAGAGGTTTGAGTGAAGAAAATGCGATAAATTAGGATGTTATACTAGCTCTGATGGCATTGTTACTTTTGATCACAACTTTTTTGTGGGGATAGATAAAGGTTTGAAATTTGGCATGGATATACATTGCGTATTTGTCTAACTAACGTTAAAACCAACTTTTAATTTATAATTGTATTGTAAAGTTACACCTATTTTAACGTACCGCACATTTATTGATTTTTACTAAATGGAAAACGTTTTTTTTAAGTAAAGGTGACTAAACGTATTTCTTTTTCAGGCCAATCTGCGTCGTATAGACTTATTACGATCTAGATTAGGTGTCACTTCTAATTATGACGAGCTGACCGCACATCGACGCAACGTATCTCTAGTACAACATCATGATTCGATAACAGGGACCAGTAAAGTGCATGTGATGAAAGATTACCGTAACAGGTGAGTTATTATCATCCTTTACATTGTGTTTTGTATTTAGGTTATTAGAAGCAGCGACCTACTTTGCTGAACAAGAAGCATCGCTCCTGGGTGGATCTTCAACTCATGATGTGCATGATGATGGCCAAATGATTGAACTTGGCAAGGATAAACCAAAGTAGGAATTGATATTAGTTTTTATTGATAAAGACTGGCATTTGGTTTTGTTTTACATCAATTTTTTCGTTTGCAAGATTTTATATTGAGTTAGAGGAAATACGGCCATTTTTGAAGGCTAAAACAATATAACTTTGTCCTTTTAGGAAAACTGTGGTAATTTTTAACCAAAATACTGAAACTACAGAAAAGAAGATTGTATTAACTGTCAGCACACAATATGTTAAAGTAAAGAACAGCGAATATATTCCAATACAAGCTCAAATTATACCAGGTATTGATAAAGCCAGCTTGGATGTTAATATGGAGTTTTTTGAGGTAAATTCTTATTAAATTTGTGTAGTAAAGTGAATTTTAGTTAGTATTCTACCTAAAAATGGATGCGTTATCAACAAAGGAATTTAGTTTGATCTATACTGGCAAAAAACAAAAGATTGAAGAGGTAGCGATGAGTGAAATGACAGATATGAACTTGTTCGAAAAATACAAAATTAAAACGAACTTTTTTGATTTGAATGTGATCAATGGGTCGATTGATGTAAGTCCTTTTAGTATTGTTAGTTTTGGGAAGGTTTTTATTTTGAAGGAGTGGCTTAAAAAAATTTTGAAAAAAGTTCCACAGGGGGGACCAAGTTGAAATTTTTTAAAAATTCAAAAAAAATTTTGTTATTTTAAGATTTATAATAACTAAAACTCATTTTATATCTCACAAACCTCAACATTTCCTATTTTAGGGCATAACCCACAAAGACGGTTCAATCGAGACCTTCTCAATCAACTATGGACACTATACAGACCGAGGTGGTGCATATGTCTTCGATCCTGTTAGCGATTTCTTGGAAGCTTATAAAACAAAGTGTACTAGATTTGATGGCCCTATTGTAGCACGAATTTACTGTCAAGTCTTCTTGCAGTTGAGAGAAAAGCATTTTTATGTGATAACGGAGCTGGTGGAGGTATACAAGAAGCAAAAAGAGAATATGGTAGAAGTTAACGTTGATGTCTTTTCACAACTCAAGGAATTGAAGGCTCAGACATTGATAATGAATGTGGCAAGCAAGATTAGGCCGAAGAACGTTCTATGGACTGACGTGAATGGGTTGTATTTGACAAATCATGAGGTCAATGGGTCATTACCTATTTCAGCCAACTATTTTCCCGCCCCGACTGAGTCGATGATCCAAGATAAAAGACGAAGGCTGACTTTACTGGCACGCCAATCAACAGGAGCTACTCTTGACGATAATGGCAATTTGAATGTTATGGTAGATCGAAGTGTACTAGGTGATGATGGTAAAGGTCTTGGGTTTGCAGATGCTAGAACTGTAAGTTTTTGATATTTATCTTACTTTTTAGGTAACAAAAGTGGGTTTTTTTATTAAATATTGTAATAATTTGGGCCAAAAGTGCATAAAATAGTAATATTGAGGTCAAAAAGTACCTAGAATAACACTAGTTTAAAACTGGACAAATAAATAATACTAATGCCATTTCAGGACCACCCATCACATTTCAAGTCGAAAATTATAATAGAAACTTTGAAATCACCACCAAAATCGACCACTTTTCAGTCAAAGGCCATAGATAATATCCTGGAAGACCTACTACATCCAGTATCAATCATAGAAGAGTCAAAGGCCAATATTAGCATAGACAGTGTGTATTGGCCATGCAGTGTACAACTGATCAATCTGAGACAGGTCAACGACTTTTACTTATTAACCATGAGGAGACTGGAGTACGATTGTCATGTGGAACATGACAAAGATTGTGATATCGATTGGGTAAGGGGTTTTTGGATAAAAGAAGCCTTTTTGAGATTAAAGCAGATTTAAAATGGCAAGAACTTTCTTTACAAAACAAAAAATGGCAAAAACTTTCTTTACAAAACAAAAAATGGCAAAAACTTTCTTTACAAAACAAAAAATTGCGAGAACTTTCTTTACAAAACAAAAAATGGCAAAAACTTTCTTTACAAAACAAAAAATGGCAAAAACTTTCTTTACAAAACAAAAAATTGCGAGAACTTTCTTTACAAAACAGAAAATGGCAAAAACTTTCTTTACAAAACCAAAAATGGCAAGAACTTTCTTTACAAGCTTAATTTTTAGACCTTTTTATTTCAGAAGAAGCTAGACATCACAATAAACTCATTACTACCTAAAAAGCCAAAAAGTATTGTATTCACTTCACTAACAGGCATTCATGATGGGGATACCTACAAAATAGAATTGCTTAAACAAAAGCTAATGCCATTTGAAATAGTGACCATGAAACTGGTTAAATAGGCTTTTTACGCCATTTTTTAATACGGGTTTGTCTACTGGTATATTTATTAATGTATAAACTGAAAATTTTAAAAATTTTGGTTGATTTCTTGGTGGATGGGGGGGAGAAGGGATAAAAGTAGGGGTAAGGGTACCGGTAGGGGTAAGAAGGGGTAGGTACATCAGGGATAGAATAGGGACAGAGCAAGCAAAGGTAAAGAAGTGTATTATTGATACTGTAGGGCACTGTACTATTGAATATGGCAGAAGGTTCATTACTGGATGTCAGGCTATGGTACTTTAGATTAGTATACTGTAACGTATGGCACTACAGAAAATGGTAAGATATTTTATGGTAAATCATGAGACTGTAACATAAGCTATTGTAAAGTAAAATACGAGGATTGATTATTTGCTTTAAGATACTGTAACATAAAATATTGTTAGGTAAATAGTAGTTGAATTTACTGCTTCATGAACTCCTCAATTTCCTCCACCGTTCTAGGCACATCATTGATACACTCATTGCCGTTTACCCAAATAACAACATCGTCTTCAATTCTAACTCCTCCGAAGCCACGATATTCTTGTAACACTTCTTTGTTGAAGTATTTGGCAGTTTCTGGATTGGCCAGAGCTTCGTCTAGTAACTGAAAAACAAATTTTATTGCTTTACTCTGCCTTACCATACTCTACCCTATCCTATTTTACCTTAACCTATCTTTACGCTAGCCCTGAATTACGTAGGTTTCTACAGCCTTACCTTAACCCTAGCCAAGCCATATCCTACCATAATCTCACATTGAATAGCTCTACCTTACCGTATCAATAAAATACACGCCCGGTTCGATAGTAATCACCATTCTCTCCTGCAAAGTCCTTGTCGTTCTAATATTCTTCAGTCCAGCCAACGTAGATCTCTCTGTAGCATCACCCAGATATCCACCAACATCATGAACATCAAGACCTAGAAAATGGCCTAGTCCACAAGGGAAGAACACTGCTCCAATTCGTTTTTCGACCATTTCATCAATACTTTTGGTCAATATTTTAGCATTTTTCAAATGTTCTAGGATAATTCTCTCAGCCAGTAAATGCATATCAGTCCAGCAAACTCCTGGTTTGGCCTCTCTGAACACGGCCATTGTTGCTTCGTAGACAGCGTTGTAGATGAGACGTTGTTTCTCCGTGAATTTACCGTTTGCTGGGAACGTGCAGGTTACGTCGGAGGCTAGAAAAGTTTAGTTTGAAATATAGGGTAGGGTAAATTAAGTTGGGGTAGGGTAGAGTAGGGTAGGGTAGAGTAGGAGGTAGGGTAGGGCAGGGTAGGATAGGGTAAAGTAAGATAGGGTAGAGTAAAAAAACCAAAAGTGCCTACTATAACAACTATATTCAGGACCCATATCAAACAAGCACAGATCTCCATCTTTGATCAAATGATCGTTTGGAGCTCCAGCATGACCATAGTGAAGTACTGCACCATCGGCTCCACTAAAAGCAATATAATAGCTTGTGGGAAGTATCTTCTTTTTTAAAAACTCAAAACAGTACTATACCTAGCCGCAATGCAAGTATAAGCAATGTGTCGACAAGCACCAGTAGAGTAACTTTCATGTGTAAACAAACTCTCCATTTGATACTGATGCGACTTTCCTGGCTTTATATTCTTCATCAACTTCTTGTGTGCATCAGAGCCAATTTTAGAAGCATATCGAAGCAGCTCCAACTCTTGATCAGTCTTGAACACTCTCAATTCAGCTATGATATTGTAGAGAACGTCTGTGTCTGTTTTGAAGTTGTTAATACCGGTAAAGTTGGCTGGAAGAAGCGTTTCTTTACTGTCAGTGTTGAAGGCTTTCTAAAATAAAGATTATTATAATGCCTTGCCTTGCCTTGCCTTGCCTTGCCTTGCCTTGCCTTGCCTTGCCTTGCCTTGCCTTGCCTTGCCTTGCCTTGCCTTGCCTTGCCTTGCCTTGCCTTGCCTTGCCTTGCCTTGCCTTGCCTTGCCTTGCCTTGCCTTGCCTTGCCTTGCCTTGCCTTGCCTTGCCTTGCCTTGCCTTGCCTTGCCTTGCCTTGCCTTGCCTTGCCTTGCCTTGCCTTGCCTTGCCTTGCCTTGCCTTGCCTCGCCTTTGTCATTCACGTTATCTGTGACTTTTCTTTATCCTAGTTTACCCTGTTTTACCTCCCTCCCCCTCCCTACTCTACGCATATATAAAAATTTAAAAAATTTAAAAATAATTTTAAACCAAAATCCCTTTGAAAAGGCTAAAACAAATAGCAATTTGAGATGCAGCTTTAATCTAGTCGTAACAATGTCCATAAACTTACTAGTAAGTACACAGTTTTGGCTGATTTTGATCTTAACCATGACTCAATAGTACGATCTTCATGAAACACGACTTCTTCAACGTCATATTTTTCTTTGAAGTAGGATTCCGGTTTAATACTAAATAAAATAATTTTAATTTCATTTTTTCAAATTTTTGCACTAATTTAAACGTAAAAAAAAGGGTTGTCGTTTTTTTACACACGAGACAATGTAATTTGGCGACGCGACTTTTTTGGGTTCTTTAGTCTTATATTATAAGCACAAATATAAAATTTTAACCTTAAAACTTACCTGCCTTGCCAAATAGCGTAGTCTTTGTGCATTTTCGGAGGCAAAAGTACAGTATGCCCAGTACTCAAATCAATAATACCGTATACTTCAGGTTCAGTAACTCCAAAAGTCCAGTAAAAATAAGATTCTTGGCGGAATGCACTCTGCTGCATATCAGTATTATAAAGATGGGTATCGTGTCCACCTTCTAATACTGCATACGCGTTGTCTGTGCTGTTGTTAGTTGCTTTGAAGGCTTCAATTAATCGACGACGGTTTTCTTTGAACAAAGTTGACAGGACTGGTGGTCCATCACCTAGTTGGTAGGTTACTGACATGGTTGGTTAGTTTTAGAGAGAGAAAGGGTGGTCTCTGAAGAATGCAGTTGTATTATAATATTATAAAACAGGGAGAATATGGTAGGACCTAGTAGGACAGGCTGTGACATTATAAAGCAAAGTAACGTTAGTTAAGATTGGGTGTGGTAGAATAAAGTAAGGTAAATTAGAGAAAGACACAAAATATGGCGAGGACAAGACGAGAGTAGAGTACCAGTATAAGGAAAGGTATGGCAGGACAAAAAAATATAGGTAAGGAAGGGGTAGGTTAAAAATACAACCCTAGTGTGTATAGGGTAGAGTGAAAGTATGGCAATAAGTAAGGGCCGGGCCAATGTTCTGACGGACCGGATGGACCCAACAGAATTTCTTGCGGACTGGGCCAAACCGACCCAAAAACCTGAGAAGACTGGATCTAAAAATATTCGGTTTAAACCAGACCAGGCTCAAAAATTTGAATTTTGGAGCGGGCCTGTCCCCAAAATCGCTGGATTGGACCGGCGAAAAAAGCTTTGGACCGGTTCGGGCAAAACACTGAATATGGTGATAAAACGACTAAAAATAGTAAAGAAATACAAAAAAAAGACTAATTTTTCCTTTTCATAGCTAACCTCAGCTGGAACTGTTCGATGATAAGATAATGCGATAAGCTTTTTCATATAGAATTTAATTTTTTAATTCTTTTTTTAATCTAATTTATACCAATTAAAATACGTTTACAACAACAGTTCTGATATGAAATTGTAAAAAAACTAAATGTCTATAATTACATTGTTATTGGTATAAAAGTATCAGTTGTTAGTAAACAGAACGGCAGTCTTTAATTTGTATGTGTTTATTGTAAGTCATGAAAACGTGCTAGAGCCCAACAGTTTATTAAGTTCAACGTTCCACAATTTAGAAACTGTGATGATTATAGACTTAGTAACTGGTAAATAACATATCTTAATGTTTGGGAATGTGATTCGTTTAATATTGGTTCCTACAGTATCATATGACAATAAGACATACGTAACATGTACAATATGGCAGTAATACACACGTAAAATGTTGTCGAAACAGGCTTTACGAGTTTGTACTATAATATAGAAACATACACGCGTTGTCTTTACATTTAAAAAGTCTAGTATCACGTTTATTTACCACAGTAATTACACAAAGTAATCATAACAATAAAAACGAAATATACAGTATAAGGTCATAATACAGTATTCTTGTAACCTTGCACCTGTTCATCCAACATTCGAAAGTAAACATTGGTCGTGCCTTCCTTATCAAACTCTAATTCTTTTATAATTTTGGCGTTTTTAATCCATTGACAACGCCAAATATAGACTAGCAAGCAGGCTGATATCGATAGGATCATTAGCTAAAAAATTTTTTAATTTTAAAGTTTTGTAAAATACGAAATAATCACTCAACGATGTCCTAGCTTTATCCACGTTTTACTGTACTTTCTTCTACCGTATTCTACGGCACAGTACTCTACTCTAATCTACTCTATTCTACCGTATCCTACCCTAGCTTAACTCTAATCTTTTGTAAACCTTACATTATGTGTTGACATGATTACAAAAACAAAGGTTAGAGGATCACTTTTGTAGGTAAACGTAGTTCTAACATAGTTGGTCACTAATAGATAAACCGTATAAAACAAAGAGTGTGTTAGAGATACAGGGAAGATCACTCGACTTGTAAAGTAATTCTCCCCAACTTGATATGATCGAGTTAATGTGTAACTGTTGTAAATTCTAAAAAACCTCCAATTTTAAAGACTAAGACTCAAACAGGGCTGGGACTGAAGTTAGTCTTGGCGCTAGACATACGCCAGAGCCTAAGCTGAACTCTGCTGGTAGGCTTGTACACGAGGCAAGGCCTGGTCTGAAGACTGAAGGCAGGGCCTGAGCACGGGACTAGACCAGGACTAAAGACTAAAGCTAAGTCTGGGGCTAAAACTAAGACTTTGGGCTAGGGCTAAGGCTCACACTCTAGGTTAGGCCTCTGGGCTAGGGCTCTGGGCTAGAGCTTTGGACTAGGGCTCCGGGCTAGAGCTCTGGGCTAAAGCTCTGGGCTAGGACTCTGGGCTAGGGCTCTGGGCTAAAGCTCTGGGCTAGGACTCTGGGCTAGGGCTCTGGGCTAAAGCTCTGGGCTAGGGCTCCGGGCTAGGGCTCTGGGCTATGGCTCTGGACTAGGGCTCTGGGCTAGGGCTCTGGGCTAGGGCTCTGGGCTAGGGCTCTGGGCTAGGGCTCTGGGCTAGGGCTCTGGGCTAGGGCTCTGGGCTAGGGCTCTGGGCTAGGGCTTTGGACTAGGGCTCCGGGCTAGAGCTCTGGGCTAAAGCTCTGGGCTAAAGCTCTAGTCTAGGACTCTGGGCAAGGTTCTGGGCTAGGGCTTTGGGCTAGGGCTCTGGGCTAGGGCTCTGGGCATGTTAACTTACGTTGCTTTTTTCTTCCTTTTGTTAATATAACGTAGAAAGAATTCGCCAAAAGTAATAGATATGTCCATTGGGAGAGTTATGGCAAGTAACTTTTTAACTCTTTCTTCATTTTGAGGTAACGTAGCTAAACAATAGGCTAACGGTTTATTGTAGTCTTCAACAGTAAATGAGAAATAACATACGATTATTGTTACTGTCCACTGAAAACATGTGTCATTTTAAAATTATTTTAAAAATTGTAATTTTATAAATTACATAAATATATTCCTAATTTACAGAGCCCAAGCTATTTATTTATCTTTCATATAACATGCATATATATGGGATAAGACATTGATGATATAAGACAGCCTGTTGCCAGGCTGCCTTGTTAGAGGGCTAGGGATATAGAGACAACCTACTGACAGGTCGCCCTTTTGGCTGAGCTTTGGGACAACCTCTTGCTGGGTCGTCGCGTTCTAAAACTGAATGTGAAGTCAGATCGCATCGCGATCTAGACAGTGGGCGGAGCCACTTTATTCACACTGCTACTTAAATGAAAAAAATATTTTAATATTGTTTTAGCATTTTTCAAGTTCTAAAATAATTTTTAAAAACCTGAAAAAAAAAGTTTTGTCGTTTTTCACTACGCAACTCAGTGCAAATTGGGGACAAGACTTTTATGATGTCTTTATCGTACTAGTAGCTGCATGTTGTCTAATAGTAGGTTCACCAAACCAACCTACAATAATATAAGTAGCAACCACGCTAACAGTACAGCCCATCTCTTCATATGTACTTTTGAATCTTGTGGCCAATACTCTTTCCAAAAACATGGCCATATGTACTAACATAAGAGTAACGACAGTCCATACAATAGGCCATCTCATTATTGCACATTTCCAAATTGGCATGACAAAATGACACGGTTTACCGTCATCGGTAAATTCGAGGTATAACATGTATAAGTTGACGTATATGTTAGCAAAAAGGTGAAGGAAGGTAGCTACCCAGGCATTTGCTATTACTATCTAAAATATGAAAGTAGGGTAGGGTAGGGTAGGGTAGGGTAGGCTAGGGTAGGGTAGGGTAGGGTAGGATAGGGTAGGGTAGGGTAGGGTAGGGTAGGGTAGGGTAGGGTAGGGTAGGGTAGGGTAGGGTAGGGTAGGGTAGGGTAGGGTAGGGTAGGGTAGGGTAGGTTAGGGTAGGGTAGGGTAGGGTAGGGTAGATTGGGGTAGGGTAGGGTATTTTAAAAACTTACCTTGAAGTTAATATGAGCTTTGTAATTAAACTTTTTGCACAAAACAAAGAATAATAGTACCATAGCAGGAGTGTTCATAGGTATTGTAATAAATTCAGCTACTTGTTTGGTTTTACTTTGTGCATAAATACGGCTTTCAGCGCATATTGCAAGTATCTGGTAAGTTGAGTTCATCTGAAATTGTCAAAAAGAATTTAATACTATACACTACCGTACTCTACCGTACCTTACCGTACCCTACCGTACCTTACCGTACCTTACCGTACCTTACCGTACCCTACCCTACCCTACCCTACCCTACCCTACCCTACCCTACCCTACCCTAACTTTAACAAAACTTGTCTAGTACAGTACATACAATAAATTTACAATTTAAAAAAACAAGCATCCTCCCTCGTCTTCTCCCTTCCTCTTCCTCATCCCTTTCCTAAGATAAGTATAAAAGTTTGGCCGGGCCTAGTAAGCCTGCTTTTAGGTCTATCTTCTATTACTCTATAACTCTTTTCTTTGTTACAAAATTCCCTACCGTTTCAGAATACAGTCTTAACTCATAAATATGTAAACCGTATATAAACCATAATAAGTAATGTAAAACATGTCAAGACATTTATAAACCATGTTTTACATAACTTCTTCGAAACTTGTAATAACAGGCTACACGATAACATTACTTTAATAAAAGGGTTACAGACGTGTAAACATCTTTTTACAAACAAGTGCATATGCGATACAAAGCATACACTGAGTTCACACTACATTACCATAGTAAAAAAGTGCTAACCTTGATGATATATGACGTAGCATACATCATAACTTTATTATGGCTAACATATAGACATACAATAGTTAATCAAGACAAGTCATTCTAAATTTTGTACAAAGATCTCTGTCAACAAGACGACAAACAAGGCGTTTAGCTACAAAAATTTTGGTTTACATTGTGTCTTCTTATTGTACTTGTTTTGACAACAAATATTAAATATACTCAAGTAGGTGTAACTTTCCAACTGTCAATTTAAACAAGTTGTTTTCTAGAAAAATTGCAAAGACTTTCTTTAAAAAACAAAAAATGGCAAGAACTTTCTTTACAAAACATAAAATGGTAATAATTTTCTTTGCAAAACAAAAATGGCAAGAACTTTCATCACAAAACAAAAAATGGCAAGAACTTTCTTTACAAACCGAAACAAATTTGCTAATCTCTTCGCCTCTCTCCAACCAGCTTTAAAAGCTAAAATTGCCAGCCTTGACTCTAATCTCCTAGCATCTGTAAATTACAACAAAATGCTATAAATTACCATATAAATAATTACTGCAATACTATGT